TGGAAGCGCTATGGTACTTTTTTCTGTTAGCGCTCCTAAATATTCTATATTACTTTTATTTAATCTCATAATACTGAGGTATACACAAATGCTAGCTACATTCTCATGATCCACCAACCACACGTATTTTAGGCTTAAACAAAAATATTGAAGAAAAAAAGGATTGTTATATAATTGAAAAAAATATTATGTAAAAAGAAAAGTCTTCATTCAAAACAAGCCTCCTGAAAAAACAAATATCGCGTGCATCGCAACCATGACCAAAAGAAATATAATTTCCAACCCCTAAATGAACACAGTCTCCCAGGTTATCTTTTGTTTCATCACAGCTAACATATATTAGAAGAATACGGCCAGAGCCCTGACCAAAGCTAGCAGCTCCCGATGCGTCCAAGGCTCCATCAAACCCAAGCATTCTGCAAACCATCCTCGCGTCTCTCAGATCAAACCAACAGTTCCCCAGGATCCACCGTTTAAGACTTCTACTCTTCCTACAGCGTCAATTGATCTACCTACAAGACAAACCTAAAATGGCTGAGGATGGGCTAAAGGAGAAAATAAATTGTTTCTACTTCAAATATTTCACATTTCACAGGAACTTAGATTTGTATGTATCTTACAGTTTAATTAAACCGACGAAATCTCGAAAAATTGGTAGTTTGGAATATGACTAGTACGTATGGGCTTTGCATCCAACAAAATATCATTTAAAGGGATAGTTAAGTTCTGTTTTCAGACCGCAAATGCCTTCAAAGTGCATGGTAATTGCTCTTATTCTTATCAATGACATTTATAGTGCCCTTTTAGAACCTAAAAATGCTTTGACCCCAAAATGTGTGAAATTTAGCCAATACGATCATACCAATTCAGCTCCACTTTAGAAAAAACACGGTGATCGTTAATTAATTATTCAATTAAAAATAATACATGAGCCGGCTTATTGTGGGTAATATAAGCAACACGAAAATGCCAACAAAAAGCCAACATCGGCCTTTGCTGAAATACGACGTAAAAGGCGTTATTTCGTGTTTTGTAAACGTTTTTTTTTTCCAATTTTTTCAAAATATCTAGTGTAGTGGTACACAAATATTAGAAATCGTTATATTTCAAGCCGCCTCTGAACCGATTTTGATCAAACAAAGATGATGTTGTCATCTAAATATTATGTTTCAAATTTGACACTCAGTTTTTCATTGTCTCACAAAAATTATTTTGTGTAGCGCCCTCAGCAACAGAACTCAACTATCACTTCAAAGGTGAAATTCAAAGAAAATCAGAAATATATCAACTAATGTATCACTAGACACTGGTAAGCTATATTAACATATATATATATATATATATATAAATATATATTAATCGCCGCGGTTTCGCCGCCGCCATGTCTGAACGAGCTTTTACTGTCAGTGAAAGCTAAGAGAAAATGTTTATGGTGCCATCGATTAAACTTACCTCGAATGGATTCCGGTGGGGCAAATTAAAAAAGAAAAAGTATATGAACTAAAGCGAACTAAATATAAATATATTATTATGTGTATGGGTTCTTAAAAGCAAAAAAAATGCATGTTAATCACAGTTAAACGCAGTTATAAAATAGGATAAGACCTTCACTATCACTTTCTCAAACGTAACGTAACGTTAGATTTTAGTTTTTGATTTTGTAATAATGAAACAAAGAAGTAAATTTATGAACTTATGAGCTGACCTTAAGAGCTCTATTTCTTTTTTTACATTTTTGCGTTTTTCAAAGTATGCCATTTAAAATAACAAAAATTCGTTTCCTCATGTCCAAAAGAGCCCGCACCTTCTGAGTAACGCATGGCGCCCGCATCCCATTATGTCCGCAGTAAGAAATGACCGATACATCGAAAAAGTCCGCCAGAGTGTCTTCTGTCCCAAAACAATCGACGTAAAGGCCCGGTCACACAGCCCTCCACGGGCGTATCGCGGCCGAATCACGGCCAAAAATTTCTGCCCGTGAAGCAGACGCTGTTGGACGCTTTGAGGTCGCGATAAAGACGCGATACAGCCGTACTTTACCCGTCGTTACACGCGGTAAGAAATTCACACGCGGTTGGCCGCGCGAAAAAGTTTTGGGCTGCCCAAAAATTTAGACCGCGGGTAATCGCGGGCGGTACACGTGGTACACGCGGTAAAGACGCGGTACAGACGCGGAACGAACGTGCTAGGACGTGCTACGGCCGCGGTTAAGACGTGGTTACACGCGGAATTGGACGCGAAATTTTAGCGGGTAATCGCGGGTGGAGCACGGTCATAGCACGTTTGTTCCGCGTCTGTACCGCGTTGTTATCACGTGCATTAGCGTGTGTACCGCGTGTAAGCGTGGTAGGCCGCGGTACCGCCGCGCTTCACCCGCGATAAGGACGCGGAACAGTCGCCGGCGTCTGTTCCGCGGGCATACCACGGGTAAACCGCGGGTAAGCCAATTTTGCACATTTTCCACCACGGGCAACCGCGGGCAAAAAAAAATCGCGAAATTTTACCCGCGATACAGACGCGAAAGGCTGTGTGACCGGGCCTTGAAGAATGTCACCTGAACCATGACCAAACCTGGCTGATCGTGACCCGACTAGGGCACCGTCGAACCCCATATCCTGCAAACCAGCGTTGATTCGAACAAATACCAGTAACGACCGCAAACAGTCTTCCGTGATCCACCGTACACTGTGAAAAGGTTGGGCAATATTTTCCAACACTTTGCCAATAGTCAACCCTACCATATAATTGGGCAATATTTTCGTATTTTGCTCAACAGTTGTTCAAGATTTTCCCAACAAGTAGGCTACCGTAGTCGGGCAGTTGAAGGGTCATATGTTTGCCCAAATTTTGGTCAAAACACGAAACAATTATGCACATGTGAAGTACGGTACTTACGTTTACCAATATTAAACACTGGGCAAAATATTGCCCAAAAGATGGTTGGGTTGACTATTGGCACATATTGGGCAAAGTGTTGAAGAAATATTGCCCAACCTTTTCACAGTGTACAAGACCTTCACTCTTCCTTCAGCAATCGTTGGAGGCATTTATAAGTCGTTTCCTAGGTAGAAGATTACTGGTGGGTTTCCGCAAAACTACATTTTATTGTATATTATCCCAAGTGATTCAGTGTGACGCAGAACGAGCAGAAGAACTTATCTTTTTTCTAAAAACGGATCCAATGCCCCTCGTTTTATTGAAAAATATGACAACTATAAATCAGATTGTTTTGATCGTGAAACTGTGATAAATAACGGGGGCGTTGCTAGACATTTTCTTTTCAGGGGACGGGAGTTATAAAACCAATTCTCAGACTGCCGACATTTGTCCAACAAGCGAGTTTCTCTGTGAGAGTGTATTTCTTTTATCCGTAAATGATTTCAACGTGGAAAAAAAAAGAAAATGAAAGATATAGGTTAGTAGAGTTTTACAAAAATCTGACCAAGCTAAGGTCAGTAATACTACTGGGAATCTAGTCATGTTGCCTATTTCCTTTTTTTTATTTTATAGAGGAACAGTCATTTTTCGCGGAAAAATATTTCAAGCTATTGAATCCACTTGTTTTTTATTCGATTTTTTTTCTTTCGGAGGGTCCGATTTTTGGGAAACTTTCTCTGACATTTCTATTTCTGTCGGAAACTGTTTGTAAATTATTCTCTTGTTAGGTTTCCGGTGTGCTTGGTACAGGAAATACTACGTCCGATCACTGATGTACATATACTTGACCGAATCTCCTACCTCAGGCGGAACGTATAGACAAAAGTGTAAGCACGACCATTCCATCTAGCTTAAATCAGCAGGATCAGAAATCCTTTACACATTTCATGAAAAGCCATTAGTAGAAAAGGAGGCAGAAGTGTTTCTCGTTTCTAATATAGGACATCGTACATCACCCTCGCGGAGCTGGCCTGCTGGGTAACAACGAACTGCAAGTACATTCATCCAGCAGGTTAATAAATTGCCAAGGCAAGATCTATAACGGTTGATGTGGCGCTGGACTCGCCACCAGCTGACGACTCTGAGTTTGAAGGCCGCTGTACTGTTCAGGTCCAAAATTCATAAAAACAGACTACGCCTAGATGGCAACTTACTATGAACTCGTGGTACTTTAGCCTAGGTAATGAATTGACAACTAGGTTAGTTAGGTCTATGTTTATGGGCCAAGGTTTCTATGCACGACGATAATACTAAATGTATGGGCATACATACAATCACACAGATTATGTCTTCTACCTTATCACTGAAACCGCTTCTTGTAATGTAAAACAATGAGTTCAACTCTGCCCTTTCACCCCATAACTGTCCTGCCTTAGACCTTTCGTATTTTTAAAATTTCATTGTTGTCGTTTTTCATAACTTAACTTCTTTTGGATATAGTTCAACTTAAAAATCTAACGTAGCTCTTTTGTACTTCAAGCATCATAAGAAATTAATACAGATTGTGAATCCGATAAAAAAAAACCATTGTAACCGTTTAAATCTATGCTAAGCCACATGGGGACACCCCTTCCATGCTCAACTGTTTTAGGTTGATAATGTACTTGTTTTCAGATTTATCTTTAATATTACATCTACTTAAATACGTATATAGATTAAAGCAAATTATAGTAGTTCCTCCTATAATGTGACTCCCCGATACAAACAATTTGTTCAACAAATATGAAAGATCATAAAGCTACAGGGAAAATGCCTTTTTTTATATCAAATGTTTTTGTACACAATAGCTTAAAACGGAGAGGTAACTTACTTCCTGAGTAACAAATAGTGCCCGCATCTTCATCATGTCTACAGTCGTGAACTCGAATCCCTGAATGATAAGAACACTACATATTTTTTTTTTTTTTTTTTTTTTTTTTGGGGGGGGGGGGACAAATTCGTGATTTTTTTTTCTTTATGGCCGAAATATGAAGCAATAAAGAATTTAGAATTACTGCTCCATTTGTCTTTAAAGATCAGCTCAAAACTCTTATTCTGTAAAATACGGACCCAGAAAAACCTACCTCCGGAATAACAAATGACACCTGCAACCCTGTTATGACTGCAAACGTAACTTATACATCTGGTATTGCTGCAAGAGACAACTCTATTCCCTGCATTATGAGCACAGTCTGCAAGGTTGCCTTCTGTTCCCTCACACCTGGCATTAGCTAGAAGAATACGACCAGAGCCCTGACCGAACCTTGCATATCCTGTTGCGTCCATGGCTCCATCAAACCCCTGCATTCTGCAGACCACCCTCGCGTCTCTGAGATCCCAGCCAACATCACAGATAGTTCCCCAGGATCCATCGTGCATGATCTCTACTCTTCCTTCGGCATCGTTAGACCCACCGACAAGACGAATTTGAAGTGGATTCGGATGGGCTAAAAATGAATTTTAAGAAACATAATTCGTTTGTAATAGTGTAAGGATATAATATTTACACACAGCTTTGGCTACTTTTGTGAAAATGATAACTTAGCGAAAATGTAAATTTTTCTGTATCATTTCGATATCATATATTTAAAACAATAAACACAGTGCAGCTTTTTTGAATAACTACGAATATCTCCTTTGAAATTGAATAAACCATGTCAAATCATAGGTTTACCTATATTTACCAGTGTTGTAATGCATTGGCCTTAAGAGATAAATATACATATGTTGTTGTGAGTACGGATTCTTAAAAGCAATATGATTGCATGTTAGCCAACATTCAAGAAATTCCTAGAAAAATAGTCAAAGTCAAATGCAGTCATAAAACCTTCACTATCACTTTTCCAAATGGAAACGTCAAATTTTAGTAATTGATTTTGTAGCAATGATAAGAAAAAGTACTTGTATTACCATATAAGCTAAAAATATTTTTTTGTTTGCGATTTGAACAGAATGCCATTTATAATTACGAATATTCGTTTCCTCATGTCCAAAAGAGTTCGCACCTCCTGAGTAACACATGGCGCCTGCATCCCAGCGATGCTCACAGGAAGAGTAAAGCCTTACACGTGAACAGTCTTGCAGCCTGTCTTCTGTTCCCCTGCAAATGACACGAAGAATATCACCAGAACCCTGACCAAACCTAGCCGATCGTGGTGCGGCCAGGGCACCTTCGAACCCCAGCATTCTACATAATACCCTTGCGTTTAACAGATTCCAGAATTCATCACCACAAACGGTCATCCACGATCCACCGTACAAGACCTCCACTCTTCCTTCAGCATTGTTGGAGCAATTTATAAGACGTATATCTGGTAGAAGACTGTCGATGAGTTTCCGCAAAATTGCATTTATTTTGTATATTATCCAAAGTGGTTCATTGTGACGCAGAACGAAAATAAGAATTAACCTTTTGTCTGAAACGGATCGATTGCCCCTCGATTAAATTGAAAACATGATAACTACAATCAGATTGTTTTGATCGGACAACTGTATAACTATTAGAGGGATTGCTAGACCTTTTTTTTTTGGGGGGGGCAGGGTTTAATAATATTTTCAGACTGCTGACATTTGTCCAACAAGCTAGGAGTTTCTATGAGAGATTGTAATCTCTTTTAAATGTGAAGGAATTCTTCGTGGAATAACAAGAAAATGAAAGATATAGGTTGATAGGGTTTTAACAAAATCGGACTAAGCTCAGGTCACTCACAATATTGTGTCTGGTATTACATGGAGCCTTTCGACAAGATATCACGCTAATGATACCCAGAACGACTGGTTGAAGGTGACTAGACACTGGACCTTTAATTATAATAATAATACGACAAATTTATAAAGCGCTTGTGACATGAAAGTTTTAATGCGCTGTACATAAATCAAGATTACTTCAAGAAAATCAACATTACTAAACAAATTAACATTACTTAAATTACCAAGAAGATCAAACATTGCTAACATCATTAAAGAAATTAACATAGCATGTAAATTCCTTGGTAACTTAACATATATCATTATACAGTGTATCAATAATAGCAACAGTTTAAAAAGACATAATGTAGGCATTGTAATACTAATTCAAACTTATTTTATAGTTATTTGGGTTGATTTTGGAAAAGATGAGTTTTTAGATTTTGTTGAGAATGTCAATGGTGGCTGAGTCCTGGATATGGGCGGGGAGAGTGTTCCAAAGAGTAGGGGCACAGACTGAGAAGACTGAAAAGTACTCGTAGTTGACTGAGAAGGCCATGTCACCATTCAATGGTTTCATTTCTTGCGAGATCCGAGTCACAATTTTGGGGTAGGCATTGAATTATACTGTTTGATAGATAATGGTATTAATGTATACGATGAACAGAACAAATAAATTTACGATTATTTTTTAAATGACTTCCCTCTTACATATTATCATTTCCCGGTCATTTTTCCACGCCTCCAAGGAACTTATTCTTAAAAAGCTGTGCATTTTTTAATAGGTGTTTGCGCATTTCACAGTGTTTTGCTTTTCTTGTCAGGGTTTCCTTTACATATTAAAAGTTGTCAAACACATTTGATGATATATAATTTTGTAGTATGATTAATTTTTCAATTACTATAGTCATTTTTTTTATTTTGGATTTATAACAATGGCCTATGATGGCGAATTTCGTAACTTGGTGTACATTAAAGGCATCATATTCCATTAAATATACTATATATAGGCCTATGGAGTGCGGGACCGTCCTGAAATGCAATGTCTAGCTTACAAGTCAATACCCAATTGTTTGTAAAGTGGTCTCACTTCCTCCTCCTTTCTCTTTCTCCGCTCACGCTCTTTCCATTCCTCTAAAGTTAACTTGCAGCTTTTCCTGCCTGATTTCCACTTTTTTTATTACAACAAAATATGGTAGCGTCAAGTTTGATATTGCAAATTTATATCTCATCTGCACAATCTACCCGTGGATTTCCACGGGACTCTCTGTGTATATAATTAGTATACAAATAATGTATATTTCGTCGTTCAATATAAGACAATAAATGAACCATGTATTTCATAAGTATATATCAAGTTGAAATATCATGACACGAGGTAAATTCTGAATTTTTGAGGTGAATATAATATGTTATAGGAAACAACAAATTGCATGCTATGTATGTTAAATATGATTCAGGGTACATTTGTAATCCTTTGGAATAAGGGCCTCACTTTACATGCCCCAAGCTAAGATATTAGCGAGTTTTCGCTCAGCAACGGACAGACCTTCGCGGACGCAGAACACTCATGTTTACGGCCGTTGCACACAGACCGCCCTTGATACAATACGTGGTTTCGCTTTTCGGTGAATGCGTACGTATCTCTACGGAGGTATTGCATTTGCAATGCCATTAGGCAATTTTCGTAATGTAACCCAATTTAATGCATACGTCTTTGTGAAGTGCCTCGATACAAAATATTTCATTCACCTGATAAGGATAATATTATTTCAATAGACAGAATCCAAGCTGCATAAATTAGTTGTTGCCAGTTCGACAAACATTAGGGGTATTTCGCAAGCTCATTGCGGACAGAGAATCTGCGGTTCGTGTGCAAAATCGAGAAGCTACTATAGTAACAGCAGGGTGATCGCTGAGGTATTGAAACCCAGAACGGGTTTTGGCCAAATCTACGGGTATTCTCAATGACGCCCTAAGTGAATAAACAGCCAATCAGCGAGCTTGTACCAAAGATGGTACGTCTAAACGACTGATTCGTCTAATAACGAAGAATGACGAATTTTAACAGGCGGATCTAGCTTCTTTTTTATGGCGTAGGCGGGGGGGGGGGGGGTTGACATTTGAAAAATCGCGCCGACCAATATTTCGCTTAGTGGGCGGGGGGGGGGGGGTAGGGAGCACTAACATTTGTTTTCAATTTGAAAAAAGTGCCAACCAATATTTCGGGGGGGGGGGGGTAAAAAGCACCTTGGCCAGCCCAAGGGAGGATTTAAACCTCCTAACCCCCCTAGATTCGCCCCTGACACGAATGACTCTTCGGTGAGTTTTTTTTCTTCCGATTAGTGTTTCTGAACAATAACAACATGAATATGGATATAACATGATTTGTTTTAAAACCTGATGATAAATTATTGTTGAAATTTGATAAACAGCCGGTTTGTGGCTTGGTCGAGACAAGTTGTTCTAGTCGTGTAGTACCGTCTGTATTGTATTGCGTGGAAGGGAACAGGCCATTTCCGTAATGTAATCAAATTTAATACATACGTCTTTGTGAAGTTCCTCAATACAAATTATTTCATTCATCTGTCTAGGATTCGCAATAGTCAGAATGCAAACTGCATGTATTAAGTGTGGCAACATGTATGCAGATTGGATTCTGTCTATTTAAATACTAGTATTATTATCAGGTGAATTAAATAGTTTGTATCGAGGCACTTGATTCACTTGGGGCGTCATTGAGAACGCCCGTAGATTTGGCCAAAACCCGCACAGTCTAATTAACTTTAGCACGCATTATACAGTACCAAAAAAGTGTTTACGTTGCACGTTCACTCACGCACATATAGAAATATCCCATGCTTTGGCGTTCAAGTAGGCCTACAACAAAATATGTGAACCGACAACTTCCAGAGTGAGGCTATATTTCACCGAGGCAGCAAGCTGAGATTAAGATATAATGGCTCGAGACACATTCTAAATGTACATGTATTGTATTGTATTGTATTTATTAAACTTCATTGATGTACATCAATATTCTGTTTATAAACATATAATCACTTTACAATGTAATGTAACAATCAATATTCTGTTTGGGAAGATATACATCATATAAGTATACGTATACATCATCTAAATTTTTAAGTGATTATATGTAATACTGAATGCATGCAGTATTTGTAATATAAAATTGAGGGTATTTGCGACCTCTTGCCTTGATCCCTTGGAGTCGAGCCATGCGCGCTGCTCAAACAATGGAGTAATTATGCAAGGAAGAGAGGTGCGCAGAAGATTCTCTTTTGTATGCGTTATACCGTGTTAAAAAGGTTGTTATATTTTGCAAAGTCGTGCACATTATAACAATATATTGAGTGTCCCATGACACGTTTATAGCCAAAAGGATACTCACTAACAAATGCACCAAACAAAAGGAAGAAACATACTGTCGAGGAGCCAGAACTGTTATTTTCAAAGCAAGATAGGTATATTTAGTTGCGATGTTAAAGGTAAAGACCAGTTATGGTCATGCGATTGCATTGTGAAAGAAACGTTGTGGAATTGCTCAGAAAAGGTTGATCATCTAGCATCTAGCATCTGCAAGGTTCTGGAATCATCAAAATGATAAGAAATTTGGCCCATTCTTCCTAAAGGTACAAGCACTATACACAGAAAGATGTATATGGGACTACCCTATATCTCTCACAGACCATGAGAGAAACAAATTTACCAAATATATGAATTAGTAGGCGGTTTCCCGGCAAATTTGTTATCATCATGTATTAGTCAAAACATATTCTTTCACATGATTGGTAATGAGAGCTTCCATTTCATTTTTTGAAATTGGGGCGTTTCCAATACTGGTCTTTACCTTTAAGCCTGACTTGTTATCCTTTTTTATTATCGTTGGACAAATACGTATTGTGAAAATAGATTATTTTGATGCATAGAAAGGATTTCCATATGATTATGAAGAATCTCTTAACATCTCTATTACATAATGAATTGAGCCACATCTAATGTGATGATAGTGATAGAGGCAATCGAGTACAGTCAATATCTAAATAGTTTGATATGTAACGTCTACACTAAAAGAAGGAACGCAGTATGATTGATACGATTTCATTTGTTTCCCTTATTGTACATACCTTGCTATGTCGAACATTTTGCTCTTATTTGGTTAAGCAATTACATTCGTAAATTTATTTACAATCTTACAGAAATGGTTATTCGTGTATCACAAAGAGGTAAAATTACAGAAAATATATGATATTTTCATTTTTTGTACCCAAATGCTTATTGTTTTATTCATTATTTCAACACTGATAAAGTAATTATTGTCGTTTAACTTGATATTTACATGAAAGTCTGTATTACTGTCATACATTTCGTCTTGAATGATATTATACAATGGAGAAAAAACCTATATATGTCTGACAGTGTCTAATCTACGAGTTGGTTTAGATCAGTGGTTTGAAGATAAGTTTAATCATTGGATATGTCCATTGAATTAAACAATTATTTAGAAAAACAGTTGCGTGTGAATGGTAATAGAATAGGCATTAATCTTCATTGAACTGAGATGGTATGGAACTAAAGAGGATTTTAATTTACTTGCTGAACTTATGACCGCCATTAATAATTACATTTGACATCCCTTTCAGTTTTCCATCGTACTGAAGCGGAAGAATCCTTTTCGATCGTGGTGATTTGTTACTACTAAAATACGGCTCTCATTCGATAATCTTTTTTCAGCACACTTGTGTATATCCTTACAAATGACGGATAAGTGCATTATCAACAACTGAACCACTTCTCATAAGTGTCTAATTGTATCTTTTATCTTTTACCCCACAGTTGTCATGTCCATATATTCATGGTAATAATTCCGTGTTATGTTTTTTGTTTCACGGCAGCCTCCAGTCTTTTATTTAAACTCTTAGAAACTTCAGGAGTTTTTTGAGGTGCAGTTTTATTTATTTGCACACTAGATAGTGTTTTTCCATCGTGTTTGCTCGGGTCTGTGTCGGAGTTGTCCTCTCACGGGAGAAGATATCCATTCATGTCCACATCTTTCCCCGCTGAGGGCGTTTGGTAGACAGTTTTCTTGTCGATGTACTCATGATTATTCGATTTATCGTCACGAAATTGATCAGCCGTCGCTGTCACTCCATCATCCGATAATGCGTCCCTGGTCGGAAGGATATATCCATCGAGATCAAAGTGTTTTTCATTGTCAGGTGTTTCATAAACGGTATTCATGTCCATGTATTTATGTGGTTCTCCTTTTGTGATGTATTGCGAGAGATTCAGATCATTTTTTCCGTCATCATCAGTTGCTATATTTGATTCATAATCATGATGAAGCATACCGGATTTTCGTCTATCCGGTAACCGAGGTGGGGCGTTCAGGTCTTGATAAACTGAGTTAAGCGAAATAGCTTGCATCGTGCCAATACTCGTTACATCCACATAAATATCGGCGTTTATATTTTTCGCAGCCCTTCTTTTTCTTATTCTATGAAGACAGTACCAGCAGGACAATATCAGAATGATGGTAAACAATAAAACGCAAAGCCCAAGTAGAAATATCTTTGGAAGATCTGACAACAGACTAGGTCTTGTATTCAAGTTCAGATCTTCAAAATTAGTCGGGATTTCCTGATTGCGGGAAATTTTCTGCGTACTTGACGATGCTACTGTAATGTCGTCAGCAGCTGTCATCGGATCGTCAGTTGTAGGTGTCGTAACATCAGGCGCGACTAAATGGGAATAGGCAGCCATATCTATGACAAAAGTGGAACATAAGATAAATATCATTAATAAACAATTCACATTAAGACATTCCACATTTTCAAAATATATACGGTAAAAAGATAAAAACATGGGCTATGATAATTTTTATTATAAAGATTTGAAAACGAAGGTGTGTATAAAGTTTTGAATGAAGTTAAGAGAAAGTTAGTAACTTTTTGAAGTAATTAAATCCTTTATTTCTCGTCATTGCGCTGATTCCAGCTTGAATCGTAACTGCTTAATATAATGCACACGATTCCGTTTCCCTGTATAAGAATAGTTATCTTTATAATGAATTTCGTAAATAATTTTTTACCTTTTTCCTTGTAAGCAATTCATTCATAATTGGATTCAAAACGTGTCAAAATTAGTTAGGTCACTTTGAAAGGTTAAATGAAAAATGATGACTGGATGCAATGTGCGTAACATTTAAATATTGTACCTCCCATGAGACACGTGACCCCGGCGTCTTCGTTATGTTGACAGTTGTTCACTCCAAATCCTAGATGTGCGCAGTCCGCAAGATTGTCTTCCGTTCCATCGCACCCGACATGAGACAGGAGAATGTCATCGGACCCCTCGCCAAACTGGGCTGAACCTGGTGCAGTCGAGGCGTTTCCGAATCCTAGCATTCTGCATACGACATTTGCATCTTGCAAATCCCAGCCATCGTCGCAAACTGTTCCCCAGGTGCCGTTGTATCTGATCTCCACTCTGCCTTCAGAACTGTTGGATCCACCCACGAGCCGTACTCCAACAGAGTTTGGATAGGCTAAAACGAAAATGAAATTTCTTTCTTTTAGTAATTGTCATTCTCTGTCCTTTTCTAGTTTAGTTCTTCATATAATTATTTGGGTATGCACTCAATTTAAGTCAATATCTTATTGGAGTTGGAGAGTTTTTAATAATCGTATCTGTTCAGCCTCCTATCGAAGACATCTATACTAGCCTTTGTTATACCCGAGAGATGTATCGACATTTAGTGAAAGTGTCTATCATGCAAATTAGACTGTAAAATACAAATTTTAAAATAAATGACCATTACCCAAATAGTGCCCTGTTTTCTTGTGACAATTCATTCATTGCACATTCTTTACATTGTGCAAACAGCGTCTATCCGGCACGAATGTCAGTGAAACGACTTAAAACAGCTGAACAACAATCTTTACAGGGTGATTATGAAACCACTCTTGTGCCTGACTATATCATAAAAAGGTATGCACACAATATCATTTTACCGAAAGTGTTGACACATACCTCCCGAGTAACAGATGGCACCAGCATCCTCTTCATGTCCGCAGAAATTGACACCTAACCCAAGATGTGCACAGTCCGCAAGATTTGCCTCCGTTCCGTCACAACCAACAAGATTGAGAAGTATATCCCCAGATCCCTGACCAAACCTTGCAGATGTCGGTGCGTCCAAGGCTCCCTCAAACCCCAGCATTCTGCAGACGACCCTCGCGTCTCTCAGATCCCAGCCATTATCACAGATAGTTCCCCAGGATCCATCGTAGAAGACCTCCACTCTTCCTTCAGCTTTGCTGGATCCATCGACCAGCCTTATTCCGAAAGGATTTGGATGGGCTGAGGCAAAGGAAATCGGTAATTGATAATGCAATTAAAAACCAATAAAATGTGAAATAGCACACAAAATGAAATAGATGGCACAAGGCAGTTATGTATATGTTATTTGTGAAGTTACTGTAGTAAAAGTTTAGATGGTTTCAATATGATTCTTAAGCTAAAGTATTGGTCCCTACTTTGAATAAGCCGGAAGGAAACTAGTGGAAACTAGACTCATTATTAACATGTCTTTTCTTGAACATATCATCAGCTCAAGACCATCCACGACTGATATTAGTGGATAATAAGTAAACTCCTAATATAATGATATATCGGGACTGCTTGTGGCGGTTAAACATACCTCCATTGTAACAAATAGCGCCCGCATCTTCATCATGTCCACAGTAATGTACTCCAATCCCTCGGTGAATACATTCTGCTACGTTTTCTTCTGTTCCGTCACATCCGATGACATCTAGAATAATACGACCAGCGCCCTGACCAAACCTAGCAGATCCCGGTGCGTCCAAGGCTCCACCAAACCCCAGCATTCTACAAACCACCCTCGCGTCTCTCAGATCCCAGCTGTCATCACAGATAGTTCCCCAGGATCCACCGTGCAAAAGTTCTACTCTCCCTTCAGCATCGTTGGACCCACCGACAAGACGAACTTTAAATGGGTTCGGATGGACTACAAGAGAATAAAAACTTAATAACTGTTATTTTCTTATAGATGATATCATCACAAATTTCAACATACGTTAGATGCAAAAGTATGATGGCAGTTTAAATAAATCGAGCCATCTTTCGGTTGCTATTGATTGCAAATAGTTATCCTATCAGTACTACCTCGTAATTAACTACATATTAAATGCGGAGTGTAGAGGCGAAGAAAATTAACACCATTGTGCCTTAATCAAATGATTTATAGACCGTAGGGAAACATCTTATTCTTACATGACTATTATGTACGTTCCTCCACAATACCTGCCTCCTTATAAATCGACCGAATGAAAACAACTTGCACAATGATAATAACTATATATTTTGTGAAAGATCCAGCCCCTTAACAAAATTAGTTAAAAATAAATTCATTAAGAGGCAAAAAGGGAGATTTTTAAAGTCACTTATAAAAGAATTATTCTGATGTTCGTTCTCATTGAACCTCGTTCTCGGATAGGTGTACTACAAGTTTATAATATCTAGAAATAATACCTCCTGAGTAACACATGGCACCTGCATCACTTGTATGACTGCATGAGTAACGTGCATTCACTGAATAACCACATTCTGCAAGGTTGTCTTCTGTACCATCACAGTTGACCCTATCGAGAAGAATACGACTAGAGCCCTGACCAAACCTTGCAGACCCCGGTGCGTCCAATGCTCCATCAAACCCCAGCATCCTGCAGACTACCCTCGCGTCTCTCAGATCCCAGCCAACACCACAAACAGTTCCCCAGGATCCGTCTTGCAAGACCTCTACTCTGCCTTAAGCACTGTCAGAGCCATTGACAAGCCGAGCCTGGAATGGGTTCGGATGGGCTATATAATGAAAATATGTTAAATTTTATGTTTTTGTTTACATGATTCGACTTCATTTTTTTCGTGAATTAGGAATGGCATGGACAAAAATAGAAATTTGTCAATCTCAATAAGGTATTCCTACGTCGAATTTCATGTATTCATGTATTTATTGAAGGGGAGACTTTCGGAAATATTGTAAATATTTTATGAACGTAATTAAAGTTTTAAAAAAGTAATATAATTCTGAAAACATGCGCGTTCCACATTTTTCTTTTTTTGTTAGTCCGTACCTCCTAAATAACATACGGCACCTGCATCCATGTGATGTCCGCAGGGAATGCTGGCCCCAAAGTATGGACAGTCGGCCAGGCTGTCTTCTGTTCCCCAGCAATCGACACGAAGAACATCACCAGATCCCTGACCAAACCTCGCTGATCGTGACGCAGCCAGGGCACCGTCGAACCCCAGTATTCTGCAAACCACTCTTACATCTCTTAGATCCCACGAGGCACCACAGACAGTGCGCCAGGATTCACTATACAAGAACTCCACTCTTCCTTTAGCATGGTTGGAGCCATTTACGAGACGTACTTCTGGTTGAAAAGTGTCAATGGTGCTATTTCTTCTCCGCCACCCATTTTATAGGAAGAATAGTTTATCTGGTTATATAAAGCGTTAGAATATGTCTCTGAAACCACAAACAGCTCTGGTTCTCCCTCTTTTAAAATGAACAGTTGATTGATTTTTGACAAGTGATATTCTTCATCCGTCACTGAATTGGTGGTATGGTATCGTATGCCATAGTATATCCTTGAAAATGTCAATCTAGAACAATTTTTTGGGGGACGGGTTCATTTTCCCCAAATCGCCAGACCGCTAGCCGAAATTCTCCAAGAATCAGAAAGGAAAGAATATGGAAAAGCAGATTTTCTTGCTATACTAAAAAAGTTTTGAAAATATTGGTAGATTCTTTAAACAGATTAGAAATCAGTTAGAAAGTGGTTCACTATTTTTTTCAAATTATACGGCTAAATATAAAACAGCAATGTTTTATGTCAGTGTTTTGTCCTTTGGTGAATATTAGTGGGAAGCAGATATTTACTTAGTTTGGACAAAGGCATGGAAGAGTCTTATTACCACATTAGCTGTACACTGTGTCGTTTATTGCGAAAAGCGACATGAAAAACGAACGAAACCTTTTTAACACGGGGTTTAATGAGAGGCAGAAAAAAAGAGAAATATAGATCCACAGATATCAAAGAAAATTTGACAAATGATAAAGGTCTAATGTTTTAAAGCTGTGGCGATCAAACACGTATTAGTTATTTGACATACGTCGGGAGTAAAAGAAATTTCTCCCGAAAAAATAGTTATCCCATGGTACTCACAATGTGTCCTACATTTTGTTCACGCTTATCGGTGAAATGTATTTAATATATTTACATTCAACACTAAAAGTGAAAGAAATTATTTTAACTTTCTTTAACTTTTTACTTTCACAAAAATGAATAGAGGTTTGTTTTTTAAAGATATTTTATTGTTTATTCAATTTACAAAAAATAATAACAGATTGATAATGTATGTATATAATTAAACATAATATTACAAGATATTACAGTCACATATTACTCCGACATAAATTGAATTCAATTCAATTCAAGTATTTTTAAAAGACACATATATCAAATCGCAACATTTTTATATCTCGTCATTAAACTTACAAATGCGTTACAAAGCATATATACTTTTGGTCACTAATAATCACATAAGCATAACAGAATTAATATAGTATTACAAAATAATGCAGCTACATTACCCCAACATAAAGGACATATATGACAACAATTCGCACCTTTCCGTTTTTACATCTCGTTATCAAACTATTACAAATGCTCAAGAAATCATATATACGTTCAGTTACTAATTAGCACAGAATCATATACAGTTGGAAGTTATTACTCATATATAACCATATAACATGTTATGCACTGGATGAACAATATTTCAAAAAGAGCTTTACGCACACACGCACACGCATCCTCCCAACACACATACACATTCATGTACACACACTTCTTTAATTTTATTATAATAATTTTTTTTTTATTCCTCCAATAGTGTAATTAAAACATACAATTGAATAAAATAAAAACATTTTCAATATTGATTGCTTATACATAAACAAAAACATAATTAAATAAAAACTCATATGCCGTATATATAACTGAGCAAAATTGAAAGTACATAAACATTAGTCAATTGTACATATTCACTAATAAAATAAAAAATAAAAAATAAAAACTGGAGGTTATTTTACTGGTACTCCCAGATCCCACTCCCTCACACAAACACAAACACACACACACCACAAAACACACCACATTCATACACACCACCATACCAAAAACACATCCCAAAACACATCCTATCACACACTACAACAAAAGTTGCCACGCTGTGAAAATTTGCGCAATCTTATATTCCACACATGCACGCATAATCAATGCATGAATATACCCTTTGCATTTATTTGGGGAAAAAATTGATTTGTTAAAATAATACATATATATATATCGTGTTGAAGTGGACCACTCCATTTACATTACCTAACAGACAAGCTGGTGATAACTATACATCACTCTGTTTTAGTGCGGGTTTGAAATGATCAAATTATTAAATTCGAGATTATCAGTAATTAACTTACAGGCGTTACATAAACTGACGATGGTAATATCATGGGATTTCAAACTGTATTTACAGGCACGTTTACATCGTCAAAAAAATGACACTTCGTTGAGTACATCATTGTGTGTGCATCACTATCAAAGTTTCTGATTACAATATTTTCAAAATACATCTATCCTGGTCTTTCCTTTGTGAGTGTTCTTCTAAAGTTCCATATTTTCTATGTAGACCTATTGATGATCCTCGTCATATTAAATTTCATCTCAATTATCAACGTCTGTCCAACATTCGGGTTTGGACGAAATAATTGTTAAACTTCGTAATGTTTGGTATCTAAAAGAAAGTCCAATATCTAGAACTATGTCCCCCATTGTTGTCCCTTTTTTAATAAAGGCACGTACAAATATGACGTCACAAAACCGCATTGTTTTGATATAATGACGTAAAGAGCCATACCTTTACACTTAAACACGTGACAAATATGCAGCTATTTTATTTTTTGCATCGGTTTACCGCGCGATATCTGACCAAGTCTTATGCGGTTGTGATGTTGGTGTATTCAGAAATGATATCGTATTGCCTATCTTGCAAAGACCTTACCCCTTTGACTTTGTCTTCGCCAGGTGATACGCCAGTTACTGCCATTTTATCATTCATCGGGACTCTAGCCTGGTGTGTTGAGATTGTGGAATTACGATTACAGTCAGGATAATTGTCTTTACCTGCAGAAGGCTCTTCATAAACAGTTGTCATGTCCATGTATTCATGCAGCTCAGTCGCTGTACTGCCTTTTGTTATGGAGGCATGTCCTACATCTTTCGCATATGGACAGTTTTTCCGGGATCCTTGAGTTACAGATGGATCCCTGTCTATGCCTACATCCGTATCTGAGTTGATATCCATATACTCGTGAGGGTAATTTCCTCGAGTATGTTTCGGTTCTCTGCTGACACTTGCTTTCTTGTAACACCGTTGGACATTAGTTACATTCAAAGAAATTTCGTTTCCTGAACCTGTAACGCCAGGTAGGAGATACCCGTCAGTGTCCGTGTCTGTAACTCCTGGGGGCTCTTTAAAAACAGACTTGATGTCCATATATTCATGAATCCCACCTTGTCCGCTGGATTGTAGTGTCCCTTTCAAACTTCCTTTATTGTCAATATCGGGTAGACAAGTTGATATAGCTCTCAAATTCGGGGTGACTTCGTTTTTGGAGGGTGTAACGCTTGGGAGAAGATGGTTATTAACATCTTTGTCGGCGTCTACTGATGTCACACCAGGTAGGAGATAACCGTCAACATCAAAGTCCAAACCGGATGAAGGCTTTTGATAAACAACGTCCATGTCCATGTACTTATGATCTATATCTTGTATATTTGTGTGTGTTGCTCTCGTCATTTTGACATCATTCTCTTTTACATTGGCAGCCGTCGATACTATTGTTGATGTAAATTCAGACTTTGAAGCTGTTGAAGTTGGAAGAAGATAACCGTCAATGTCTGTGTGTGTGTCAATAGGAGGCGTTTGATTAATAGTATTTATTCGCGACATCATGCGAAATTCAGACTTTAATCCAGATTTCGTTGCCCTCCTAGTTGGAAGATAGCCATCAAGATATGTGTCTGTGTCTGTTGAGGACTTTTGAGTTGCATGCTTCATGTGCATGTCTTTAGGAATTGCCTCTTGTTTATCGCTATGCCTTGTTCTTGTCATTCTTTTGTCGTTGCAAGAACCTGATACACATGCGGCTCTCGTAGCTACCTTGGGGGTTAATTCAGACCTCAAAGCTGTGGAAGATGGAAGTAGGTAACCATCAAGATCTACGTCTGTGCAAGTCGTGGGTTTTTTACCAATAGGCTTTATGTCCATGTATTTATGAATCGCATCTTGTTTATTGCTGTGTTTTGCTCTAGACATTCTTATCTCATTGTCAGAACCTACTTCTTCTGCAGTTGTCGTTCCTATTTCCATGTATACTCTTGGTTCCGGAGTTGTTGCAGTTGGTAAAAGATAACTATCAATGTCTTCAACTTTAGAATTAGGTCTTTCACGGATAGTATTCATGTCCATGTATTCATGGGTTGCGTTTAGTTCGTTGTCGCCAATGATGTGCACCTGTTCACCTGTCGTGTTTTGACTTACTGCCAAAGCAACCTGCGATTTATTTTTCCGAGATGATACAACGGCTGACAAGCGTTCTGGTAACTTGGGTGGGGAACTAAGATCCTGATAGATTGAGTCTAAGTTCTGAAGGTCTACAGACCTAGAATGCATCAAATCCATGTATACAGTTGCATCAAGATTCTTTTTAGCTCTTCTCTTCCGGGATCGACATAGGCAATATACGAACGCTGCGATAAGAATAATGCTCGAAACGGGGATACTTATTCCGAGCAATAGGAAAAGATTGCGGGGGACTTCATAAAATTGTAGATTTTCAGGTTTATCTAGCTTGAAGTGTCCAGGTATGTTTGGAGTATTTGAATACAGATATGTATTACCAAGATCTGTCGATAGCCCTTCACGGGTGGTACTTGGCAAAGAAGGATCAGTAGTCTCGAATTCAATAGTACTAGTAGATTCTGAAATATAATAAAGAATGGAGAAATATTCAGTAAAAAACAACAACAGCGCTCATCAAGGATCAGTAGTCTCGAAATCAATAGTAATAATAGATTCTGAAAGGTAATAGCGAGTCATTATAAGCAACACATTTCTCTATTCGGATGCCTTTATGCTAATGTAGCTACAGTAAGTCTTTGATTACTTCATTATTGTTATTTTTCTTGTCCTTTTTAATAGAATATATGAATACAAATAATTTTATTTTGTGTTATTAGAGCACAAGTTGAATCATTTCGTGTATAAGTAACAAGGGGATTAACTGCTTTGTCGTATCTAGGGTTTACTAGGAGGGGACGGGGTCAATGGGGTTGGTTCTCACCCGGAGCAATGGAAATGTTTGTGCTCTTGCACTAAACGAAAATTCATTGTCTGGTAGCTGTAAAACTAGATTAAAATGCCGAGAAAACATACTTCCTGAGTAGCAAACGGCTCCTGCATCCCTTGTATGGCTGCATGAGCAACGTTCAACCCCTTCATGAGCACAGTCAGCTAGGTTGTCTTCTGTTCCCTCACACTCGACATATAATAGAAGAATCCGACTAGAGCCCTGACCAAACCTAGCAGATATCGGTGCGTCCAAAGATCCATCAAACCCAAGCATTCTGCAAACTACCCTGGCGTCTCTCAGGTCCCATGAATAATCACAAATAGTTCCCCATGATCCATCATGCATGACCTCTACTGTGCCTTCAGCGTCATTAGATCCACCGAATAGACGAACTTGAAATGGATTCGGATGGGCTAAAAATGAATTTTAAAAAGTGTTATTCGTTTTTACCAGTGTAACGGTATAATAATTACAGACAGGTTTAGCAACATTTTTGGAGATGATTACATTGCGAAAACGTAATTTTTTCAGGAAAATTATTTACGTTTCGATATCATTCATTTTAAAAAATGAACACAATACATATGTTTGTTTTTTTAATACAAACATCTCTTTTGAAATATGATAAACCATGTCAAATCTAAGGTTTGCCTTCATTTATCAATGCTGTAGTGTATAGCCTTTTCCCATTGCCTTGGCCTTAGCCCTGATGATTCAAAGCGTTTTTACTTTTTCTAACAATCCCAAGGCAATTTCATTAATTTTACTGTTTTTAGTAAAATTGTAGTTTGGTTTCTTGTCTAATAACAGTTTGTTATGAAGGCAATACCAATTCTTCAGGTAGGTGAACAAAACAGATCAAGAAAATGTCCCTCTTGCAACAAATCCTAAGAGACCAACACAATGTCCCTCCTCTGACAAAAGAAGTGCCCCGATGTAAAATCAACCCTTGTTTTCCGTCATTCATGTCAATACACATGCCTTTTTCGATAGGTAGCTATACAGTGCTATTTAATCATGTCAATGTAGCGTAATAATTTGTGTTTTAGTTTACTTTATTTTAGTTAAGAAAGTTATATTTTTTGTGATAGTAATACATGTATGTACAGCGCCATGAGCGTCAGAGCCTGGCGGATACCGGCGATATATAAATATCCATATTATTATTATTATTATTATTATTATCTATGTTGCTTGGCTTTTTTCACTGCTGATTCGACCCCCTTCCCTCCACCAGTAGAAGTACAAGTCAAATCTGGCTTTTATAAATTATATTTAATGTCACCTGCGACAAAAAGCGTCCCATCGAATTAACACATTTTATTCCTTTGAAGGCGAAACAATACGCAAAATAGATGGCGCGAAAAAAGCATCATATGCGCCACTAAAACGCAGGGTAAAAAGGCATTAGGAATTATTTTGTGAGATAAAAGCAACAATTTTCTAAAGCTCGTTCGCAGTGCGCTTTATCACAACGTAATTGAATTAATGTAACTCATAAACATCTTATTAAAGGGTTCAGATAATAACTAGAAGAAAAAGAGAATGTCATCGTCATTCCTACGCTCCTTAAAATTAGCTTTTGAGTTGCATCGGTATAATGTTAATACTGCGCCCCATAAAATAGGATAACGTATGTATAGTTTAAAATGGCACTTGCGAATTTTCAACATTTTAAAGAAATCTAAACTTTGAGATGCTTTTTTAATTTCCTGGACAAGATTAATCCTGGTATTCGAGAATATCGTGTATTATTCATTATAAGTCGAACTCTATACCGCTTAATTAAATTGCTCCCTTATATATTCATGTGTCAAATGCCTTCAATTACTTTGAAGGTTTGCCCCCTGTCGTCATAATAAGTCTGGGTGGAGGGGATGAAGACAATTTTGTTTTACTCGAATGTCATAATTCCTAGCTACGCCAACCTTTGCTGTGCAACCTTACATGAGATCTCTAATTCAACGCCTGACATATGAAGTAAAATAAAAGCCTTAGATTGTACATTGGGCCTAACAGCAAATTAAAAGAAGACAAGGGCACTGAGTGTTTAAGAGATGTCATACATCATCTGATGATACTAAAATGCAGTGCAAAACATAATAAGGGGTTTCCTGCATGATTTATTAACCAAATGCGAGCTCCAAATCAAGCTTTGTTAAAGATATAGTCCCATGCAATCGATATGTGAGGCAGGAGCGCTTGAAGTCCCTCTTTATTAATTAGCTCGATTCGCTTGCTCACCAGCTATTTACATGTAAGTCCAGGAAATCGATAACAAATATAAAGTAGGAGGTAATCAAAAGAAATTATGACACTGAATATTTGTAACAGTTTTCTACACTCTCCTATCCCACTGAAAATATTTCCATTAATATTGTTATTTATTTCATGTACACACAGATAAATAAAAGGTGTTCTTGGGGAGTAAAGCGAAATTAGAAAAATAGGGCGCCCCCTAGTACACTTTTTAAGGGGTAAAACACGGAAATACGCATGGGTGTATATTTGAGGGATGTAATTTTACACCTTATTTTAGTCAGACGAGCACTGATTGGTCAGTGCATATGTGCACGCGCTACAGCAATGGCGCATCGTGTCGGTTGTACTGCCAAATGAAGGGAAATTAGCATAATTTACATATTTCAGTCATGTTAGGGTAATTATCATGTTTCATTTGGGTATATTATTTGTGTGAAAGTTATCCGATCAAGAATAAGAGGTTGTACCGAAGGTTATATTCGATAATTTAATGAAATTAGCAGAAGTGTTGTTTTACTAACTAGTACACAATTGTCTTCTTATACGTACAAGTTAAGGGAAGATATTCAGTAATTCTATATAAAAGTGGGCCACTTTTTTATACAAATTCTATAGAAATCTATAACGGATCTCTATAGAATCTCTATAAAACATTCTATAGGCGTTGTGGCGTGCGCCTGTAATCCAGCTAACAGTGGAAGTTACAAACTGATTCAGCCGAGGACGCAGGTTCGAAACTGAGTCACGTCTTTCGGATGGTGACGTTAAAGGTCGGTCCCCAGACGTAAATAATCATATCTGATTGATACACGTCTGTAAAAAACCAAATACACACACAGTAAGGCATGATTGTGTGTTTAGGTAATTCCATTACGATTGAACCGATACGTCCAGCCATTAGTTAGTTCTTAAAGTCTGCACTTGTGTTGAGTTCAAATTAACTGTTGTTTAGGTAAGCATTAAAGCCTTTCGACATATAACTCGACATTCTGGTCTGATTTCTTTAGAGCGGTTAGAAGGTAGAAAAAAGGTGAGAATCAGTGTTTAGGTAATTCCATTACAATTGAACCGGTACGTCCAGCCATAAGTTAATTCTTACAGTCTGCCCTTGTGTTGAGTTCATACTAACTGTTGTTTAGGTAAGCATTAAAGCCTTTCGACATATAACTCGACATTCTGGTCTGATCTTTAGAGCAGTGAAACGTAGACAAAAAGGTGAGAATCAGTGACTGTTAGGTAATTACGAAGCATGGATGATTGATTGCTCGAGGGATGATCAATTGGTTGATGCTGTGCATAAGAAGGGTGTAGATTAACTCCCCAAAGGGTGCGGAATCGATCATAAAGGGTATAAAATTCAACCCTACGGAGGTAAATTTTAACCTACTTTTCATGAAAATGGAACCAAAAGGTGTTAATTAAGCACAATTGGGTGCAAATTTCACTCCTTAAAGGGAGTACAATCACAACCTTGGGGTGCAGATTGGCACCTTCTTATTAAAAAATAAATAAATTATTCCCTACATTGGGGAGAAAATTTACTCCCTGAAGGGTGTCACTTATGCGACAAGAAGTTAATCCCTATAGGGAGTCAATTTACACATATTTTTCTCTGGGTGTAGGCATTGCCTACATTTAAAACACAGCTTGTTTGGTATAAAGAAGCCCATGTTTTTTGTCTGTTTATGTGTGTGCGGACATCCATGTATGCACGTTCCATTTTCCCTCATTTTTATTTATGATTGCGCCTTGGCCTTGGTCTTGTAGTTTAAGCCTTGGCCTTGCTGGTCACCATGGCCAATGCCTCAGTCGCAAGGTTAGGGACTTCACTGCACCACTAATATGTTCAATGTTTAAACAAGGAATTTTGGAAGCATTTAAAAGAGGTTGATTGAAAGTATGGCTTTTTAAAAACATACTTCCTGAATAACAAATGGCGCCGGCATCGCGTCTATGACTACAGTAATTTCCAATCCGTATGTGAGCACAGTCTGCCAGGTTGCCTTCTGTTCCTTCACACTCGACATGAACTAGAAGAATACGACCAGAGCCCTGACCAAACCTAGCAGATACCGGTGCTTCCAAGGCTCCATCAAACCCCATCATTCTGCAAACCACCCTCGCGTCTCTCAGATCCCAGCTGTCATCACAGATAGTTCCCCATGATCCATCGTGCAGTACCTCTACTCTGCCTTCAGCATCATTAGATCCACCAACAAGATGAACTTGAAATGGATTCGGATGGGCTAAGAATGAGTTTTAAAAAGAGAAATTCGTTTTTACTAGTTTAAGAATACAATATTTACACATAGGTTAAGCAACTTTTTTGGGAAATGATTACATCGCGAAAACGCATGTTTTCAAGAAAAGAAAATTACGTTTTGATATCATTTATACACAAATGTAAACATAATTTTGAAAAAAATAGAAACGAGTATCTCTTTTAAAATGTAAAGAACCATGTAAAATCAAAGCTATGCCTATGAATATCAGTCTTGAAGTGCATTGGCTTTAAGGCGCCTTAAGACCCATTTTTTCTCATCACCTTGGCCTTGGCCATGTGTATTAAAATCTTTGATATTTTTTTAGCAATGCCAAGGCAATTTCAATTCATTATTAAACTTAGTATTTTCACAAATAAAATTTTAAAAGTAGTTTGGTTGCTTGTCTGACAACAGTTTGTTTTACCATTTTGACATGTAGGTGAACATAATAAGAACATCCTAAGAGAACAACACAATGTCCTTTCTGTGACAGAAGAAGTGTCCTGACGTAAAGCCACCTTTTTGTGGCCCTAGCTTGTCCTCATTCATGTCAATACACATGCCTATTTTGATAGATAGGTCTACATCTATGTTTCTTTGCTTTGTTCATTGCTGATCCCCCACATTCCTAAGTACAAGTCAAATCTGGCTTTTATGAGTGATATTTAATGTCAACTCTGACAAAAAGCATCCCTTCCAAAGATATAACATATGCCCTCCTGCATGGAACTAAAATTGACCCGGTCGGCACTCGAAGGGGACATTTAAAAAAAATGTACAATAGAGAGCGCGATAAAAATGTGCGCCCTCAATACGTCGGTTAAAAAGCATTAGGAATTATGTTTTGAGATAATGAAATCAACAGTTTTCTGAAGCTCGTTCGCAGTGTACTCTAGCTTAAGATAACTTCAGGATTTCGTCATTCTTACCCCGCTATTTAATGTAACTTTTAGACAGCTCTTTAAAGGGTGCAGATTAAAAAAGAAAAGAAAATAGAGAATATCATCGTCATTCCTACGCTCCTTAAAACAAGCTTTTAAGTTGCACCGGCCTGATGTTTATATTGCGCTCCCCAAAAAGGATAATTAAATATACTGTAGTTTAAAATCTCACTTCCAAATTGTTCAACATTCGAAGGGAATCTTAACTTTGGAATGCTTTTCTAGTTTCCTTAACAAGATGTATCCTGGGATTCGAAAATATCATATTTCAATTATTATATATCGACCTCTATACCGTTCGATTAATTTGCTCCCTTACGAATATTCCTGGGTAAAATGCGTTAAATCACTTAAGAGGTTTTCCCCCTGTCAAATACAAATAGTTTGAGTTGAGGGGGTGAAGACAATTTGTTTTACACAAATGCCATAATCCCTAGCTACACTACTTGTTGATGTGCTACATTGCATGAGACCAATGATTCACTATCTTGGCATACCAAGTAAGGAGCCTTAAATCGTACATCGAGCAACAGCAAATTAAAAGAAGAAACGAACATCGAAGGCTTAAGAACAGTGATAAATCTCCCGATGATACTAAGATACAGTTCAAAACAAAATAACGGGTGTCCTTAATTATTTATTAACCAAATTTGAATGCAAGCTCTAAATCAAGCTTTGTTAAAGATACGTCTCTCTTTATCAATTAGCTTGATTCGCTTGGGAAAATGTATAATATGAATGTGTAACGGCATATCATATATGTGTACAAACTCTTATAGGTATATTTTCTCAATATGCTCATCGATTGCTCATCGTCACTCTTCGAGGAGGAAAAATGATAAACCATGGCTGACTATTTAGAAGTAAAATAAAATTAAATTGTATGTTAAATTATTAAAATCAAACTTTGGTTAAGATGATTTGAAAAACATAAAGGACGTATACAAATATCTTAACTACAGTTTTGAGGAATTCAAAGAGGAAATATAGTGATTTATTTGAAATGTATAAAGATGATACAATGCAAACATGGAAGTCAATAAATAAGCTATGAAAGAGTGGCAACAGTAAAGTAGAAACGTCACATGTAGATAAGCTCTGTGTTGATTATAATGGTAGTTCGAAAGTTGATTTTAACCTCAAGAAAAGAAATATCAGAAGGCTTTAATGATTTTTCGATAACTTTGGGCCTAACCTTGCTAAATATATTATTGATAATGATAATGATGTTATTACATTTAAAGATTATTTTAGTGATGGAATAGTTGACTCTTTGTTTTGGGAATCAGTTACTCATTATGAGGTAAAGGACTATTTATTAACTTTGAATGTAAAGAAAGCTCGCGGTTTTGATGATTTTCCAGCCTTATTTAATTAATTGCAAAATCATCAGCTTATATTTATAATCAGTCATTATTGAACGGTGTGTTCCCAGAAGCAATGAAAGTAGTCAAAGTTATACAAATTTTTAAAAAGGGGGAAAGAGATGTCTCAGGCAATTATAGACCTATTTTAGTTTTGCCTCTTTTGGCCAACATATTTGAGAAATTAGTAAACAAGAGGCTACTTGATTATTTTGAAAGGAATAATGTCTTGCATAAGCACCAGTATGGTCTCCGTAAACATTATAGTACTAAGTTGTCTTTAATTAATTTGGTTAATGATATGCTTAAATCACTGAATAAGGGCAGTGTAACACTTAGTGTATTCCTAGATTTCTAGCGAGCTTTTGATACAATTGATCACGCAATATTGGCTGGTAAATTAGAACATTATGGAATAAGGGGTCTGCCTCTTCAGTGGTTTAAAGATTATCTTTTAAGTAGATTACAGTTTGTGAATTACGATGGACATAGCTCATTGGGGCAGATTATAACAAGTGACGTTCATCAGGGTTCCGTGTTGGGACCTACACTGTTTTTAATGTATATAAACGATTTGCCAAACTCAACAAATTATTTAGATTTTAGACTTTTTGCCGTTGATTTTTGCTTGTTTCATACATTTCCACCGAGACTAAATTTGATTGATATGGATATAGGGAATATGCATCTTGAAAAGGTGACCATCTGGTGTAAGGTGAATAAACTCACAGTGCATCTCGTAAAGACTAACTATTTCTAAATATGAGGGAGTAGGTAATGAGTAGAACCCCAAGGGGTACTAAAAATAGCAGAGACGGAAATAGTCCGGGTTGATGTTGCAACATTTGTAATCGAAAAGATGTAAATAAGAGTTATAACGTTAAGTCATAACCGATATTTAGGGAGCAAAAATTATTTATTCTGTATCGACTCCATAAACTATTTATTTTTGTTGTATGTATTAATTATTGATTGATAAATTGCCGCAGTCCCTAATTCAGTATTGCTGTTTCAAGAGCATGAATATGAGACTAGACAAAGAGAAAGTAAGAAGTTGAGTGTGCCTAAAATAAGGACAACGCAGGGTAAATGTTCAATGTCATTCAGAGGCACATGCTTTTTGAATGATCTACCCCTATCTGAACGGGAGAAAGCATCAGTGTCTTGCTTTCGTACACCTCTTAATTGTTGTAACTTTGAACCGAGGTGTCTTACTTTTTTGTATATATTATGTTATATAATTCTTTATTTTTTTATTTAGTGTAAAATACCAAAGCTTTGTATTTAATCACAGAACATATTTTAACCTAGATGTGGAATAGTTTGTAGCTTAAGTATGTATTCAATAGTTATTAATATTCATTCATTACATTATCATTCATTGTTGTGATACTTTTGTGTGTGTATCAGACACGATTAACATTTAATGCTATTTTCTGGTCCCATTTGTCCTTTCAATGTTAAACATTCACATTGATTGTTATATTGCAGTACTTTTTGTTTGGATAATGAAACTTCAAACTCAAACTATTTACATGTATGTCCAGGAAAACGATAACATAGTAAGTTATGAAAAGGGGCTTATGAAACTGAATATTTGTAACACTTTTCCACCGAGGGTTACAGTGATTCAGCTCACTTTTTGCCCCCCGCATCACACGTGACGCCAAATACTTAATGATAATAATAATGATAATTGTCAATGCCTTGGTCTTTAAGGTTTGGGCCTTGACTACAACACTCATATATAAAATATTTAAGGAAATAATTATGGAAGCTTTTCATAGAGGTTGAATGAAAATATAGCTTTGGTAAGAACACTATTTTTGTGTGTATGACAATTTTTTGATTTTTTTTTTCTTTATGGCCGACCCTCCCCCCCCCCCCCCCCCCCGTGGATCCGCACCTGATTATACCCCTCATAGACAATTTCTTGTACATGGATTGGTTAAGAGAACTAAACGTAATCAGACATACTTCTAGAAGACCAACCCCATAACTATGTTTTTAAATTCTAGCTGTGATGTCAGACGAGGAAACGCTTTCAAAATCCTCACTTTATTTGCGATGTCAGCTTTTGTGCGCACAACCGATTGATCAGTTACTCCCATCTCCTCGGGCTGACCAAGGGAAAAACAAATGTACCTGTGTTTAAATTCAAGCGAATGAGTAAGAATAATTTGTTGACATTGATGCCAGGAACTTACCTCCCGAATAACAAACAGCGCCCGCATCCTTTGTATGACTGCAGTGGTAATATTCAATCTCTCCATGAGCGCAGTCTGCAAGGTTACCTTCTGTTCCCTCACACCCGACATAAGCTAGAAAAACAGGACCAGAGCCCTGACCAAACCTAGCAGATCTTGATGCGTCCAAGACTCCATCAAACCCCAGCATTCTACAAACCACCCTAGCGTCTCTCAGATCCCAGCTGTTATCACAGATGGTTCCCCAGGATCCATCGTACAGTACCTCTACTCTGCCTTTAGCATCGTTAGACCCACCGACAAGATGAACTTGAAATGGATTCGGATGGGCTGAGGAGAAAAGTAATATTTCTTCTAAGTAATGAAATAATTCTGATCATTGCCAGAGCTACTAATGACAATTAATTAATGTGTAAATTGCCATCAATTCGATGTTTTCTCTATGTACCGTTCGGGTGAAACAAGCCTAACACAAAGTTGTCATTCTTCATCATTTTATTTGAAAAAAATCGCTAATATATCCAGAGGAAAAAACTAAGCAGCAACTTCAATGTAATTTCGCTGGTGATCTGGTCGAAATTAAAATGTCATATATCAGCAGTAAGAGTTTTTCTATTCCACTGTCGAAAAGAGAAAATGAAAAGCAGTCTATTTACTATTTGAAATAAAAAGCATTAATATCAAATTCAGTGTTTTAGAATTAGTGCTCCTATAGTCTACATAGATTGACTAAAAACCCTTTTCTCCGTTGAATATGGACCAAAGACACCTAAATTAACACCCTGCAGATTGAGTAACAATTGAAGAAAAAAGGTTTTGACATAGAATCTAGAGATATGATTTCGCTGCGTTCAATTGCGAAGAAACAGTACAGATAAAGGAAATTATGATATTGGTACAAGCAAAAGTAATCTATTATTGAGTAGAATGAAATTAGTTGTAAACAAAAATTGATTTCTGTAATACGATACATACCTTAAAAACTCTTATGTACTATAATACTTAAATACATATATAGATTAAAGCAACTACAAAACGTAGACATTTCAGAAAGTGGCAAGAGATGAAAAGCGAAAAAAATCGGGAAAAGTATTCTAGTGCAGAAATTGAACAGCAAAGACGTTGTTATAGTAGATCCAGCAACCAAGCAAGGTGGCAGTGTAGGAAGGCGGTGAGTTCATATAAGAAATATATAGCCTCAGGAGTTAAGAAGAATGCAAGAACATTCTGGTCATATGTAAACTCAAAAATAACAACTCCGGAAGGTGTCTGTAATTTAACCAAACCTGATGGGAGTAAAACAGAAACGGATCAGGAAAAGGCTAAGGTTTTGCAAGATTTCTTTTCAGTTTTCACGAAAGAAGATTTACAAGATATCCCTCTCCCTTCAGATGTTGAATTTGACACTCCACTAGACGACATACAGATTACGTCAGGAGATGTGTTTGAACTACTGGGTAGACTTGAGCCTAATACATCTCCGGGGCCTGACAATATACATCCCCGTCTACTTAAAGAACTAGCAGATGTGTTAGCTCTACCGATTTCTTTGCTGTTCCAAAAGAGTCTTGAAAGTAGAGAGTTACCCCAAGACTGGAAATCTGCAAATGTTACCCCGATTTTCAAGAAAGGTAACAAAAGTGATGGTAACAATTATAGGCCAGTTAGTCTAACAAGCATTATTTGTAAAATGATGGAGAATCTTGAGCGTAAGCAATTGCTTGACCATCTTATGACGAATGATTTGATTTCAGTTCACCAGCATGGGTTTGTAGTTGGTCGGTCTTGCATCACCAATCTTTTAGAGGTGTTGGACCAGTGGACACAGATTTTGGATGATGGAGGCACAGTAGATGCCATATATTTGGATTTCATGAAGGCGTTCGATACGGTGCCTCACAACCGGCTGCTTCTCAAATTAGAATCGTATGGAGTTCGTGGGAATGTACTTGCATGGTTAGAGTCTTTTCTGAGTGGACGACAGCAAAGAGTAGTGGTCAGAGCAAGAAGTTACCTGGTCAGAGGCAAGCAGTCTAAGTGGGGCAAAGTCCTGAGTGGAGTGCCGCAGGGCATTGTGTTTGGTCCGTGTTTATTTTTGCTATTTATCAATGACCTTCCAAAATTTGTCAACTCAAATATGTCAATGTTTGCAGACGATACAAAGTTGTATGTCCGTGCTGATACTGCAGATTTAAGAAAGCAACTACAAGAGGATCTGTCACGGATGGAAGAATGGGCTGAGAAATGGCAGCTTTGCTTTCATCCTGATAAGTGTACTGTTTTAAGGCTTGGGAAGTTACTGGCAGAAGCCTCTACAGACTATTGTATGGAAGAGGGGACAGACTCTGTAACACTATCTGTTACAAAAGTAGAAAAGGACCTAGGTGTCCTTGTAGATTCACAACTATCATTTAAAGATCACGTTACCCAAACAGTTTTTAAAGCGAATCGAGTACTTGGAGTTATCCGTAGGACATTTATGTACCTCAATACTGATACTATGCCGTTTTTGTTTAAAGGCCTCGTTAGGCCAATTTTAGAATACGGACAAGCCGTATGGTCCCCATACAGATTAGAAGAGAGGATGTTGGAAAGCATACAAAGACGTGCAACAAAGGCTATTCCTGGCCTTAAAAATTTATCATACCAGGAGCGCTTGACCAAACTCAAACTACCAACTCTTGTTCACAGGCGTAGAAGGGGGACATGATCGATGTGTATAAGTACGTGAATAGCTTGTACACTGTGCAAGAGATTCCCTTTAAGATGAGTACAGAAGATAGATCTCGAGGTCACTCTAGAAAACTTGAAAAGATATATTCAAGGCTAGATATAAGAACATATTTTTTTAGCAATAGAGTCGTGGAACTGTGGAACGGTCTCTCAAAAAACGTTATGGCAGCTGGGTCGGTAAACTCATTTAAGAATGGACTTGATAGTCACTGGTCAAAGAATGCAAGCCTTTTGTATGAGCCGGTCTAGGTGTTGTCTATTGACTCATGTTATTACACAACCTCCTCCCTCCACAAGTAGCAGTAATCATGGAAGAATCCTGGATTAATGAACAGGCTTAGACCTACAACATCGTGTATGAAAGTAATGTAAAGTAAGTTAATAAGTAGTTCCTCCTATAATGTGACTTCCCGGTAAAAAATATTTGTTGGACAAATATGAAAGATCATATAGCTACAGAGAAAATGCCTATTTTTATATCAAAAGGTTGTTTGTACAGAATAGCTTAAAACGGAGAGGTAACTTCGTGATTTCGTGATTCGTGATTTTTTTTTCTTTATGGCCGAAATACGAAGGAATAAAGAATTTAGAGTTACTGCTCCATTTTGTGTTTAAAGATCAGCTCAAAAATTTTATTCTGTAGAATACGGACCCAGAAAAACCTACCTCCGGAATAACAAATGACACCTGCATCCCTTGTATGACTGCAATCGAAACTTAAACATGTATAGTATCCATCTTTTCCTTTGCTGCAAGAGACACCTTTATTTCCTGCAATATGAGCACAGTCTGCAAGGTTGCCTTCTGTTCCCTCACACCCGGCATTAGCTAGAAGAATACGACCAGAGCCCTGACCAAACCTAGCAGATACCGGTGCTTCCAAAGCTCCATCAAACCCCAGCATTCTACAAACCACCCTCGCGTCTCTTAGATCCCAACTGTCATCACATATAGTTCCCCAGGATCCATCGTGCATGATCTCTACTCTTCCTTCGGCATCGTTAGACCCACCGACAAGACGAACTTGGAGTGGATTCGGATGGGCTAAAAATGAATTTTAAGAAACGTAATTCGTTTGTAATAGCGTAAGGATATAATATTTACACATAGCTTTGGCTACTTTTGTGGAAATGATAACTGAGCGAAAATGTCAATTTTTCTGTATCATTATTTCATTTCGATATCATATATTTAAAAAAATTAATACAGTGCAGCTTTTTTCATAACTACGAACATCTCCTTTGAAATTGTATAAACCATGTCACATCATAGGTTTGCCTATTTTTTACCAGTGTTGTAATGCATTGGCCTTAAGAAATAAATATACATATGTTGTTGTGAGTACGGATTCTTATAAGCAATATGATTGCATGTTAGCCAACATTCAAGAAATGCCTAGAAAAATAGTCAAAGTCAAATGCAGTCATAAAACTATCACTATCACTTTTCCAAATGGAAACGTCAGATTTTAGTAATTGATTTCGTAGCAATGATAGGAAAAAGTACCTGTATTACCATATAAGCTCAAAATATTATTTTTTTTGCGATTTGAACAGAATGCCATTTATAATTACGAATATTCGTTTCCTCATGTCCAGAAGAGTTCTTACCTCCTGAGTAACACACGGCGCCCGCATCCATATGATGCCCACAGGAAGAGTCGATCTTTCTTAAACAGTTTGCCAGGCTGTCTTCTGTTCCCGAGCAAAAGACTTTAATAGTATCACCAGAACCCTGACCAAACCTGGCCGATCGTGGCGCGGCCAGGGCACCGTCGAACCCCAGCATTCTACATATTACCCTTGCGTTTAACAGATTCCAGAATTCATCACCACAAACGGTAATCCACGATCCACCGTACAAGACCTCCACTCTTCCTTCAGCATTGTTGGAGCAATTTATAAGACGTATATCTGGTAGAAAACTGTCGATGAGTTTCCGCAAAATTGCATTTATTTTGTATATTATCCAAAGTGGTTCATTGTGACGCAGAACGAAAAGAGGAATTAACCTTTTTTCTGAAACGGATCGATTGCCCCTCGATTAAATTGAAAACATGATAACTACAATCAGATTGTTTTGATCGGACAACTGTATAACTATTAGAGGGATTGCTAGACCTTTTTTTTTAGGGGGGGCAGGGTTTAATAATATTTTCAGACTGCTGACATTTGTCCAACAAGCTAGGAGTTTCTATGAGAGATTGTAATCTTTTTTAAATGTGAAGGAATTCTTCGTGGAATAACAAGAAAATGAAAGATATAGGTTGATGGGGTTTTAACAAAATCGGACTTAGCTCAGGTCACTCACAATATTGTGTCTGGTATTACATGGAGCCTTTCGACAAGATATCATGCTAATGATACCCAAAACGACTGGTTGAAGTTGACTAGACACTGGACCTTTAATTATAATAATAATACGACAAATTTATATAGCGCTTGTGACATGAAAGTTTTAATGCGCTGTACATAAATCAAGATTACTTCAAGAAAATCAAAATTACTATTAAAACAAATTAACATTACTTAAATTACCAAGAAGATCAAATATTGCTAACATCATTAAAGAAATTAACATAGCATGTAAATTCCTTGGTAACTTAACATATATCATCATACAGTGTATCAATAATAGCAACAGTTTAAAAAGACATAATGTAGGCATTGTAAGACTAATTCAAACTTATTTTATAGTTATTTTGGGTTGATTTTGGAAAAGATGAGTTTTTAGATTTATTTGAGAATGTCAATGGTGGGTGAGTCCTGGATATGGGCGGGGAGAGTGTTCCAAAGAGTAGGGGCACAGACTGAGAAGACTGAAAAGTACTCGTAGTTGACTGAGAAGGCCATGTCACCATTCTATGGTTTCATTTCTTGCGAGATCCGAGTCACAATTTTGGGGTAGGTATTGAATTATACTGTTTGATAGATAATGGTATTAATGTATACGATGAACAGAACAAAGAAATTTACAATTATTTTTTAAATTACTGCCCTCTTACATATTATTATTTCCCGGTCATTTTTCCACGCCTCCAAGTGACTTATTCTTAACAAGCTGTGCCTTTTTTAATAGGTGTCTGCGCATTTCACAGTGTTTTGCTTTTCTTGTCAGGGTTTCCTTTACATATTAAAAGTTGTCAAACAACTTTGATGATATATAATTTTGTAGTATGATTAATTTTTCAATTACTATAATCATTTTGTTATTATGAAACTTATTTGTATTTTTTTTATCTGTATTGAATCTGCATGTGAATGTGAAACCAATACACTCGACTCAACAAAACCCAATTTAGAAGTCTCGTATGCGTGAGCGCGCACTATGTATCATTCAGACGAGACTTTCTTTAACTAAACAAATTTAGCCAATGGTTCGAAACTGGAAGTGATCATTAGATGATTCCAGTTACAAAATATATAGATACATTTTTATCTTACTTAAACAATTTTGAGGAGGGGGGGGGGTTCCGATATCTTGGAAACTTTTGCTGTTATGTTTCTCTGACATTTCTGTTTCTGTAGGGAACTGTTTGTGAATTATTATTCTGTTTTCATGATTCTAGTGTGCTTGGTGGAGGAAATACTACGCTCAATCACTGGTATACATGGATAATATAGACTTGGCCATTTTTAATAGGCTCTCGAATTTCCTACCTTACGCGGAACGTATGGACAAAGGCGTAAGCAGGACCACTCCATCTAGCTACACTCAGCAGGATCAGGATTCCTTTAGACATTTTATAGTAAAGAGCCGTTGGTAGAAGAGGCGGAGCCATTTATCGTACCTATTATACGACATGGTACAACACTCTTAGAGAACTAGCCTGCCGGGTAACCAAGGGCTGCAAGTAGCTACGTTCATCAAGTAGGGTATGAATCGCCAATGTAAGATCTATAAAGGTTGATGTGGGTCTGGACTCACCACAAGCTGACGAGTTCGCTGTAGCGTTCAGGTCCTACATTCATAAAACTTACTACGTCTAGTTGCCAACTGCAACTATGTACTCGTAGTACAATAGCCTAGGTAATTAATTGACAACTAGGTTAGTAAGGTTTGTGCATATGGGTCAAGCTAGGTTTCCATGCACGACCAAGACGATAATGTTTTGCTAGGTGTTTGGGCATACGTAATATCATGGACTCTTCTTTTTCTCGTCGAAACTGTGAAGTCTTAAAATTTCCCTCGTTTTGATAATAACCTCGTTTTTTATGGTTATGGATATGGTTCGACGTAAACACCTTAAGTAGCTCTTTTTTTAGATTAAGCATAATAGGAAAATGAACACAGATTATGAATCAGATTATGTATTGTAACTGTTTTAGTCTGTGCTAAGCCACAGGAGATATCTCTCCCATGCTCAACCGTTTCAGGTTGATTATGACAATGTACTTGTTTGCATAATTTCTTCAATATTACATTTGTATTATAAGTGGAAACTAATTCTTCCCTTTCATCCTTTCTCTTTGAATTTGTGTATGTAATATACGTATTAGCATATAATAGCGGCGTGAGTTTGTTGGGAGTGTTCAGTGCAGTTTATCCTTTTTCTTGCCGCCTCTTGGACACTGTTCTTGTGAGAAACGGCTGGGATCAGCCAGGAGCTGTGCCTCAAAGGTTCTTTTATGTCAAGAAATTCCATTTTCGGTAAATAATAACGACGATATTGTAACTTTTTTTTTACTAGTTGTCGGTAACCTCCAGGAAAGCACGTCTCAGAAAAACGCATCAGCCTGAACGAAGGAAAGTCATCGCATCGACGTATACGAGTTTCAGATGGGTTGTCACGCAAGTCATAAACCGACGTGAGTTGTGTTATAGCACTGGAAGTGCAGCAGAAACTGTAGTTAATTCTTATCTCATCTGTACTTTCGCTTTTGAACGAATGTGGATTTATATCAATGGCCTATGATGGCGAATTTCCTAACTTGGTGTACATTAAAGGCAACATATTCCATTAAATATATTATATGTAGGCCTTTGGAGTGTTGGATTGTGATGTTAAAAGTTGTAGTACTTTTTCCTGAAATGCAATGTCTAGCTTACAAGTCAATACCCAATTGTTTGTAAAGTGGTCTCACCCCTCCTCCTTTCTCTTTCCTCTCTCACGCTCTTTCCATTCCTCTCAAGTTAACTCGCAGCTTTTCCTGCCTGATTTCCATTTTTTTTTATTACAACAAAATATGGTAGCGTCTAATATTTTAATATTGCAAAATGTATTTCTCATCTGCGCAATCTACCCCTGGATTTATACGGAACTCTCTAATGTGTATATGATTAGTATACAAATATTGCATATTTCGTCGTTCAATATAACACAATAAATGAACCATGTACTTTATGGCCCGAATTCACAAAGCAAGGTTTGAGCTCAGACCAAGGTTTGAGCTCAAACCTCCTTTTGTTTCGCCAAACCTCCTTTTGTTATTTACAAACCTGTTTTGTAAATAACAAAGGGAGGTTTGGCGAAACAAAAGGAGGTTTGAGCTCAAACCTTGGTCTGAGCTCAAACCTTGCTTTGTGAATTCGGGCCAGTAAGTATATATCAAGTTGAAATATCATGACACGAGGTAAATTCTGAATTTTTGAGGTGAATATAATATGTTATAGGAAACAACAAATTGCATGCTATGTATGTTAAATATGATTCAGGGTACATTTGTAATCCTTTGGAATAAGGGCCTCACTTTACATGCACCAAGCTAAGATATTAGCGAGTTTTCGCTCAGCAACGGACAGACCTTCGCGGACGAAGAACACTCATGTTTACGGCCGTTGCACACAGACCGCCCTTGATACAATACGTGGTTTCGCTTTTCGGTGAATGCGTACGTATCTTTACGGAGGTATTGCATTTGCAATGCCATTAGGCAATTTTCGTAATGTAACCCAATTTAATGCATACGTCTTTGTGAAGTGCCTCGATACAAAATATTTCATTCACCTGATAAGGATAATATTATTTCAATAGACAGAATCCAAGCTGCATAAATTAGTTGTTGCCAGTTCGACAAACATTAGGGGTATTTCGCAAGCTCATTGCGGACAGAGAATCTGCGGTTCGTGTGCAAAATCGAGAAGCTACTATAGTAACAGCAGGGTGATCGCTGAGGTATTGAAATCCAGAACGGGTTTTGGCCAAATCTACGGGCGTTCTCAATGACGCCCTAAGTGAATAAACAGCCAATCAGCGAGCTTGTACCAAAGATGGTACGTCTAAACGACTGATTCGTCTAATAACGAAGAATGACGAATTTTAACAGGCGGATCTAGCTTCTTTTTTATGGCGTGGGCGGGGGGGGGGGGGGGGTTGACATTTGAAAAATCGCGCCGACCAATATTTCGCTTAGTGGGGGGGGGGGGGTAGGGAGCACTAACATTTGTTTTCAATTTGAAAAAAGTGCCAACCAATATTTCGGGGGGGGGGTAAAAAGCACCTTGGCCAGCCCAAGGGAGGATTTAAACCTCCTAACCCCCCCCCCCCCTAGATTCGCCCCTGACACGAATGACTCTTCGGTGAGTTTTTTTTCTTCCGATTAGTGTTTCTGAACAATAACAACATGAATATGGATATAACATGAATTGTTTTAAAACCTGATGATAAATTATTGTTGAAATTTGATAAACAGCCGTTTTGTGGCTTGGTCGAGACAAGTTGTTCTAGTCGTGTAGTCCCGTCTGTATTGTATTGCGTGGAAGGGAACAGGCCATTTCCGTAATGTAATCAAATTTAATACATACGTCTTTGTGAAGTTCCTCAATACAAATTATTTCATTCATCTGTCTAGGATTCGCAATAGTCAGAATGCAAACTGCATGTATTAAGTGTGGCAACATGTATGCAGATTGGATTATGTCTATTTAAATACTAGTATTATTATCAGGTGAATTAAATAGTTTGTATCGAGGCACTTGATTCACTTGGGGCGTCATTGAGAACGCCCGTAGATTTGGCCAAAACCCGCACAGTCTAATTAACTTTAGCACGCATTATACAGTACCAAAAAAGTGTTTACGTTGCACGTTCACTCACGCACATATAGAAATATCCCATGCTCCGGCGTTCAAGTAGGCCTACAACAAAATATGTGAACCGACAACTTCCAGAGTGAGGCTATATTTCACCGAGGCAGCAAGCTGAGATTAAGATATAATGGCTCGAGACACATTCTAAATTTACATGTATTGTATTGTATTTATTAAACTTCATTGATGTACATCAATATTCTGTTTATAAACATATAATCACTTTACAATGTAATGTAACAATCAATATTCTGTTTGGGAAGATATACATCATATAAGTATACGTATACATCATCTAAATTTTTAAGTGATTATATGTAATACTGAATGCATGCAGTATTTGTAATATAAAATTGAGGGTATTTGCGACCTCTTGCCTTGATTGATCCCTTGGAGTCGAGCCATGCGCGCTGATCAAACAATGGAGTAATTATGCAAGGAAGAGAGGTGCGCAGAAGATTCTCTTTTGTATGCGTTATACCGTGTTAAAAGGGTTGTTATATTTTGCAAAGTCGTGCACATTGTAACAATATATTGAGTGTCCCATGACACGTTTATAGCCAAAAGGATACTCACTAACAAATGCACCAAACAAAAGGAAGAAACATACTGTCGAGGAGCCAGAACTGTTATTTTCAAAGCAAGATAGGTATATTTAGTTGCGATGTTAAAGGTAAAGACCAGTTATGGTCATGCGATTGCATTGTGAAAGAAACGTTGTAAAATTGATCAGAAAAGGTTGATCATCTAGCATCTAGCATCTGCAAGGTTCTGGAATCATCAAAATGATAAGAAATTTGGCCCATTCTTCCTAAAGGTACAAGCACTATACACAGAAAGATGTATATGGGACTACCCTATATCTCTCACAGACCATGAGAGAAACAAATTTACCAAATATATGAATTAGGCGGTTTCCCGGCAAATTTGTTATCATCATGTATTAGTCAAAACATATTCTTTCACATGATTGGTAATGAGAGCTTCCATTTCATTTTTTGAAATTGGGGCGTTTCCAATACTGGTCTTTACCTTTAAGCCTGACTTGTTATCCCTTTTTATTATCGTTGGACAAATACGTATTGTGAAAATAGATTATTTTGATGCATAGAAAGGACTTACATATGATTATGAATAATCTCTTAACATCTCTATTACATAATGAATTGAGCCACATCTAATGTGATGATAATGATAGAGGCAATCGAGTACAGTCAATATCTAAATAGTTTGATATGTAACGTCTACACTAAAAGAAGGAACGCAATATGATTGATACGATTTCATTTGTTTCCCTTATTGTACATACCTTGCTATGTCGAACATTTTGCTCTTATTTGGTTAAGCAATTACATTCGTGAATTTATTTACAATCTTACAGAAATGGTTATTCGTGTATCACAAAGAGGTAAAATTACAGAAAATATATGATATTTTCATTTTTTGTACCCAAATGCTTATTGTTTTATTCATTATTTCAACACTGATAACGTAATTATTGTCGTTTAGCCTGACATTTACATGAAAGTCTGTATTACTGTCATACATTTTGTCTTGAATGGTATTACACAATGGAGAAGAAAAAAACCTATATAAGTCTGACAGTGTCTAATCTACGAGTTGGTTTAGATCAGTGGTTTGAAGATAAGTTTAATCATTGGATATGTCCTTTGAATTAAACAATTATTTAGAAAAACAGTTGCGTGTGAATGGTAATAGAATAGGCATTAATCGTCATTGAACTGAGATCGTATGGAACTAAAGAGGATTTTAATTTACTTGCTGAACTTATGACCGCCATTAATAATTACATTTGACATCCCTTTCAGTTTTCCATCGTACTGAAGCGGAAGAATCCTTTTCGATCGTGGTGATTTGTTACTACTAAAATACGGCTCTCATTCGATAATCTTTTATTTCAGCACACTTGTGTATATCCTTACAAATGACGGATAAGTGCATTATCAACAACTGAACCACTTCTCATAAGTGTCTAATTGTATCTTTTATCTTTTACCCCACAGTTGTCATGTCCATATACTCTTAGAAACTTCAGGAGTTTTTTGAGGTGCAGTTTTATTTATTTGCACACTAGATAGTGTTTTTCCATCGTTTTTGCTCGGGTCTGTGTCGGAGTTGTCCTCTCACGGGAGAAGATATCCATCCATGTCCACATGTTTCCCCGCTGAGGGCGTTTGGTAGACAGTTTTCATGTCGATGTACTCATGATTATTCGATTTATCGTCACGAAATTGATCAGCCGTCGCTGTCACTCCATCATCCGATAATGCGTCCCTGGTCGGAAGGATATATCCATCGAGATCAAAGTGTTTTTCATTGTCAGGTGTTTCATAAACGGTATTCATGTCCATGTATTTATGTGGTTCTCCTTTTGTGATGTATTGCGAGAGATTCAGATCATTTTTTCCGTCATCATCAGTTGCTATATCTGATTTATAATCATGATGAAGCATACCGGATTTTCGTCTATCCGGTAACCGAGGTGGGGCGTTCAGGTCTTGATAAACTGAGTTAAGCGAAATAGCTTGCATCGTGCCAATACTTGTTACATCCACATAAATATCGGCGTTTATATTTTTCGCAGCCCTTCTTTTTCTTATTCTATGAAGACAGTACCAGCAGGACAATATCAGAATGATGGTAAACAATAAAACGCAAAGCCCAAGTAGAAATATCTTTGGAAGATCTGACAACAGACTAGGTCTTGTATTCAAGTTCAGATCTTCAAAATTAGTCGGGATTTCCTGATTGCGGGAAATTTTCTGCGTACTTGACGATGCTACTGTAATGTCGTCAGCAGCTGTCATCGGATCGTCAGTTGTAGGTGTCGTAACATCAGGCGCGACTAAATGGGAATAGGCAGCCATATCTATGACAAAAGTGGAACATAAGATAAATATCATTAATAAACAATTCACATTAAGACATTTCACATTTTCAAAATATATACGGGAAAAAAGATAAAAACATGGGCTATGATATTTATTATTATAAAGATTTGAAAACGAAGGTGTGTATAAAGTTTTGAATGAAGTTAAGAGAAAGTTAGTAACTTTTTGAAGTAATTAAATCCTTTATTTCTCGTCATTGCGCTGATTCCAGCTTGAATCGTAACTGCTTAATATAATGCACACGATTCCGTTTCCCTGTATAAGAATAGTTATCTTTATAATGAATTTCGTAAATAATTTTTTACCTTTTTCCTTGTAAGCAATTCATTCATAATTGGATTCAAAACGTGTCAAAATTAGTTAGGTCACTTTGAAAGGTTAAATGAAAAATGATGACTGGATGCAATGTGCGTAACATTTAAATATTGTACCTCCTATGAGACACGTGACCCCGGCGTCTTCGTTATGTTGACAGTTGTTCACTCCAAATCCTAGATGTGCGCAGTCCGCAAGATTGTCTTCCGTTCCATCGCACCCGACATGAGACAGGAGAATGTCATCGGACCCCTCGCCAAACTGGGCTGAACCTGGTGCAGTCGAGGCGTTTCCGAATCCTAGCATTCTGCATACGACATTTGCATCTTGCAAATCCCAGCCATCGTCGCAAACTGTTCCCCAGGTGCCGTTGTATCTGATCTCCACTCTGCCTTCAGAACTGTTGGATCCACCCACGAGCCGTACTCCAACAGAGTTTGGATAGGCTAAAACGAAAATGAAATTTCTTTCTTTTAGTAATTGTCATTCTCTGTCCTTTTCTAGTTTAGTTCTTCATATAATTATTTGGGTATGCATTCAATTTAAGTCAATATCTTATTGGAGTTGGAGAGTTTTTTAATAATCGTATCATCTACTATATATCTGTTCAGCCTCCTATCGAAGACATCTATACTAGCCTTTGTTATACCCGGGAGATGTATCGACATTTAGTGAAAGTGTCTATCATGCAAATTAGACTGTAAAATACACATTTTAAAATAAATGACCATTACCCAAATAGTGCCCTGTTTTCTTGTGACAATTCATTCATTGCACATTCTTTACATTGTGCAAACAGCGTCTATCCGGCACGAATGTCAGTGAAACGACTTAAAACAGCTGAACAACAATCTTTACAGGGTGATTATGAAACCACTCTTGTGCCTGACTATATCAAAAAAAGGTATGCACACAATATCATTTTACCGAAAGTGTTGACACATACCTCCCGAGTAACAGATGGCACCAGCATCCTCTTCATGTCCGCAGAAATTGACACCTAACCCAAGATGTGCACAGTCCGCAAGATTTGCCTCCGTTCCGTCACAACCAACAAGATTGAGAAGTATATCCCCAGATCCCTGACCAAACCTTGCAGATGTCGGTGCGTCCAAGGCTCCCTCAAACCCCAGCATTCTGCAGACGACCCTCGCGTCTCTCAGATCCCAGCCATTATCACAGATAGTTCCCCAGGATCCATCGTAGAAGACCTCCACTCTTCCTGCAGCTTTGCTGGATCCATCGACCAGCCTTATTCCGAAAGGATTTGGATGGGCTGAGGCAAAGGAAGTCGGCAATTGATAATGCAATTAAAAACCAATAAAATGTGAAATAGCACACAAAATGAAATATATGGCACAAGGCAGTTATGTATATGTTATTTGTGAAGTTACTGTAGTAGAAAAGTTTAGATGGTTTCAATATGATTCTTAAGCTAAAGTATTGGTCCCTACTTTGAATAAGCCGGAAGGGAACTAGTGGAAACTAGACTAATTATTAACATGTCTTTTCTTGAACATATCATCAGCTCAAGACCATCCACGACTGATATTAGTGGATAATAAGTAAACTCCTAATATAATGATATATCGGGACTGCTTGTGGCGGTTAAACATACCTCCATTGTAACAAATAGCGCCCGCATCTTCATCATGTCCACAGTAATGTACTCCAATCCCTCGGTGAATACATTCTGCTACGTTTTCTTCTGTTCCGTCACATCCGACGACATCTAGAATAATACGACCAGCGCCCTGACCAAACCTAGCAGATCCCGGTGCGTCCAAGGCTCCACCAAACCCCAGCATTCTACAAACCACCCTCGCGTCTCTCAGATCCCAGCTGTCATCACAGATAGTTCCCCAGGATCCACCGTGCAAAAGTTCTACTCTCCCTTCAGCATCGTTGGACCCACCGACAAGACGAACTTTAAATGGGTTCGGATGGACTACAAGAGAATAAAAACTTAAATAACTGTTATTTTCTTATAGATGATATCATCACAAATTTCAACATACGTTAGATGAAAAAGTATGATGGCAGTTTAAATAAATCGAGCCATCTTTCGGTTGCTATTGATTGCAAATAGTTATCCTATCAGTACTACCTCGTAATTAACTACATATGAAATGCGGAGTGTAGACGCGAAGAAAATTAACACCATTGTGCCTTAATCCAATGATTTATAGACCGTAGGGAAACATCTTATTCTTACATGACTATTATGTACGTTCCTCCACAATACCTGCCTCCTTATAAATCGACCGAATGAAAACAACTTGCACAATGATAATAACTATATATTTTGTGAAAGATCCAGCCCCTTAACAAAATTAGTTAAAAATAAATTCATTAAGAGGCAAAAAGGGAGATTTTTAAAGTCACTTATAAAATAATTATTCTGATGTTCGTTCTCGGATAGGTGTACTACTAGTTTATAATATCTAGAAATAATACCTCCTGAGTAACACATGGCACCTGCATCACTTGTATGACTGCATGAGTAAAGTGCATTCACTGAATAACCACATTCTGCAAGGTTGTCTTCTGTACCATCACAGTTGACCCTATCGAGAAGAATACGACTAGAGCCCTGACCAAACCTTGCAGACCCCGGTGCGTCCAATGCTCCATCAAACCCCAGCATCCTGCAGACTACCCTCGCGTCTCTCAGATCCCAGCCAACACCACAAACAGTTCCCCAGGATCCGTCTTGCAAGACCTCTACTCTGCCTTAAGCACTGTCAGAGCCATTGACAAGCCGAGCCTGGAATGGGTTCGGATGGGCTATATAATGAAAATATGTTAAATTTTATGTTTTTGTTTACATGATTCGACTTCATTTTTTTCGTGAATTAGGAATGGCATGGACAAAAATAGAAATTTGTCAATCTCAATAAGGTATTCCTACGTCGCATTTCATGTATTCATGTATTTATTGAAGGGGAGACTTTCGGAAATATTGTAAATATTTTATGAACGTAATTAAAGTTTTAAAAAAGTAATATAATTCTGAAAACATGCGCGTTCCACATTTTTCTTTTTTTGTTAGTCCGTACCTCCTAAATAACATACGGCACCTGCATCCATGTGATGTCCGCAGGGAATGCTGGCCCCAAAGTATGGACAGTCGGCCAGGCTGTCTTCTGTTCCCCAGCAATCGACACGAAGAACATCACCAGATCCCTGACCAAACCTCGCTGATCGTGACGCAGCCAGGGCACCGTCGAACCCCAGTATTCTGCAAACCACTCTTACATCTCTTAGATCCCACGAGGCACCACAGACAGTGCGCCAGGATTCACTATACAAGAACTCCACTCTTCCTTTAGCATGGTTGGAGCCATTTACGAGACGTACTTCTGGTTGAAAAGTGTCAATGGTGCTATTTCTTCTCCGCCACCCATTTTATAGCAAGAATAGTTTATCTGGTTATATAAAGCGTTAGAATATGTCTCTGAAACCACAAACAGCTCTGGTTCTCCCTCTTTTAAAATGAACAGTGGATTGATTTTTGACAAGTGATATTCTTCATCCGTCACTAAATTGGTGGTATGGTATCGTATGCCATAGTATATCCTTGAAAATGTCAATCTAGAACAATTTTCTTGGGGACGGGTTCATTTTCCCCAAATCGCCAGACCGCTAGCCGAAATTCTCCAAGAATCAGAAAGGAAAGAATATGGAAAAGCAGATTTTCTTGCTATACTAAAAAAGTTTTGAAAATATTGGTCGATTCTTTAAACAGATTAGAAATCAGTTAGAAAGTGGTTCACTATTTTTTTCAAATTATACGGCTAAATATAAAACAGCAATGTTTTATGTCAGTGTTTTGTCCTTTGGTGAATATTAGTGGGAAGCAGATATTTACTTAGTTTGGACAAAGGCATGGAAGAGTCTTATTACCACATTAGCTGTACACTGTGTCGTTTATTGCGAAAAGCGACATGAAAAACGAACGAAACCTTTTTAACACGGGGTTTAATGAAAGGCAGAAAAAAGAGAAATATAGATCCACAGATATCAAAGAAAATTTGACAAATGATAAAGGTCTAATGTTTTAAAGCTGTGGCGATCAAACACGTATTAGTTATTTGACATACGTCGCGAGTAAAAGAAATTTCTCCCAAAAAAATAGTTATCCCATGGTACTCACAATGTGTCCTACATTTTGTTCACGCTTATCGGTGAAATGTATCTAATATATTTACATTCAAATGATTCAACACTAAAAGTGAAAGAAAATATTTTAACTTTCTTTAACTTTTTACTTTCACAAAAATAAATAGAGGTTTGTTTTTTAAAGATATTTTATTGTTCATTCAATTTACAAAAAATAATAACAGATTGATAATGTATGTATATAATTAAACATAATATTACAAGATATTATAGTCACATATTACTCCGACATACATTGAATTCAATTCAATTCAAGTTTTTTAAAAGACACATATATCAAATCGCAACATTTTTATATCTCGTCATTAAACTTACAAATGCGTTACAAAGCATATATACTTTTGGTCACTAATAATCACATAAGCATAACAGAATTAATATAGTATTACAAAATAATGCAGCTACATTACCCCAACATAAAGGACATATATGACAACAATTCGCACCTTTCCGTTTTTACATCTCGTTATCAAACTATTACAAATGCTCAAGAAATCATATATACGTTCAGTTACTAATTAGCACAGAATCATATACAGTTGGAAGTTATTACTCATATATAACCATATAACATGTTATGCACTGGATGAACAATATTTCAAAAAGAGCTTTACGCACACACGCACACGCATCCTCCCAACACACATACACATTCATGTACACACACTTCTTTAATTTTATTATAATATATTTTTTTTATTCCTCCAATAGTGTAATTAAAACATACAATTAAATAAAATAAAAACATTTTCAATATTGATTGCTTATACATAAACAAAAACATAATTAAATAAAAAGTCATATGCCGTATATATAACTGAGCAAAATTGAAAGTACATAAACATTAGTCAATTGTACATATTCACTAATAACAAAATAAAAAATAAAAAATAAAAACTGGAGGTTATTTTACTGGTACTCCCAGATCCCACTCCCTCACACAAACACAAACACACACACACCACAAAACACACCACATTCATACACACCACCATACCAAAAACACATCCCAAAACACATCCTATCACACACTACAACAAAAGTTGCCACGCTGTGAAAATTTGCGCAATCTTATATTCCACACACGCACGCATAATCAATGCATGAATATACCCTTTGCATTTATTTGGGGAAAAAATTGATTTGTTAAAATAATACATATATATATATATATATCGTGTTGAAGTGGTCAAATGATTTGAAATGATCAAATTATTAAATTCGAGATTATCAGTAATTAACTTACAGGCGTTACATAAACTGACGATGGTAATATCATGGGATTTCAAACTGTATTTACAGGCACGTTTACATCGTCAAAAAAATGACACTTCGTTGAGTACATCATTGTGTGTGCATCACTATCAAAGTTTCTGATTACAATATTTTCAAAATACATCTATCCTGGTCTTTCCTTTGTGAGTGTTCTTCTAAAGTTCCATATTTTCTATGTAGACCTATTGATGATCCTCGTCATATTAAATTTCATCTCAATTATCAACGTCTGTCCAATATTCGGGTTTGGACGAAATAATTGTTAAACTTCGTAATGTTTGGTATCTAAAAGAAAGTCCAATATCTAGAACTATGTCCCCCATTGTTGTCCCTTTTTTAATAAAGGCACGTACAAATATGACGTCACAAAACCGCATTGTTTTGATATAATGACGTAAAGAGCCATACCTTTACACTTAAACACGTGACAAATATGCAGCTATTTTATTTTTTGCATCGGTTTACCGCGCGATATCTGACCAAGTCTTATGCGGTTGTGATGTTGGTGTATTCAGAAATGATATCGTATTGCCTATCTTGCAAAGACCTTACCACTTTGACTTTGTCTTCGCCAGGTGATACGCCAGTTACTGCCATTTTATCATTCATCGGGACTCTAGCCTGGTGTGTTGAGGTTGTGGAATTACGATTACAGTCAGGATAATTGTCTTTACCTGCAGAAGGCTCTTCATAAACAGTTGTCATGTCCATGTGTTCATGCAGCTCAGTCGCTGTACTGCCTTTTGTTACGGAGGCATGTCCTACATCTTTCGCATATGGACAGTTTTTCCGGGATCCTTGAGTTACAGATGGATCCCTGTCTATGCCTACATCCGTATCTGAGTTGATATCCATATACTCGTGAGGGTAATTTCCTCGAGTATGTTTCGGTTCTCTGCTGACACTTGCTTTCTTGTAACACCGTTGGACATTAGTTACATTCAAAGAAATTTCGTTTCCTGAACCTGTAACGCCAGGTAGGAGATACCCGTCAGTGTCCGTGTCTGTAACTCCTGGGGGCTCTTTATAAACAGACTTGATGTCCATGTATTCATGAATCCCACCTTGTCCGCTGGATTGTAGTGTCCCTTTCAAACTTCCTTTATTGTCAATATCGGGTAAACAAGTTGATATAGCTCTCAAATTCGGGGTGACTTCGTTTTTGGAGGGTGTAACGCTTGGGAGAAGATGGTTATTAACATCTTTGTCGGCGTCTACTGATGTCACACCAGGTAGGAGATAACCGTCAACATCAAAGTCCAAACCGGATGAAGGCTTTTGATAAACAACGTCCATGTCCATGTACTTATGATCTATATCTTGTATATTTGTGTGTGTTGCTCTCGTCATTTTGACATCATTCTCTTTTACATTGGCAGCCGTCGATACTATTGTTGATGTAAATTCAGACTTTGAAGCTGTTGAAGTTGGAAGAAGATAACCGTCAATGTGTCTGTGTGTGTCAATAGGAGGCGTTTGATTAATAGTATTTATTCTCGACATCATGCGAAATTCAGACTTTAATCCAGATTTCGTTGCCCTCCTAGTTGGAAGATAACCATCAAGATATGTGTCTGTTGAGGACTTTTGAGTTGCATGCTTCATGTGCATGTCTTTAGGAATTGCGTCTTGTTTATCGCTATGCCTTGTTCTTGTCATTCTTTTGTCGTTGCAAGAACCTGATACACATGCGGCTCTCGTAGCTACCTTGGGGGTTAATTCAGACCTCAAAGCTGTGGAAGATGGAAGTAGGTAACCATCAAGATCTACGTCTGTGCAAGTCGTGGGTTTTTTACCAATAGGCTTCATGTCCATGTATTTATGAATCGCATCTTGTTTATTGCTGTGTTTTGCTCTAGACATTCTTATCTCATTGTCAGATCCTACTTCTTCTGCAGTTGTCGTTCCTATTTCCATGTATACTCTTGGTTCCGGAGTTGTTGCAGTTGGTAAAAGATAACTATCAATGTCTTCAACTTTAGAATTAAGTCTTCCACGGATAGTATTCATGTCCATGTATTCATGGGTTGCGTTTAGTCCGTTGTCGCCAATGATGTGCACCTGTTCACCTGTCGTGTTTTGACTTACTGCCAAAGCAACCGGCGATTTATTTTTCCGAGATGATACAACGGCTGACAAGCGTTCTGGTAACTTGGGTGGGGAACTAAGATCCTGATAGATTGAGTCTAAGTTCTGAAGGTCTACAGACCTAGAATGCATCAAATCCATGTATACAGTTGCATCAAGATTCTTTTTAGCTCTTCTCTTCCGGGATCGACATAGGCAATATACGAACGCTGCGATAAGAATAATGCTCGAAACGGGGATACTTATTCCGAGCAATAGGAAAAGATTGCGGGGGACTTCATAAAATTGTAGATTTTCAGGTTCATCTAGCCTGAAGTGTCCAGGTATGTTTGGAGTATTTGAATACAGATATGTATTACCAAGATCTGTCGATAGCCCTTCACGGGTGGTACTTGGCAAAGAAGGATCAGTAGTCTCGAATTCAATAGTACTAGTAGATTCTGAAATATAATAAAGAATTGAGAAATATTCAGTAAAAAACAACAACAGCGCTCATCAAGGATCAGTAGTCTCGAAATCAATAGTAATAATAGATTCTGAAAGGTAATAGCGAGTCATTATAAGCAACACATTTCTCTATTCGGATGCCTTTATGCTAATGTAGCTACAGTAAGTCTTTGATTACTTCATTATTGTTATTTTTCTTGTCCTTTTTAATAGAATATATGAATACAAATAATTTTATTTTGTGTTATTAGAGCTCAAGTTGAATCATTTCGTGTATAAGTAACAAGGGGATTAACTTCATTGTCGTATCTAGGCTTTAGCAGGAGGGGACGGGGTCAATGGGGTTGGTTTTCACCCGGAGCAATGGAAATTTTTGTGCTCTTGCACTAAACGAAAATTCATTGTCTGGTAGCTGTAAAACTAGATTAAAATGTCGAGAAAACATACTTCCTGGGTAGCAAACGGCTCCTGCATCCCTTGTATGGCTGCATGAGTAACGTTCAACCCCTTCATGAGCACAGTCAGCTAGGTTGTCTTCTGTTCCCTCACACTCGACATATAATAGAAGAATCCGACTAGAGCCCTGACCAAACCTAGCAGATATCGGTGCGTCCAAAGATCCATCAAACCCAAGCATTCTGCAAACTACCCTGGCGTCTCTCAGGTCCCATGAATAATCACAAATAGTTCCCCATGATCCATCATGCATGACCTCTACTGTGCCTTCAGCGTCATTAGATCCACCGAATAGACGAACTTGAAATGGATTCGGATGGGCTAAAAATGAATTTTAAAAAGTGTTATTCGTTTTTACCAGTGTAACGGTATAATAATTACAGACAGGTTTAGCAACATTTTTGGAGATGATTACATTGCGAAAACGTAATTTTTTCAGGAAAATTATTTACGTTTCGATATCATTCATTTTAAAAAAATGAACACAATACATATGTGTTTTTTTTTAATACAAACATCTCTTTTGATATATGATAAACCATGTCAAATCTAAGCTTTGCCTTCATTTATCAATGCTGTAGTGTATAGCCTTTTCCCATTGCCTTGGCCTTAGCCCTGATGATTCAAAGCGTTTTTACTTTTTCTAACAATCCCAAGGCAATTTCATTAATTTTACTTTTTGTTAAAGTAAAATTGTAGTTTGGTTGCTTTGTCTGATAATAGTTTGTTACGAAAGCAATACCAATTCTTCATGTAGGTGAACATAACAGATCAAGAAAATGTCCCTCTTGCAACAAATCCTAAGAGACCAACACAATGTCCCTCCTCTGACAAAAGAAGTGCCCCGATGTAAAATCACCCTTGTTTTCCGTCATTCATGTCAATACACATGCCTTTTTCGATAGGAGCTATACAGTGCTATTTAATCATGTCAATGTAGCGTAATAATTTGTGTTGTTTTAGTTTACTTTATTTTAGTTAAGAAAGTTATATTTTTTATGATAGTAATACATGTATGTACAGGGCCATGAGCGTCAGAGCCTGGCGGATACCGGCGCTATATAAATATCCATATTATTATTATTATTATTATTATCTATGTTTCTTGGCTTTTTTCACTGCTGATTCGACCCCCTTCCCTCCACCAGTAGAAGTACAAGTCAAATCTGGCTTTTATAAATTATATTTAATGTCACCTGCGACAAAAAGCGTCCCATCGAATTAACACATTTCATTCCTTTGAAGGCGAAACAATACGCAAAATAGATGGCGCGAAAAAAGCATCATATGCGCCACTAAAACGCAGGGTAAAAAGACATTAGGAATTATTTTGTGAGATAAAAGCAACAATTTTCTAAAGCTCGTTCGCAATGCGCTTTATCACAACGTAATTGAATTAATGTAACTCATAAACATCTTATTAAAGGGTTCAGATAATAACTAGAAGAAGAAGAGAATGTCATCGTCATTCCTACGCTCCTTAAAATTAGCTTTTGAGTTGCATCAGTATAATGTTAATACTGCGCCCCATAAAATAGGATAACGTATGTATAGTTTAAAATGGCACTTGCGAATTTTCAACATTTTAAAGAAATCTAAACTTTGAGATGCTTTTTTAATTTCCTGGACAAGATTAATCCTGGTATTCGAGAATATCGTGTATTATTCATTATAAGTCGAACTCTATACCGCTTAATTAAATTGCTCCCTTATATATTCATGTGTCAAATGCCTTCAATTACTTTGAAGGTTTGCCCCCTGTCGTCATAATAAGTCTGGGTGGAGGGGATGAAGACAATTTTGTTTTACTCGAATGTCATAATTCCTAGCTACGCCAACCTTTGCTGTGCAACCTTACATGAGATCTCTAATTCAACGCCTGACATATGAAGTAAAATAAAAGCCTTAGATTGTACATTGGGCCTAACAGCAAATTAAAAGAAGACAAGGGCACTGAGTGTTTAAGAGATGTCATACATCATCTGATGATACTAAAATGCAGTGCAAAACATAATAAGGGGTTTCCTGCATGATTTATTAACCAAATGCGAGCTCCAAATCAAGCTTTGTTAAAGATATAGTCCCATGCAATCGATATGTGAGGCAGGAGCGCTTGAAGTCCCTCTTTATTAATTAGCTCGATTCGCTTGCTCACCAGCTATTTACATGTAAGTCCAGGAAATCGATAACAAGCATAATAATAAGGAGGTAATAAAAAGGGGATTATGAAACTGAATATATGTAACAGTTTTCCACCCCCTCCAATCCCACTGAAAGAATTTCCATTAATATTGTTATTTATTTCATGTAGGCATTACCTACATTTAAAACACAGCTTGTTTGGTATAAAGAAGCCATGTTTTTTTTTTGTCTGTTTATGTGTGTGCGGACATCCATGTTTGCACGTTCCATTTTCCCGAAATTTATTTATGATTGGGCCTTGGCCTTGCTGGTCACCATGGTCAATACCTCAGTCGCAAGGTTCGGGACTTTACTGCAACGCTCATATGTGTAATGTTAAACCAAGGAATTTTGGAAGCATTTAAAAAAGGTTGATTGAAAGTATGGCTTTTAAAAAACATACCTCCTGAATAACAAATGGCGCCGGCATCGCGTCCATGACTACAGTAATTTCCAATCCCTGGATGAGCACAGTCTGCAAGGTTATCTTCTCTTCCCTCACACCCGACATAAGCTAGAAGAATACGGCCAGAGCCCCGACCGAACCTAGCAGATCCCGCTGCGGCTAAGGCTCCATCAAACCCAAGCATTCTGCAAACCACCCGCGTGTCTCTCAGATCCCACCAAGTATCACAGATAGTTCCCCAGGATCCATCATGCATTACCTCTACTCTGCCTTCAGCATCGTTAGACCCACCGACAAGACGAACTTGAAATGGCTGTGGATGGGCTGAGGAGAAAATTATTTTTTTCTATTTTACCTTTTTCACATTTTGTGAATGTTTGTGAAATAAGCCTGATCATTTGCATCAACTACTATTGAAAATAAATTCATGTGTAAATGACCAACAACGATTTTTTCTTTATGTACCGTTGGGGTGAAACAAACATAACACGTACCTGTCATTCTTCTTCATCATTTTATTTGAAAGAAATCGCTAATATATCCCGAGAAAAAAAAATCGAAGCAGCAACTTCAATGCTATTTTACTGGAGATCTAGTCGAAATTATTTTATTTGAAAGAAATCGCTAATATATCCCGAGGAAAAAATCGAAGCAGCAACTTCAATGCTTTTTTTACTGGAGATTTAGTCGAAATTAAAATTTCGTATATCAGCAGTAAGAGTTTTCCTATTCCACTGTCAGAAAGAAATAACAGCAGTCGAGTTTACTATTCGAAATAAAAAGCGAGTAATATCAAAGCGAGTGTTTTAGAATTACTGCTATATTTAGTCTTTATAGATCGACTCAAAACCTGTCTCTGTAGAATACGGACCAAAGACACCTTAAAAAAAATAGGTTTTGACATAGAATCATGAGATAGGATTTAGCTGCGTTCAATTGCTACGAAACAGTCAACATGATGTTTGTACAAGTAAAAGTAATCCATGATTGAGTAGAATGAAATCAGTTTTTGTGAAGAAGAAAAATTATTTCTTTAAATACGATATATACATTAAAACTCTTATAAACTATAATACTTAAATACATATATAGATTAGAGCAACTATAGTAGTTCCTCCTATAATCTGGCTTCCCGATAAAGGGAATTCGTTGGACAAATATGACGGAAAGATCCTTTACCTACAGAGAAAATAACTTTTCTTTATATTAAACATTTTCTGTACACACTAGCTTAAAACGGGAAGGTAACTTACTCCCTAAATAACAAATGGCACCAGCATCTTCGTTGTGTCCACAGTTATGAACTCCAACCCCTCTATGTGGACATTCTGCTAGGTTTTCTTCTGTACCCGAACACCAAACATCATCTAGAAGAATATCCCCTGAACCTTGACCAAACCTAGCAGATCCCGGTGCGTCCAAGGCTCCATCAAACCCCAGCATTCTGCAAACCACCCTCGCATCTCTCAGATCCCAGCTGTCATCACAGATAGTTCCCCAGGATCCATTATGCATGACCTCTACTCTGCCTTCAGCATCGTTAGACCCACCGACAAGACGAACTTCAAATTGCTGAGGATGGGCTAAGGAAAAAATTATCTTTTCTTTTTTACAATTTTCACATTTTGCCAATCTTTATGAAATAAACCTTATCATTTGTCTGAACTACTCATGGAAATGAATTCATGTGTAAAATGCCAACAATTTGATGTTTTCTCTATATACTGTATGCATGACAAAATACAATACAATTGTAATTCTTTTTTATCATTTCATTGGAAATAATTTGCTAATATATCCACAGGGAAACAGGGCACCAACTTCAAAGTTATTTCACTGGAGATCTGGTCGAAATTAAAACTTTATATATAAGTTGTAGAGTTTTGCTATTCCCTTGTCGGAAAAAGAAAACGAAAAGCACTCGACTTATTTAAACTATTCGAAATAAAATGCAATAATATCAAATTAAGTGTTTTAGAATTACTGCTCCATTTTGTCTTCGTAGATCGACTAATAATCTTATCTCTAGAGAATACGGACCAGAGAAACCTACCTCCGGAATAACAAATGACGCCTGCATCCCTGGCATGTCCGCATGAAGTATAATTTCCAATCCCTGCATGAGCACAGTCTGCCAGGTTGTCTTCTGTTCCCTTACACGCAAGACGAGTTAGAAGAATAGGACCAGATCCCTGACCAAACCTAGCAGATCCCGGTGCGGCTAAGGCTCCATCAAATCCCAGCATTTTACAAACCACCCTCGCGTCTCTCAGATCCCAACTGTCATCACAGATATTTCCCCACGAGCCATCGTACAGTACCTCTACTCTGCCTTCAGCGCTGTTAGACCCACCGACAAGACGAACTTGGAATGGATCTGTGGGGGAGAACCGGGGATGAATCTTTTTTTGCTTGAAATGTGAATAGTTTTGCCATGTCACATTTAGACCAAAGGAGTGCAAACTTTATGGTTAAAACGCATATAAGGTTGTTGATTTTGAGCCCACAATCCTCGAGAGCAAACGCCTAAGAGTCCCGAAATAAGTGTGGATAGCGACAAAGAAGTTTGTTAATACAGCCGAAATCCCTTTCTTAAAAAGAGAAAAACTCAACATATATATATATCAAACGAAAAGTTTGTTCAGGTTTAAACAGTTTTGTTTTCACTTAGATATAGATAATTTTCAATTAAAGCTGTTACTTTTCATATCTACTGCGTAATATATTGATAGGGAATTAAAATAAGAAAATAACAAATTTAATATAAACCAAAAGCTGTGAAAGTAATTATTTTCCCTCTTTCACTCGTTTTTCGCTTCGGTAGTTAAGAAGAAAAACAAAGTGCATATCATACATTTGACTAAAATCAAACGAAATCTGAAGAAAAAAAGGTATTCAGCAATTCAAAAGTTATTCACGGTCTTTGTGCACAAAATAAATGTGTTTTGAAAATACCTTGGACAACATTAAAATCATTGTTGCTTACAAATCATTCATGAAAGGTAAGACAAATCCCTAAAGGCTAGTTCAGACATGGCGTGTAAATGAATAGCAACTGCGCGCACCAAGGGAAACACCTAAGGTAATATATATATATATATATTTTTTTTTTTTAAGCCACAGTCTTGCCTCATCTTGTCTGAACGAGCATTTACCGTCAGTGTCAACGATCAGACGTACCATGAATGGATTCGGATGGGCTTAATTTAAAAAAAAAAAAAAAATGTATGAACAAAAGCTACCTAAATATATATATTATTGTGTGTTTGGGTTTTAAAAAAGCAATAAGACTGCATGTTGGTCAATATTTTTGACCATCTAAGCTCTATTCTTTTTGTTGTTGCGATTTTAACAGTATGCCATTTACAATTAGGACTAGTCGTTTCCTTATGTCCAAAAGAGTTCTTACCTCCTGAGTAACACACGGCGCCCACATCCTTATGATGCCCACAGGAAGAGTCAGGCCACACACCTAAACAGTCGGCCAGGCTGCCTTCTGTTCCCCAGCAAATGACACGAAGAACATCACCAGAACCCTGACCAAACCTGGCCGATCGTGGCGCGGCCAGGGCACCGTCGAACCCCAGCATTCTACATATTACCATTGCTTGGAACAGATTCCAGTAGACATCTCCACAAATGGTCATCCACGATCCATCGAACAAGACCTCGACTCTTCCTTCAGCATTGTTGGAGCAATTTATGAGACGTACTTATAGGTAGATGTCGATTAGTTTCTGCAAAACTACGTTTAATTGTATTTTATCCAAAGTGATTAAGTGTGACCCAGAATTAACCTTTTTCTGAAACGGATACGTTGTCCTCGTTTTATATATAATACTATCAAAACTACAAATCAGATTATTTTGATCGTGAAGTTGTCATATTACCTAACACACCTGTTAGGTAACAGGTGTGTTGCTAGACTTGGAGGGGGGTGGGGGGGGGGGGCAGGGGTAACACTAATTGTTTATACTGCTGACATTGTCCAACAAGCTTGTTTTTTTTATGTGAGACTGTTTTTCTTTTACATGCGAATGAATTCTTCGTGGAAAACGCAGAAAATTAAAGATATATGTTGGTAGAGTTTTATAAAAAAAAAATTGAACCAAGTTCAGGTCACTGATAACGACCTGAGCGAATTTAGTCATGTGTTTGGTAACAATGGTTCGAAATTGGCAAAATATAACTCAACGATATTGTAATGAATTGTTCATGTGGTTCATGTATGTAATGTGAATATTCATTCTCTCGCAAGTGCGGCAAAGACAGAAAGCTGACATCTCTTACATGCTTCCCTCCTCAGACTAGTCAGTCGTTCCTCCTTACAGGTGAGGACCTGTCGAAAGAATATGCATCATTGAGAACTATCCAGTTTCTAAAGAGCTACATCAAGAATGACCATTTCCTATGTTTCATGGTGGAAGCACCATTTTTCGCGGGAAAACATTTTCAAAGTATTGTATCCGCAATCTTTTCTTTTCAAAACATACCATAGAAATTTTGAATATTTCTTTACACACTAAATAGGAGAGTTCTCTCTTTGAGAAAAAATTAATGGCATTGCAAATAAGAGACAAAACAGTTACAACAAAAATTATCAAAAAACTTACAACGCCTAGCTGGCAACTGCAACTATGTACTCATGGTACAATAGCCTAGGTAATTAATTGACAGCTAGGTTAGTAATGTTTGTGCATATTGGTCAAGGTTTCCATGCACGACCAAGATGATAATGTTTTGCTCGATGTATGGGCATACGTAAAATCATGTCCTTCCATACTCAGCCGTTTCAGGTTAATAATGACAATGTACTTGTTTGCATATTCTCTTCAACATTACATCTGTATTATAAGTGGAAACTAGTTCTTCCCTTTCATGCTTCCTCTTTTATTTTTTGTTTGTATATGATATATGTAATAGCATATGATATCGGCGTGATTTTGAGGGGAGTTTTCAACGCAGTTTACCTTTTTCCAGCGGCCTCTTGGAACCTGTTCTTGTGAGAAACGGCTGAGATCAACCACGAGCTGTGCCACGAAAGGTTCTTTTGTTTCGAAAAATGCTCTGTTTTTTTTTACGACGATTTTGAGACTTTCTGTACTTCTCGGTATCCCCGACTCCGGGAAAACACTTCTTAGATAAACGCATCAGCCTGAACGAAGGAAAGTCATTGCATCGACGTAAACGAGTTTCAGATGGATTGTCACGCAAGTCATAAACCGACGTGAGTTGTGATATAAGTTGAGATCGGGTAGATTAGGCAGTCCAAGCCAGTCCGTAGTCAGTTTAAACCCATTATTAACTAATTCTACCTCGTTCCCAATACGTCCAAACCCATTCTAACTAGTTCGCCACTTGTTCTAACTAGTTTTTAACTCGACCACCCCGTTCAGAGGCAGTTTAACTCTTCCTCATCTCGTTCTGAGTGCGTTCGAACGCGCTACTAGAGCGTGTGCAATCCCGTCCTGACTCGGGAGTTATAAAAACCCAGCGGGTTTTCGCCATTCCTCATTCCCGTTCAACTTAAACGCTTTAGGCTTTGCAGATCAAGAAGTTCAAGTCAAGCACCTATCACACCAAGCTAGTTCTCACTACGATCTGAAAAATGTTGCCGAACGGGCTCGAACTGTGTTTGAACGGATTGAACGTATTAGCAACTATTTACGATCTTTTTAAGGACTTCATGGACGGGCTCGGACTGGCTTGGACGGGAAGGGTGGTCTAGAACTTTGAGACTATTCAAAATTCTCCCCGTCCTGCAACTGGACAGAGTGACAACGTACTTAAAACGAGATTAACGTACTACGAACGGAATTGCCGTACTTCGATCATACTAGGAACGTGTTACCACGTGATGTGGTCGAGCATCAATGAGGAAGAACGCGCTGGGTTTGTATAGCACTCGAACCAGGACGGGATTGCAAAGCACGATAGAAGCGCGTTCGAACGCACTTAGATCGAGATGAGGACGAGATGAACTGTCTCTGAACGGGGTGTTTGGGTTATAAACTAGTAAGAACAAGTACCGAACTATTAAAAATGGCTTGGACTGCTTGGAAATATCAAATTTATCCGATCTGAACTTGATATGAACTGACTGTGGACGGGTACAGACGAGTTGGACGTATTGTGGACTGTTAATGAACGAGCTAGGATCGTATTAGAGACATTAGTCCAGTCCGAGCCCGTCCATAAAGTTCTTAAACAGGTCGCAAACGGTTGCTATTACGTTCCACTCCGTTCGCACACAGTTTGAGCCCGTTTGGCAACGTTTTCGAGAACGTAGTGAGAACTAGTTTGGTGTGATGGGGGCTTTACATGCGCCAAACTAAGATATTGCAAACAATGGGTACGAGCAGGGCTGAGAGGTGCACAGTCTAACTAACTTTAGCACGCGTTATACAGTGCCCAAAGCGTGGTAACGTTGCACACTCGCGCACATATAGAAATATCACATGCTCCGGCGTTCAAATACAACAAAATATGTGAATCGACAACTTCCAGAGTGAGGTTATATTTCACCGAGGCAGCAGGCTGAGGTTAAGATATAATGGCTCGAGGCACATTCTAAATTGTTAAGTGATTATATGTTATACTGAATGCATGCAGTATTTGTAATATAAAATTGAGGGTATTTGCGACCTCTTGCCTTGATTCCTTGGAGCCGATCCATGCGCGCTGCCCAAACAATGGAGTATAATATGCAAGGAAGAGAGGTGCGCAGATGATTCTCTTTTGTATGCGTTATACCGTGTTAAAAGGGTTGTTGTATTTTGCAAAGTCTTCCACATTATAACAATATATTGAGTGTCACGTAACCCCTTTATAGCCAAATGGATACTCACTAACAAATACAACAAACAAAAGGAAGAAACATACTGCTGAGGAGCCAGAACTGTTATTTTGAAAGCAAGATGTTAAGCCTGACTAGTTATCCCTTTTATTATCGTTAGGATAAATATATATTGTGAAAATAGATTATTTGGATAAATAGAAGGGACTTACATATAATTATGAATAATCTCTGTTTCTTCTCTATTACTTAATGAATTAATCCAAATCTAAAGTGTTGATAGTGATAGAGGCTATCGAGTACATTCAATATCTAAGTAGTTTGATATGACACGTCTATAACCAAAGAAGGAACGCAATATGATTGATACGATTTCATTTGTTTCCATTATTGTACATTCCTTGCTATGTCGAACATTTTGCTCTTATTTGGTTAAGCAATTACACTCGTCAATTTATTTACAATCTTACAGAAGTTATTATTCGTGTATCACAAAGAGATAAACTTACAGAAAATATATGATACTTTCATTTTTTGTACCCTAATCCTTATTGTTCTTTCATTATTTCAACACTGATAACGTAATTATTGTCGTTTAGCCTGACATTTACATGAAAGTCTGTATTACTGTCATACATTTTGTCTTGAATGGTATTACACAATGGAGAAGAAAAAAACCTATATATGTCTGACAGTGTCTAATCTACGAGTTGGTTTAGATCAGTGGTTTGAGGATAAGTTTAATCATTAGACATGTCCATTGAATTAAAAAGTGATTTAGAAAAACAGTTGCGTGTGAATAGTAATAGAATCGGCATTAATCGTCATTGAACTAAGATCGTGTGGAAATAAAGATAATTTTAATTTACTTGCTGGGCTTATGACCGCCATTAATAATTACATTTGACATCACTTTCAGTTTTCCATCGTGCTGAAGCGGAAGAATCCTTTTCGACCGTGGTGATTAGTTACCACTAAAATACGGCTCTCATTCGATAATCAATTATTTCAGCACACTTGTGTACATCCTTACAAATGACGAATAACCCCTTCTCATAAGTGTCTAATTGTATCGTTTATCTTATGTATATTTTACCCGCAGTTGTCATGTCCATATATTTATGGTAATAATCCCGTGTTATATATTTTTTTTCACGGCAGCCTCCAGTCTTTTCTTTAAACTCATAGAAGCTTCAGGAGTCTTTTGAGGTACAGTTTTATTTATTTGCACACTGGTTAGTGTTTTCGCTCGAGTCTGTGTCGGAGTTGTCCTCTCACGGGAGAAGATATCCATCAAGGTCCACATCTTTCCCCGCTGAGGGCGTTTGGTAGACAGTTTTCATGTCGGTATACTCATGATTATTCGATTTATCGTCACGAAATTGATCAGACGTCGCTGTCACTCCATCATCCGATAATGCGTCCCTGGTCGGAAGGATATATCCATCGAGATCAAAGTCCTTGTCATTGTCAGGTGTTTCATAAACGGTATTCATGTCCATGTATTTATGTGGTTCTCTTTGTTTGATGTATTGCGAGAGATTCAGATCTGTTTTTCCGTCGCCATCAGTTGCTATATTTGATTCATAATCATGATGAAGCATACCGGATTTTCGTCTATCCGGTAACCGAGGTGGGGCGTTCAGGTCTTGATAAACAGTGTTGAGCGAAATAGCTTGCAGTGAGCCAATATTCGTTACATCCATATAAATATCGGCGTTTACATTTTTCGCAACCCTTCTTTTTCTTATTCTATGAAGACAGTACCAGCAGGACAACATTAGAATGATGGTAAACAATAAAACGCAAAGCCCAAGTAGAAATATCTTTGGAAGATCTGACAACAGACTCGGTCTTGTATTCAAGTTCAGATCTTCAATATTAGTCTGGATTTCCTGATTGCGGGAAATGTTCTGCGTACTTGACGATACTACTGTAATGTCGTCAGGAGCTGTCATCGTATCGTCAGTTGTAGGTGTCGTAACATCAGGCGCGACTAAATGGGAATAGGCAGCCATATCTATGACAAAAGTGGAACATCAGATAAATATCATAAATAAACAATTCACATTAAGACATTTCATATTTTCAAAATATATACGGGAAAAAGGATAAAAACATGGGCTATGATAATTATTATTATACAGATATGAACGCGAAGTTGTGTATAAAGTTTTGAATGAAGTTATGAGAGAGTTAGTAACTTTTTTAAGTAATTAAATCCTTTATTTCTCGTCTTTGCGCTGATTCCAGCTTGAATCATAACTGCTTAATATAGTGCCTACGATTCCGTTGCCCTGTATACGAATATTTATCTTTATAATGAATTTCGTAAATAATTTATTACCTTTTCCTTGTAAGCAATTCATTCATAATTGGATTCAAAACGTGTCAATATTAGTTAGGTCACTTTGAAAGGTTGGATGAAAGATGCTGACTGGATGCAATGTGCGTTAAAGTTGAGTATTTTACCTCTTAAGAGACAGGTGGCCCCAGCGTCTTCGTTATGTTGGCAGTTTTGCACTCCAAACCCTAGATGTGCGCAGTCCGCAAGATTGTCTTCCGTTCCATCACACCCGACATGAGACAGAAAAATGTCTTCGTTCCCCTCTCCAAACTCGGCTGAACCTGGTGCAGTCGAGGCGTTGCCGAATCCTAGCATTCTGCATACTACCTTTGCATCTTGCAAATCCCAGCCATCGTCGCAAACTGTTCCCCAGGTACCGTTGAATCTGATCTCTACTCTGCCTTCAGTACTGTTGGATCCACCCACGAGCCGTACTCCAACAGAATTAGGATGGGCTAAAACGAAAAAGAAATTTCTTTTAGTGTAGCAAAAATTGTCATTCCCTTTCCTTTTCTAGTTCATATAATCATTTGGGTATGCTTTCAAATTAAGTCAATCTTTTATTGGAGTTGCGGAGTATTTTAATAATCGTATCATGTACTATATATCTGTTTAACCTCCTATCGGAGACATCCCTACTAGCCTTTGCCATATCGGGGGAGATGTGTCGACATTTAGTGAAAATGTCCAGTATGCCAATTATGACTGTAAAACACATATTTTAACATAAAGGACCATCACTTCACTAGTGCCATTTTTTATTGAAGCCACTCATTCTTGCACCTTCTTGAACTTGTGCAAACAGTGTCTTTTCGGTGAGAATGTCAGTGGAACGCCTACAATTAGCATGACTGGGTGACGCCTTAAAACAGCCAAATAATAATCTTTACAGGGTGATTAGGAAACCACTCTTGCGCCTGACTATACCATAAAAAGGTGTGCACACAATATCATTTTAGTGAAAGTATTGACACATACCTCCCGAGTAACAGATGGCACCAACATCCTCTCCGTGTCTGCAGTAATTGACACCTAACCCAAGATGTGCACAGTCCGCAAGATTTGCCTCCGTTCCGTCACAACCAACAAGATTGAGAATTATATCCCCAGATCCCTGACCGAACCTTGCAGATCCCGGTGCGTCCAAGGCTCCCTCAAACCCCAGCATTCTGCAGACGACCCTCGCGTCTCTGAGATCCCAGCCATTATCACAGATAGTTCCCCAGGATCCATCGTAGACGACCTCCACTCTTCCTTCAGCTTTGCTGGATCCATCGACGAGCCTTATTTCGAGAGGATTTGGATGGGCTGAGACAAATGATAATGCAATCAAAACCAATGAAACGTGAAATAACACACAAAGTGAAAATAGATTGCACATGGCAGTTATGTATATGTTATTTGTGAAGTTATTGTAGTGGAAAAGTTTGGATGGTTTCAATATGATTCTTAAGCTGAAATATTGGTCTCTTCATTGATTAAGCCGGGAGCAAATTGGTGGAATCAATAGACTTATTATTAACATTTTATTTCTTGAACATATCATCCTCTCAAGATCTTTCACGACTGACAGTAATGGATAATAAGTAAACTCTTAATATAATGACATATCAGGACTACATTTTACGGTTAAACATACCCCCATTGTAACAAATAGCGCCTGCATCTTCATCATGTCCACAGTAATGTACTCCAATCCCTCGGTGAATACATTCTGCTATGTTTACTTCTGTTCCGTCACATCCGACGACATCTAGAATAATACGCCCAGAGCCCTGACCAAACCTAGCAGATCCCGGTGCGTCCAAGGCACCACCAAACCCCAGCATTCTACAAACCACCCTCGCGTCTCTCAGATCCCAGCTGTCATCACAGATAGTTCCCCAGGATCCATCGTGCATAAGTTCTACTCTGCCTTCAGCATCGTTAGACCCACCGACAAAACGGACTTTGAATGGGTCCGGATGGACTACAAGAGAAAAAGAACTTAATGACTGTTTTTTTTTTATAGATGATATCATTACAAATGTCAACATACGTTCGATGAAAAAAGTATGACGGCAGTGTAAATGAATCGAGTCGTATTTCGGTTGTTATTGATTGCAAATAGGTATTATTTCATTACTACCTAGTAATTAACTCTATATTCAATGCGGAGTGTAGACGTGAAGAAATTCAACACCATTGTGCCTTAATCCAATGATGTATAGAAGTAGGGACACATCTTATTCTAACATGATTATTATGTACAATCCGTTACAATACCTGCCTCCTCATAAATCGACCAAATGAAAACAAATTGTACAATGATAATAATTGTCTATTTTGTGATAGATTCGGCTTCTTAACAAAATGGTTTCTTTAGTTATATAAATAAATTCATTAAGAGGCAAAAAAGGAGATTGTTAAAGTCACTTATGAAACGCTATTCTGATGTTCGTCCTCAAAGAAAATCTTTAACGGATAGGTGAAAATCAGGTTATAATGCCTAGAAATCATACCTCCTGAGTAACAAATGGCACCTGCATCACTTGTATGACTGCATGAGTAACGTGCATTCCCGGAATAACCACATTCTGCAAGGTTGTCTTCTGTTCCGTCACAGTTTACCCTATCGAGAAGAATACGACCAGAGCCCTGACCAAACCTAGCAGATCCCGGTGCGTCCAAGGCTCCATCAAAACCCAGCATTCTGCAGACTACCCTCGCGTCTCTCAGATCCCAGCCAACACCACAAACGGTTCCCCAGGATCCGTCTTGCAAGACCTCTACCCTGCCTTTAGCACTGTCAGATCCATTGACAAGCCGAACTTGGAATGAGTTCGGATGGGCTAAATTATGAAAATATGTTAAAACGGATATCATTTTTATATTTTCGTTCACATGATTTGACTACATATTTTTCTTGAATTAGGAATGGCATGGACAAAAATAGAAATTAATTTGTCAATCTCAATTGGGTATTCCTTTGTTGCATTTCATGTATTCATGTATTTATTGAAAGAGAGACTTTCGGAAATATTGTAAATATTTTATGAACGTACTTAAATTTAGAAAAAGTAATACAATTCTGAAAACATGCGCGTTTTACATTTTGCAATCGATTAGTAAATAAGTCTCAAGTCCATACCTCCTAAATAACATACGGCACCTGCGTCCATGTGATGTCCGCAGGGAATGCTGGCCCCAAAGTATGGACAGTCGGCCAGGCTGTCTTCTGTTCCCCAGCAATCGACACGAAGAACATCTCCAGCACCTTGACCAAACCTGGCTGATCTTGGCGCAGCCAGGGCACCGTCGAACCACAGGATTTTGCAAACCACTCTTGCATCTTTTAGATCCCACGAGGCACCACAGACAGTGCGCCAGGATTCACTATACAAGAACTACACTCTTCTTTCAGCATCGTTGGAGCCATTCACGAGACGTTATTATGGTGGAAAAGTGTCTAAGGTGCTATTTCTTATCCGCTTCCCATTTAGCAAAAAAAGTTAGCTTGGTTTAATAGATAAAGCGTTTTAATATGTCTCTGAAATCAGAAACAGCTCCGATTCTCCCTCTTTTAAATTGAATAGTGGATTAATTTTTGACAAGTGATATTGTTCAACCGTCAGTGTATGGTATCGTACTCCTTGGTATATCCTTGAAAATTGAATCTAGAACAATGTTCTTGGGGACAGGTTCGTTTTCCCCAAAAGCCGGACTGCTACCCGAAATTTCTTCAAGAATCAGAAAGGAAAGAATATGGAAAAGCAGATTGTCTTGTTATAATACAAAGGTTTTAGAAATATTCTTAAGAGTTTTTGAAGGAATTAACTCCGATTCTCGAGAAAAAAAAGTTATGAAGCTATAACAAGGATAACTCCTTTCCTTCCAGTTAGAAAGTGGTTCACGCCTATTTCCAATTATACGGCTAAATAAACAACAATGTTTATGTAAAACCCATTATGACATACAAAGACGGCCACTGTTTTGTCCTTTGGTGAATATTAGTGGAAAGCAGATATTGACTTAGTTTGGACAAAGGCGTGGAAGAGTCTATTACCACATTAGCTGTACACCGTGTCGGATATTGCGAAAAGCGACATAAAAATAACGAACGGGTCCATTCTGACACGGGGTTTAAGGAAAGGCAGAACAATAGAGAAATATAGATCCACACATTTCAAAGAAAATTTGACAAATGATAAAGGTTAAATGTTTTAAAGCTGCGGCGATCAAACGCGTATTACTAATTAGACATGCGTCGCGAGTACCTTTGTTCTGTATTTAAAAGAAAATTATTCCGAATAAAATAATTATCCCATGGTACTCACAATATGTCCTACATTTTTGTTCACTCCTATCGGTAAAATGTATCTAATATATTCATATTCAGCACTAAATGTGTAAGAAATAGTTTTAACTTTCTTTATCTTTTTACATTCACAAATATGAATAGAGGTTTGTTTTTTTAAAGATATTTTATTGTTCATTCAATTTACAAAAAAAATGACAGATTGATAATGTATATATATCATTTAACATACCATTACAAGATATTAAAGTCACATTACTCCGACATAAATTCAATTCCATTCAATTTAAGTTTATAAATGAAAGATATATCAAATCGCACCATTTTAACATCTCGTCATCAAACTTCCAAATGCATAACAAAGCATAAATAATAATAATAATAATAAATAATAATGTTCAATTCTTATATAGCGCATATTACAAAATTGTCTCTATGCGCTTAGATACGAAAGAGAGAAGAGAGAAAAGACATGAAGAATATTGAGCTTACACCGTTTAGCAATTACAATTATCAAATCAATTACAAATTTCACATGTTTACTATATAAATTTAAATTTAAGACTGGCATGATCGAAACAGATATGTTTTTAAGTCGGATTTAAACTGATGTAGTGAAGGACAACGTTTTAGAGACTCTGGAAGATTGTTCCATAGTTCTGGTATGGCATACTGGAAAGCACGGTGCCCATATGTTTTGGTGGATGTGACTAAAGGTGTGAATGTATGTTTTGAAGATGAACGGAGATTGCGAGTTGGTAGATGACGTGAAATAATATTTTGCAAATACATGGGAGTATCATTGTGTTTACATTTATATGCAATTGTTAAGAGTTTAAAGATGATTCTATCTCTTACAGGTAACCAATGTAAATCATACAACAAGGGAGTAATGTGATCTCGTTTACGTTTACGTGAGACAATTCTAGCTGCACAATTTTGAACTCTTTGGACCTTGTCTATGAGAGAATCTGGTAAACCAAACAACAAACTGTTACAATTGCCAATACGACTCATAACAAATGCATGAACTAGCATACATACATTTGGTCACTAATTATCACATACACATAACAGAATTCATATAGTATTACAAGATAATGCAGCTCCATTACCCCCAACATAAAGGAAATATATGATAACAATTCGCACCTTTCCGTTTTTACATCTCGTTATCAAACTATTACAAATGCTCAAGAAATCATATATACGTTCAATTACTAATTAGTACAGAATCATGTACAGTTGGAAGTTATTACTCATCTATAGCAATATAACATGTTATGCACTGGATGAACAATATTTCAAAAAGAGCTTTACGCACACACGCACACGCACCCTCCTAACACACATACACATTCATGCACACACACTTTTTTAATTTTATTATAATAATTTTGTTTTATTCCTCCAATAGTGTAATACAAACATACACTTGAATAAAATAAAAATGTTGTCAATATTGATTGCTTATACATAAACAAAAACATAATTAAACAAAAACTCATATGCAGTATATATAACTGAGCAAAAATTGAAAATAACCTTAAAGTACAAAAACATAAGTCAATTGTACATATTATTCACTTATAATAACAAAATAAAAAATAAACAATAAAAATTGGAGGTTATTTTACTGGTACTCCCAGATCCCCCCCCCCCTCACACAAACACACACACACCACAAAACACACCACATTCATACACACAAGCATACAAACACACACCCCAAAACACATCCTATCACGACTACAACAAAAGTTACCACGCTGTGAACATTTGCGCAATCTTATATTCCACACACGCACGCATAATCAATGCATGAATATACCCTTTTCATTTTGGGGGGGAAAATGAGTGTACACTATCATCCGAATGAGAACCTATGACATAGTGTATGTATTTCCATGCATTGTTTTTTTATTTGTATGCCGGAATAATAAATTGATTGTGGGACAGAGATTGAAAAACATGGAAGTCTTTTTTGGAAAATCGATTGGTTAAAATAATACATATATATATTTCGTGTTGAAGTGGACCACTCCATTTACATAATCTCACAGACAAACTGGTGATAACTATACATCACTCTGTTCTAGTGCGGTTTCGAAATGATCAAATTATTAAATTCGAGATTATCAGTAATTAACTTTACAGGCGTTACAATAAAGTATCAATAAACTGACGATTGTAATATCCTTGGATTTCAAACAGTATTTACAGGCACGTTTACATCGTCAAAAATGACACTTCGTTTAGTACATCATAGTGAGTGCATCACTATCAAAGTATCTGATTTCAATATTTTCACAATACATCTATCCTGGTCTTTCCTTTGTGAGTGTTCTTCTAAAGTTCCATATTTCCTATGTAGACCGATTGATGATCCTCGCCCATTTAAATTTCATCTCAATTATGAACGTCTGTCCAACATGTTTGGACGAAATCATTGTTAAACTTCGTAATGTTTGGTATCTAAAAGAAAGTCCAATGTCAGGAACTATTTCCCCGATTTTTGTCGCTTTTTTTATAATAAAGGCACGTTCACATATAACGTGACAAAACATTATCGTTTTGATATAATGACGTAAAGAGCCATACCTTTACACTTTAACACGTGACAAATGTGCAGCCTTTTTAATTTCTGCATCGGTTTACCGCGCGAAATGTGACCAAGTCTTAAGCGGTTGTGATGTTGGTGTATTCAGGTATGATATCGTATTGTCTATCTTGCGATGACCTTGCCACTTTGACTTTGTCATCACCAAGTGATACGCCAGTTACTGCCATTTTAGCATTCGGTGGGACTCTAGCCTGGCGTGTTGAGCCAGGATAATTGTCTTTATCTGCAGAAGGCTCTTCATGAACAGTTATCATGTCCATGCATTCATGTAGCTCAGTCGCTGTACTTCCTTTTGTTATGGAGGCAAATCCTACATCTTTCACATATGGACAGTTTATCCGGGATCCTTGAGTTAATACAGATGGATCCGTGTCTACGCCTACATCCGTATCGGAGTTGATATCCATATACTCGTGTCTGTAATTTCCTGGAGTATGTTTCGGTTCTCTGTTGACACTTGGTTTCTTGTAACACCGTTGGACACCATTTACATTCAGAGCAAGTTCGTTTCCTGAACATGAAACACCCGGTAGAAGATACCCGTCAGTGTTCATGTCTGTAACGCCTGGGGGCTCTTGATAAACAGACTTGATGTCCATGTATTCATGAATTCCATCTTTTCTGCTGGATTGCAGTGTTCCTTTCAAACTTCCTTTATTGTCAATATCGGGTAAACCAGTTGATATTGCTCTCAAATTCGGGGTAACTTCGTTTTTGGAGGGTGTAACGCTTGGGAGAAGATAGCCATTTACATCTTTGTCAGCGTATACTGATGTCACACTAGGAAGAAGATAATCGTCAACATCAAAGTCCGAACCGGATGAAGGATTTTGATAAACAATGTTCATGTCCATGTACTTATGATCTATATCATGTATATTGGTGTGTGTTGTTCTCGTCATTTTGACGTCATTCTCTGTAACATTGGCAGCCGTCGATACTATTGTTGATGTCAATTCAGACTTTGAAGCTGTTGAAGTTCGAAGAAGATAACCGTCAATATCTCTGTGTGTGTCAATTGGAGGCGTTTGATTAATAGTATTCATTCGCGACATCATGCGAAATTCAGACTTTGATCCAAATTTCGTTGCTCTCCTAGTTGGAAGATAGCCATCAAGATATGTGTCTTTGTCTGTTGGGGACTTTTGATTTGCATGCTTCATGTGCATGTCTTTATGAATTGCCTCTTGTTTATCGCTATGCCTTGTTCTTGTCATTCTTTTGTCGTTGCAAGAACCTGATACACATGCGGGTCTCGTAGCTACCATGGGAGTTAATTCAGACCTCAAAGCTGTGGAAGATGGAAGTAGGTAACCATCAAGATCTATGTCTGTGCCAGTCGTGGGTATTTTACCAATAGGCTTCATGTCCATGTATTTATGAATCGCATCTTGTTTATTACTGTGTCTTGCTCTTGACATTCTTATCTCATTGTCAGAACCTACTTCATCTGCAGTTGTCGTTCCTATTTCCATGTATACTCTTGGTTCCGGAGTTGTAGCAGTTGGTAAAAGATAACCATCAATGTCTTCATCTTTAGAACTAGGAAGTCTTTCACGGATAGTATTCATGTCCATGTATTCGTGGGTTGCATTTCGTCCGCTGTCGCCCCTGATGTGCACCTGCTCACCTGTTGTATTTTTATTCACTGTCAAGGCCACCTGCGATTTTTGTTTCCGAGATGATACAACAGCTGACAAGCGTTCTGGTAATTTAGGTGGGGAATTAATATCCTGATAGATTGAGTCTAAGTTCTGAAGGTCTAAAGACCTAGAATGCATCAAATCCATGTATACAGTTGTATCAAGATTCTTTTTAGCTCTTCTCTTCCGGGATCGACATAGGCAATAAACGAAGGCTGCGATAAGAATAATGCTCGAAACGGGAAGACCTATTACGAGCAATAGAAAAAGATTGCTGAAGACTTCATTAGATTGTAGACCTTTAGGTCCATCTGGACTGAAATCTCCAAGCATGTTTGGAGTGTTTGAATACAGAGATGCATTACCAAGATCCGTTGATAGCCCGTCAAGGATGGTAATTGGCAAGGAAGGCTCAGTAGTCTCGAGTTCAACGGTACTTGAAGATTCTGAAAGATGATGAAGGGGTAATCTTTTAGTTAAGAACGACAATAAAGCTCGTCAAGGATCATTAGTATCGAATTCAATAGTACTAGTATATTCTGAGAGATAATTAAGAATGGAGTAGTTTTTATTTTAAAAAAAAAACAAATCTCATCGTTTTCCTTAGTGTCTCAAATATTAAAACATATTGAACCAATAAATTGCAGGAATAAAAATGCAAAGTGATTACAAGTGAAAAATGTATCTATTCAGATTTCTTTAAGCTACTGTAGCTATAGTATGTCTTCGGTTACTTCATTATTGATAGTTACATCTTTCTTTTTTGATCGGAGATATGAATACAAATATTGTTGTGTTATTATTAGTATGGCACAAGTTGATGCATTTTGTGTATTAATAAGAATGGGGTAAACTACACTGTCGTATCCAGACTTTGGGGGTGGCATCTGGAGCAAAGGAGATGTTTGTGATCATCCAATAAACTGTCAAACAAATTCATTGTCGAGTAGCTGTACTACTAGGTTGAAATGCCGAGAAAACATACTTCCTGAGTAGCAAATGGTTCCTGCATCCCTAGTATGACTACATGAATAAAGTCCAATCCCTGAATGAGCACAGTCAGCCAGGTTGTCTTCAGTTCCGTCACAGTTGACATACTTTAGCAGACTACGCCCAGAGCCCTGACCAAACCTAGCAGATCCCGGTGCGTCCAAAGCTCCATCAAACCCCAGCATTTTGCAAACTACCCTAGCGTCTCTCAGATCCCACCAAGTATCACATATAGTTTCCCAAGATCCATCGTTGAAGACTTCTACCCTTCCTTCAGCGTCATGTGATCCACCGACAAGACGAACATGGAATGGATTTGGATGATCTACACGTGAATAGCAAAGACATATATACCTCATTGGCATAGTGTTTTGGCAAAATTCATGATAACTATTAATTATAATTGCTTATTATTGTAATGAAATATGAAAAAAGGTTGTTTCTGGTAAGAAATGCTATAATCAACACATCTCATCAACATAATACTGAAGTATGCGATAATTTTCATGTTATCATGGTCCACCAAACACGCGGTTTCAGCTTAAAATCATCTGTGCTGAAACAAAAATACTAAAAAAGAAAGGTCTGGTTTTGGAAGATAAAAAAGTCAGTGTCAAAAAAGAAAATACATTTTTTGTTTGGGGGGGGGGGACTGAATCTCAGGAATTTCGTTCAAATTATCGATTGAGATGAAAAATTGAGATTTAAGTCACTTAGCTATGTGTTTTTTTGTTTAATGTTCATCTAATAAGCATGCCATTGACAAAGCAATCATTTGTAAATACTTAGTTAAGCGATACAGAGAGAGGGAAGCATACTTCCTGAGTAGCAGATGGCTTCTGCATCCTTTATAAGACTGCAGGAGTAACGTTCAGTAACGTTCAATCCATGCATGGTCACAGCCTGCTAGTGTGCCTTATGTTCAGTGACAGCTAACGTACTGAATTAACAATTACTGAATTGGGGAAATGCAAAAATATACCTTAGGTGTATATGCTAGCGGATACGTAAGAATTATACTCAAATGGCTAACCTATTAAAAATTATTATTAAAAAAAACACATACCTCCCGAATAACAAACAGCGCCTGCATCCTCTGTATGACTACATGGGTAACGATCAATCCCTGCATGAGCACAGTCAGCTAGGTTGTCTTCTGTTCCGTCACAGTTGACCAAAACAAGGAGAATACGACCAGAGCCCTGATCAAACCTAGCAGATCCCGGTGCGTCCAAGGCTCCATCAAACCCGAGCATTCTACAGACCACCCTCGCGTCTCTCAGATCCCAGCCATCATCACAGATAGTTCCCCAGGATCCCTCATACATGACCTCTACTCTGCCTTCAGCATCGTTAGATCCACTGACAAGACGAACTTTAAATAGCTGAGGATGGGCTAAGGAGGAAAGTATTTTTTTTTATTAAATCTTTCACATTTTACAGGAACCCAGATTTGCTTGTATCCACGTGGTAGTTTGTGAATATAAAAAATATGCACCAGGTTTGAGCAAAATAAGATTTGCTTTTAAAACAGCTTGACCGAAATTAACATTATTGCTTACAAATCATTCGAGAAACGTACACAATTTTCCTGAAAGATTGTTCAGCCTTGGCGCGGCAAACCACCAGAGAAATGCCGCCGTGTAAATGAATGGCAACTATGGGCAACAAAGGACACACTTTATTTCTTTATATTTATATATATATATATCTATATGAATAAACGAAAATTGTTATGATGCTGGCACCGATCAGACAAACCTCGAATGGCTTTAGGTGGTCTACATTAAAAAGGAAAAATGTATGAACCAAAGCAAACTAAGAATATTTTCCCCCTTTATGCGATTCAAACAGTATGCCATATAAAATTACGACTAATCCTTTCCTCATGTCAAAAAGACTTCGTACCTCCTGAGTAACACATGGCGCCCGCATCCCAGCGATGCTCACAGGAAGAGGTGGTCCATATGCGTGGACAGTCCGCCAAGCTCTCTTCTGTTCCGTAACATTCGACACGAAGAATATCACCAGAACCCTGACCAAACCTATCCGATCGTGGCGCGTCCAAGGCACCGTCGTTCTCTAGCATCTTGCAAACCATCATCGCTTGGAACAAATACCAGTAACGATCGCAAATAGTCTGCCATGATCCACCGTACAAGACCTCCACTCTTCCTTCAGAATTGTTGGAGCCATTACTAAGATGAACCCCTACGAAGAATACTGTCGATGAGTTTCCTCAGATCTGCATTTCATTGTATTTCATCCCAAGTGATTCAGTGTGACGCAAAACGAGCAGAAGGATCCATTGCCCCTCGATTTATATGAAAATGTGATAACCACAAATTAGATTGTTTTGATCGTTAAACTGTGATAACTATTAGGGGGGCTTTAGCCAAATCTCAGACTGCCGACATTAATTTTGTCCAACGAGCTAGGAGTTTCTTTGTGAGACTATTTTCTCGTTATATTTTAATTAATTCTTCGTGGAAAAATAAGAAAAATAAAGATATAGGTTGGTAGAGTTAAGAAAAGTCGGACTAAGCACAGGTCATTCATAATATTGTGTGTGTTTACATGGAACCTTTCTACAAGATATCACGCCAATTATACCCAGAACGACTGGTTGAAGTTGACTAGACACTAGACCTTTCATTTCTTGCGAGATCTGTGTAACAATTTTTGGTATGTATTGAATTTTACTGTTTGATAGGTAATTATGTTAATGTATATGATGAACAGAACAAATAAATATACAATTATTTGTTAAATTACTGCCCTCTTACATTTAATTATTTCCCGGTCATTTGTCCACGTCTCCCAGGAACCTATTCTTAACAAGCTATGCTTTTTCACAGGTTCATGTATATTTCACAGTGTTGTGCTTTTCTCGTCTGGGTATCCTTTAACATGATAATAGTTGTCAAACACAATTGATGATATATAATTTTGTAGTCTGATTATTTTTTTTAATTACTATAAGCATTTTTTTAAATTATGAAACAATATGTCTTATTTTTATTTTGTTATCTGTATTGAATCTACATGTGAAATGTGAAACCAATAACCTCAGCTCAACAGAACCCAATTCAGAAGTCGCGTTAGTCCAGAATCTGGCCTATTTATTTTTGATCTCCACCACACCAACGCTACCCCCCCCCCTATTTACTTGCTACCAGCCGATGATGGCATGATCATTGAATTAGGGTGTCGGCTGGCTGGGCTGGTGAGCATAATTATGAGTTTATTGATAACGCCATCTTCGACGGCTTGAATCAAGTGTGTACGGAATTATAAGGACCGGGCAGATTCTGGACTAAAGTCGCGTATGCAAGCGCGAGCACTATGTATCATTCAGACGAGAATTTCTTAAACTAAACAAATTTAGCCAATGGTTCGAAATTGGCAAAATATAACTCAACGACATTTAATGAATTAGTCATGTCATTCATGAATGTAATGTGAATATTCATTCTCTCGCAAGTGCGGAAAAGCCAAAAAGCTGACATCTCTTGCATGCTTGTCTCCTTAGACTAGTCATTCGTTCCTCCTCTTTACACGTGATTGCCTGTCGAAAGAATATGCATCATGGAGAACTATCCAGTTTCTAAAGACCTACATCAAGAATGCCTATTTCCTATGTTTCATGGAGGAAGAGCCATTTTTCGCCGGAAAACATTTTCGAGTATTGTATCCACAATAATTTCTATTCAAAACATAGCATAGACATTTTGAATATTTCTTTATCCACTAAGCGGGAGGGTTCTCTATTTAAGACAATAATTTAGGGCATTGCAAGTAAGAGATTACGAAAATACGATCATTAGATGAAATCAGTTACAAAACATAATCATAGAAATACATTTTTAGCTTTCTTAATTATTTTTAGGGGGGTCCTATTTCTTGGAAACTTTTGCTGTGACGCTTCGCCGACATTTCTGTTTCTGTAGGGAACTGTGTGTGAATTATTATTCTGTTTTCATGTTTCTAGTGTGCTTGGTAGAGGATAATACTACGTCCAATCACTGTTATACATGGATAATATCGACTTGGCCATTTGTAATAGGCTCTTGAATTTCCTACTTTACGAGGAACGTATGGACAAAAGTGTAATCAGGACCACTCCATCTGGCTACAATCAGCAGGACCAGGACACCTTTAGACATTTTATAGTAAAAAGACGGTGCAATTTCTTGTACCTATTAAAGAACATAGTACAACACTCTTGCAGAGCTTGCCTGCCGGGTATTACCAAGGGCTGCAAGTAGCTACGTTCATCCGGTAGAGTATGATCGACAATGTAAGATCTGTAAAGGTTGATGTGGGGCTTTACTCGCCACCAGCTGACGAGGTCGCTACATTCATAAAAACCTTACTACTCCTAGTTGGCAACTAACTTTGTACTCATGGTACAATAGCCTAGATAATTAATTGACATCTAGGTTAGTAAGGTTTGTGCAAATTGATCAAGGTTTCCATGCACGACCAAGACGATAATGTTTTGCTAGAGGTATCGGCAAACGTAAAACAATGTGCTCTTCTCTCTCTCCTCGAAACTGTGAAGTCTTTAATAGACATTCCTTGTTGTTGATAATAACCTCGTTGTTTTTTTATAACGTAACTACTGTTGGATATGATTCAACATAAACACCTCAGGTAGCTTTTTATTAGATTAAGCATCATAGGAAATGAACAGAGATTGTAAATCAGATTATGTGATGTAACCGTTTCAGCCTTAGTGTGCTAAGCCACAGGGAATATCCCTCCCATGCGCAACCTTTTTCAGTTGATAATGTGTTACATATTTTCTTCAATATCACATCTGTATTTTAAGTGAAAACTAGTTCTTTCCTTTCATGCTTCCTCTCAAACCTTGTATTTATACGTATTGGCATATATGATAGGGGCGTGAGTTTTTTTTTGGGGGGGGGGGTGGCGTGTTCAACGCAGTTTAACTTTTTCCTTCCGTTTCTTCGAACCTGTTTTTGACACAAATGACTGAAATTAGCCACGAGCTGTGCCTCAAAAGTTTTTTTTTTTCTAGAAATGCTATGTTTGGTAAGAAAACGACGATTGTTACTTTCTGTAGTTGTCGGTAACCCCGACTCCGGGGAAGCACGTCTTAGATAATCGCAGCAGCCTTAACGAGGGAAAACCATTGCATCGACCTACATGAAATGGAGATGGGTTGTCACGCACGCAATAACCCAACGAGTTGAGTTATAGCACAGAAAGTGCAGCAAAAACAGTTATTTCTTCCTAGTTCATTTGTACTCACGCTTGTAAACAAATATGGATTTATATCTATGGTGTATGGTATATATCTTTTTTGTGCGTAATTTGGTAAATATCTCACGTGTTAAGTAGAGGTATGATATTCCATTAAACATATTATATATAGGCTTACGGAATGCTGCCTTGGACCGTCATGTTGAACGTTTGAGTACTTTCTTTCTGTAATGCAATGTCTAGCATTCAATTCAATTGTACATTTTGGTCAGGTTGTCGAACCTCCCCCCTCCCCCCCCCCCTTCTCATCTCTTTCCCCTCTCACGCTCTTTCCATTTCGTTCAAGTTATCTCGCAGCTTTTCTTCCTGATGCACAAAATTATTACCACATATATGGTAGCGTCAAGTTTGATATTTCAAAATGTATTTCTCATTTGCACAAGCTGCCCGTGGATTTCCACGGGACTCTCTAATGTGTATATAATTGGTATACAAATATTGCATATTTCGTCGATCAATATAACAAAATATATGAACAAATATTTAAAAATATATTTCAAGTTGAAATATCATGGCTCGAGGAAAATTCTGAATTTGGAGGTGTAGATATGTTATAGGGAACAACAAAATGCATGCAATGTCTGTTAAATAAAATTCAGGGTACACTTGTAATCCTTTTGAATGACGCCCCTTAATTACATCCGCCAAGCTAAGACATTGCAAACAATGGGCACGCGCAGGGCTGAGAGGTGCACAGTCTAATGAACTTTAGTACGCGTTAGACAGTGCAATAAAGTAGTAAGTACGTTGCACGTTCGTGGCACATATAGAAATATTGCTTGCTCCGGTGTACCAGTATAACGAAAAGTGTGAGCCGACAACTTTAGAATTTCCTGAGTGATGTTATATTTTACCGAGGCTGCAGGAAGGATAACCCTGCCAAGGTTAGGATATATTGGCTCGAGGGACATTCCGAGTTTGATAGTGAATAATGTTATACTGAAGAACGCAATACATGCAATATTTGTTATATAAAATTGAGGGTATTTTCGATCTCATGCATTGCTCCCTTGGAGACCAGCTTATGCGCGCTGCTCAAACAATGGAGTATATGCAGGGAAGAGAGGTGCGCAGAAGATTCTCTGTTGTCTGAGTTATACCATGTAGTGATAATTTGTCATCATTCAACAATTAGTGAAAAGAACATTTGTATATATTGATGAGAAGAAACCTTGTTTTAATGAGGTGGTGTTAATAACACATCTACCTACATTTATTTGTTTCAAGTGTTTCCTCTTTAAGATCATGTACATAAAAAAATGTAAACACGACATTATTGTTTCGTTTATCCTTTTTATACATGCAGATTTGTGGCTGAAAACACCAATCATATATTTTTTCTCCACTTCATGAAATATAATACCGTAATATCTAAATTTAAAAGAGTATTGAAATCATATCAAGTCAAACTTCGAGAAACCTACCTCAAGCACCCTCCACAAACAGTTAAACCTTTAAACTTAAGAAGCTATTAGAGGACAAATTTATTTCAATCATATTCATAAGAATATAAACGACCTCTCTTAATTTCTTAAACTTCTTTTTTTTAAGTCCAAGAGACTTTAAAACCGAATACAAAACTTTTATATTTAAAACTAGACTATGGAAACAATTACAATTTGATATCCATAAATCATAATACTGGTCTAATGGATTAAGTTTTCAAGTCGAATAAGATTCGCCTTTGTCTGCGCGCTCATGCATGAGATCATCTACGAGCAATCCGATTGAGAAGTAGTTTATATCCTCACCGTGACAGCTTTATTCGCAGAAGTCAATTTCTTTAAAACTCGAAAACGTTTATTCAGTGAAATAAATCTTTAAAAAATTAATGTTTAAAAAGTATTCTTAAGCCTTAAAAAGGATTTAAAATTTAAGTACTAGAAATTTAGTGATGGAGTTTCCTTATTAGGATATCTACCGGAACATTGTCACATTTATTAGGTCAATTTATTCTAGAGATAATCTAATTTGTTTGCATAAAATTAGACAATATGACTGCATGCTATGCTCAGCACTTGAGAGTAAATTTACATCAGTGAGGTCAAACAAATTCCCAAAAAGGGTACGATGTCTAAAATTACTTCCGGAAGAAATATTCCACCCTAAATTTAAAAGATAAAGAAGCTAACATTTCGAAAGAAGACATTACATGGTTTTCAGTAATAACGTATTATATCACAGAACATTGTCAGATTATAATTCTTACATTTTTAAAGAAGATATTCATCGAAATGTTTGGTTTTCATCATTCTTTTGATGAAGGGAATATCAAACACTAATCAAGAACTCCCTCTTTATAGATATATATGAGGTGAATATTAGGCCCATTATTAGAAACTGGCAAACACCTTCTTTAACAAAAAGAACCATGCAAACATTTCTATTAAAAACATATGTTTTCAATTTATTTGCCAATTTTGCGCAATATTTTTTCTGAAGATTAATGTCCCTTCCTCCAATTTCGTCCGTGAATATGCAATACGACGGCCAAATCACGTGTTGAATCTGTTTCTAATCTGGAATAACATTATCGTTGTTTTCTGATGATCCCTCTGTAATCTCATTACTGACTTCGATACACAGCATGAGGAATTCATGTATAATGTCAGGCTTTTCTTCAACATGCTGCATGATATCGCATGGTAATTCAATCGTATCGTCGCCTGCATCACTTGACAGAAGATATCCATCTATGTCTTCATCTTCAAGCGTTGAGGATCGTTGGCAAATGGTTTTCACGTCCATGTGCTTGTGAATTGAATCTTGTTTCGTACATTCCTGTTGAAGTGTAGCAGTCTGTTCATTTGAGCTACTTCTTTCACAAACACTCGTGAGAAATATGTCTCTATCGTTTTGGGACAAACAACTTTGTTCTGCATTTTCAACATTTGGTTTATCTCCGGAATTCAAACCAGATGCACTTGGCAAAATATAACCGTCAAGGTCTACATCGCTTCCCTTCAAAAGCTTTTTGTTAACATTCGTAATATCTATATATTCATGGGTGTCAGTTCGTTCAGTAGTTTGTGCTTTATTTAGCGGCTCTTTTTTTCCACTTTTAGTTTTACTTGGAAGAAGATATCCGTCAACATCTACATCTTTTTCCATCGTAAGCTTTTTGTATACAGTGTTCATAACCATATACTTGTGTGGATTATTTTGTCCAATAATTTGCACAGTACCTACCGGCTCACACGTTTCATCATGGCATATTGCTCTGGATCCTGACGGTATATCATTTGGCAACGTGTCTTTATTTCCAACACGGAGGCTTATAGCATCAATACTTCCATCCTTGGCCGATGACGCAGCCTTGCTAATAAATATCGTTTCCATATAGTCGTGGGTGTTTTCACCTTGAAGAGTCTTCGGTACAGATTGCTCCTCTTTGTCCTCAAACAGCTTATTTTCACTCAATATCGTTAAACGTCGTTCTGGTAGTTTCGGAGGAGCATTCAGATCCTGATAAGTAGAGACTTCACTCGTGTCATGTGTAAACCCTGTATCCATATAAATATCACTTTCCAATTTCCTACTTGCCCATGATGTTATAGCCCTACGTACACAATATGCTAGTGTTGCAACGAAAAAGACGCTTGACAGAAATACACAAATCCCGATAATTATGGCCAACGTCAGATTGAATGGTGTTCCGCCTAATGAAAAATCATATTATAAATTGTTCAAATATTGTAAAACATGTTACGGATGATATTTTAATGTGATTTTAAAGAGCTTTATATAAAAATATTGATGAAAAATGTTTAGAGAAATTATAGCTATAAAAAGTGTATGCATTGTTTGAATCAGCCTGGAAAATTAGCTTCCTGAATTATCTGATCCTGCATTATTTAAAAATTATTTTAAATGATGTATATTGATAGTTAATCTAATAACCCCAGAAACTACTTTATTGTGTCTGCAACACCCCAAAAGGCATAATTAAAACCGGTAAAACAGATTCTGTGTTTGGGGGGATTTATCGAGACACTTTGGGAGGGATAAACGGTGGCCTTTTTTGTGAACATTTTGCTACGGACACAATTGAAACCATATAAATTAACAAAACCCAACCTCCAGGAGAATCATAATTGTCATATTATTGAAATGTTTACCTTTCGGAGTGCAAATAACGCTGGCATCTTCGTTGTGTGCGCAGTTGTGCACACCAATGCCGTCATGATCGCAACGTTCAATGTCAACTTCTGTCCCCTGGCACTGAACTTCATCCAGAAAGATACTCCCAGATCCTTTACCAAAGCGAGCATCAGATGGAGCGTCCAAAGCTCGACCCAAGCCTAACATTCTGCAAACAACCTCGGCGTCCTTGAGATCCCAGGAATCGTCACAGACCGTTCCCCACGAGCCATCGTGTAGAATCTCTACTCTACCCTCAGCGTCATTAGCTCCTCCAATCAGACGGACTATGAAAGTAATGCGGTGTATATTTAACTAATCGAAATAAATAGATTTCCTCTGAGTAAGAAATCTTGCAAGACATTTTCAAACGTCAAGTTTTTGTTTAAGGTAGTGATTTGTCCTCTTTTTGTTATGCAGCTGTAACTCATATATTTCGACAGCTATTTCAAAATTAATAGCAACATAAATAAATGTATTTGACAACTTCTGCACTATTTCGTATTTTTGTATCCCAAAGTTTGAAACCTAAGTTCAGGAAGATGTATATCGTTCTATTGCAGCTTTTGTCGAGAAAGCTAAAAATCATGCTCACATGAACAACTCTAATGTACTATAGGACAGAGTCATACCTCCTGAGAAACAAATGGCACCCGAATCTCTGGCATGGCTACAGTTATGAACTCCTATTCCTCTGTGATAACAATCTGCTATGTTCTTTTCTGTTCCGTAACACTGGACATCAACAAGCAGAATGTTACCATTGTCCTGACCAAACCGTGCAGAAACTGTTGCTGCCAAAGCTCCATCAAACCCTAACATTCTGCAAACAACTCTCGCATCGTTCAGATCCCAGCCATTGTCACAGACAGTTCCCCATGATCCATTGTACATAACCTCTACTCGACCCTCTGAATCATTCGCCCCATCGGTGAGACGAACCTTGAATGGGTCTGTGAAGTTTCAAAAATATTAATTAAAATAACAATTTCAAGTATCAGGAGAGAAAAATGTGTTTGTGGAAAGTGAACAAAACGCGATCGGTAGAGCTTCTTAAAAATCAACTCAAGAGCAGTCAATAAACTATTGTATACTCATTGTATATTACGTAATACATTACTCGTCCCAATTTTCATACTTCCAAGAAGCTGATAGACAAAACTGTACAAAAAAAATTGCTGTCTTTGTGATCATGTCACAAGAGCGTGGACGTAAGGGTAATACTATCAAACCCAAAACAGGTTGAGAAAGACCTATATTTGTTATCATGTTCTTCAAAAAGCTGAGTTTTTAATTATGAGTATGTTAGACTCCAAGTATCATCCCATACCTCCTCTGAAACAAATGGCTCCAGAATCCTCTTCGTGTTCGCAATTGGAGACGCCAATCCCTCGATGGTAACAGTCTGCCAGGTTATCGTGTGTAATTTCACAGGATATACCATCAAGTAGTATATCCCCTGAACCTTGGCCAAACGCAGCAGAGCCTGGTGCGGCTAAGGCTCCATCAAACCCCAGCATTTTACACACGACCCTAGCATCTCTCAGATCCCACTCATGATCACAAACGGTTCCCCAAAAACCATCATACAAGACCTCTACTCGTCCTTCAAGGTCGTTAGATCCATTTACGAGCTGAACTAGAAATGGTGCTGTCGGAGGAATACAGAAAAGGATGTATGCAATCAGTTCATTTTGGACTTCTCTCTGTAAAGGAGCCAACAACAGCTAGTAAATACTGAATCCCTAAAAATCATTATAACATGTGTGCGGTGTGCGTTGATATTCAACTTAGTTCCCGTTCGTGATAGCGATGGAAGCCCACTGTAATGACCTATAGATACTAATATAAAAGTTTCATCGAACAAACGACACTTAAAACACCCCCATTGCTCACGTGGAAACAGCGAGACCAACACGAGGAAGACCATGACCATCGCGCATGTCCCAAATGATCCCGAATATCCACAGATCTTCAAAACTTGTTTGTTGTTTTAATAATCACTCCTACAGCGATGGAGGTTCTACATAAATAGCATTTGTTTCCCTTTTCATGGAGTGCAATGCTTGTGCATAAATGAATAATGATTACTTTACTTTCATGAGCACGTATCCAGTATTTTGTCTCCGTGTATTTCCCAATTTGGTCTGCAATGACCTTTATCTGCTCATGCTCAGACTACATCTATGAACCGGATTATTGTATTAACAACCGTTGTACGAATTTTTGATTTTCAAAGCCTTCGTGAACTAATAAAAGAACCATATTATCCTACCTCCTGTAAAACAAATGACACCGGCGTCACTGTCATGTTCACAGTTGTTGACTCCAATTCCTTGGTGGTAGCACTCAGCAAGGGCGTCTTCTGTGCCCCTGCATCCAACGTCATCTAACAATATTTTACCGCTTCCGGCACCAAACGTAGCTCTACCAGGTGCGGCTAAAGCTCCATCAAATTCAAGCATTTTACAAACTACTCTTGCGTCTCTTAGATCCCAGTTATCATCACATATAGTTCCCCAGCTTCCCTTATACAAAACCTTAACCATGCCTTCTGAATCGGTGGTTCCATTGGTAAGACGAACTTGAAATGGCTCTGTTGTGTTTAATGAGTGGTCAGGATGAAAAGCAGAATAGGTTTATCGGATTAAATGTACATACTCTTACAAGGAAATGTAATCATGAAGCCCTCTTTATAAAAATCCAGTACAAAGATTGGTTAAGAGCACCTCACGTGACCAGACATATCTAGAGAAGAGCAATCCGCTAACTATAACAACGAAATTAAGGTGAGACGTTGAAGTAAGAAAAGTTAAAATTCTCGCTTGTTTGCGTTCAACCTCAATTACTGAATTAGGGAAATGCAAAATATACATTCAGGTGTATATGCAAGTTCCTCAGTAATAAGTAATTATAGGCCAATTTCATTATTACCAAATATCTCTAAAATTCTCGAAAAAATAATATATAAAAGACTTAACACGTTCTTACAAAAAAATAATTCATTGATTCCTAACCAGTTCGGATTTAGAATTGGTCATTCTACCGATTACGCAATTTTGCATATGTATGATAAAATAATTGAGGCTTTTGCGAACAGTGAACATATTGTTGGAGTATTTATGGACTTGTCAAAAGCTTTTGATACGATTGATCATAAAATATTAATTCATAAATTACAATACTATGGCGTAAGAGGTCAAGCTCTTTCATGGTTTACTAATTATTTACAAGACAGACAACAATATGTATCTTTCCAAAATCATGAATCAACAAAATTTACAATTAAATGTGGAGTACCGCAAGGATCTATATTGGGTCCATTGCTTTTTATTATTTATATAAATGATATTATTGAAACCTCTTCACTTTTAAATTTTATCATCTTTGCTGATGATACGAGTATTTCTTATTCCCATAAAAACTTTGATACACTCATAACGCGGTTAAACTGTGAATTAATGAAAATTTCTAGGTGGTTTAAATCTAATAAATTGTCATTAAATCTTAGTAAAACAAATTTCATTCATTTTAAACAGACCAACGTACATGATATAAGAAATTGTAATATTGAGATTGATGGCTTGCCTCTCATTGAAAAACAATCTGTTAAATTTTTAGGAGTCACTATTGACTCTCATCTAAATTTTAATGAGCATATACGTAATATACATACATCAATATCAAGGAATATTGGAATACTGTATAAGTTTTAAAAAAATCTTTCTGAAAGATCTATGATTATATTATACAATTCTCTAATTTTATCACATGTGATATATTATAATATTGTATGGGGTAATTGTAGTTTAACAAGAATTAATTCCTTATTTTTGCTTCAAAAGAGAGCGATTCGCATAATCACTAACTCACATTATATATCACACACGGAACCTTTATTTCAGCGTTTAAAAACATTAAAAATACAAGATATTCACATTTTTCAGACATGCATTTTTATGTATAAATATTCTCATAATCAACTACCATCCCTATTTCACAATATTTACAGTTTAAACTCAAACATTCACACATACCCCACCCGTTGTTCAACAAATTATCACTTAGAAAATCCTAAAATACTTTTAGCACAAAAATCAGTAAGACATCATGGACCAGATGTTTGGAACTCCTTACCAAATTCAATAAGGCATTGTTCATCTCTCTATTCTTTTAAAGCATCTCTCAAAAAAAACGCTTATATCGAAGTATCTACATAACTGATTTCAACCTGCAGTAAGCAATTGTCAAATTTTGGTCACATTGCAACTCAGTTTTGCAAATTTTGTTTTCTATTTCGTATTCTTAGTTTCCTTTATTGTTAAGGCTATATTTGTTTCCACTTCACTATACCACACAGAGCTACGTGCACTTCCACTATTCATTACAAACATATACAAACAAGCACGCTTGCGTGCACATGCACACACACACACACGCACGCACACACACACACACACACACACACACAATATATATATATATATATACACTTGCACAACACACTCACAAACTCATACACAAAGATCGTTTGAACACTTTTTCATTTTAAGGTTTACCTTAAGATTTTTTTGTTTTTGTTTTTTTGAGGCCGCCATCCTCGTCAAGCTTTGCTTATGTTTGCGGTCTTCTGCACTTTTCCAATAGAAAAGTTCGGATAATACTTTAAATTTATGATTATATGTTATGGAAATATTAAGTTTCGTTATTATATGTACATATATTATGTAAAAAAACATTTTGACATGAAGAAATTATTGTTTGTTTATGTTGTATTATACCTTACATTTATATGTTCTTTGTTATTCAGTTATATTTTATATGGAAAAAAATGCAGAAATAAAATCAAATCAAGTGAATAAGGATTTACTCAAAAAGCTAACCTATAACAAAATTATGTAAAAAACAGAACACCTACCTCCCGAATAACAGACAGCGCCTGCATCCCTCGAATGACTACATGTGTAACGTCCAATCTCTGCATGAGCACAGTCTGCTAGGTTGTCTTCTGTTCCGTCACAGCTGACATGAGTTAGCAGAACACGACCAGAGCCTTGACCAAACCGTGCAGATCTCGGTGCGTCCAAGGCTCCATCAAACCCTGCTATTCTGCAAACCACCCTCGCGTCTCTAAGATCCCACCATGAATCACAGATAGTTCCCCAGGATCCATCGTACATGACCTCTACCCTGCCTTCAGCATCGTTAGACCCACCAACAAGACGAACTTGGAATGGATTTGGATGGGCTACACGTGAATAGGAAAGACAAATATACCGCATTTGGGATCGTATTTTGGCTAATGTCTTGATAGTTTTATATATAAATGTAAAAGAATTTTGAAAAAAACATTATTTGTAGTAAGAAATAATTTATCAACTTATTTAAACTCATAGTACTGAGGTATGCAATAATGTTTAAAGAGTTATTTTGATCCACTAAACACGCATTATTATTTTTATTTTTTTTAAACATACCTCCTGAATAACAAATGGCTCCTGCATCCATTGTATGACTGCATGTGTAACGTTCAATCCCTGCATGAGCACAATCAGCTAGGTTGTCTTCTTTTCCGTCACAATTGACATACTTTAGCAGAATACGACCGGAGCCCTGACCAAATCTAGCAGATCCCGGTGCGTCCAAGGCTCCATTAAACCCCCGCATTCTGCAAACCACCGTCGCGTCTCTAAGATCCCACCATGAATCACAGATAGTTCCCCAGGATCCATCGTGCATGACCTCTACCCTGCCTTCAGCATCGTTAGACCCACCAACAAGACGAACTTGGAATGGATTTGGATGGGCTACACGTGAATAGGAAAGACAAATATACCGCATTTGGGATCGTATTTTGGCTAATGTCTTGATAGTTTTATATGTAAATGTAAAAGAATTTTGAAAAAAATATTATTTGTAGTAAGAAATAAATTATCAACTTATTTAGACTCATAGTACTGAGGTATGCAATAATGTTTAAAGAGTTCTTTTGATCCACTAAACACGCATTATTTTTTTTTCTTTTCTGAAACATGAATACTTAAGAAAATACGTCTGGCTATAGAATTACGAAATGTAGGGGCTAAATTTTAATTTGTTTGTCTTTAGGCCATTTGCACTTCAAGTAAAATGAAATATGATTATTAAGTCACTTATCTCGAGTTGTTCATGTTCTTCTAATAATCATGCAATTAACAGAATGGTCAGTTACAAATACTTGGTTATGCGGGAGAGGGAAACATACGTCCTGAGTAGCAAATGGCTCCTGCATCCATTGTATGACTGCAGAGGTAACGTTCAATCCCTGCATGGGCGCATTTGGCTAATGTCTTAATAGTTTTATATATAAATGTAAACTAATTTTGAAAAAATATTATTTGTAGTAAGAAATAAATTATCAACTTATTTAGACTCATAGTACTGAGGTATGCGATAAGATTTAAAGAATTATCATGATCCACCAAACACGAAATATTTGCTAAAAGTAATTTACGTTTGAACATGAATACTAAAGAAAATACGTCTGGCTATAGAATTACGAAATGTAGTGTGGTTGCATTTGATTGTCATACAATAAAAGTAAGATAAGACTATGATTTGTTCTCGGGGGAGGGGGGCTGAAATTCAATTTGTTTGTCTTTAGACCATTTCGTTTCAAGTAAAATAAAATATTGAGTTTTTAGTTACTTATCTCGAGTTGTTCTTGTTCATCTAATAATCATGAAATTAACAGAATGATCAGTTACAAATACTTGGGTATGCGAGAGAGAAAAACATACTTCCTGAGTAGCAAATGGCTCCTGCATCCCTTGTATGACCGCATGAAGTATAATCTCTAATCCCTGGATGAGCACAGTCTGCAAGGTTGTCTTCATTTCCGTCACAATTGACATACTTTAGCAGAATACGACCGGAGCCCTGACCAAACCTAGCAAATCTCGGTGCGTCCAAGGCTCCATCAAACCCCAGCATTCTGCAAACCACCCTCGCGTCTCTCAGGTCCCATGAATAATCACAGATAGTTCCCCAGGATCCATCGTGCATGATCTCTACTCTGCCTTCAGCATCATTAGACCCTCCGACAAGACGAACTTCAAATGGATTCGGATGGGCTGAATGAATAAAAAGTGTTTTAAAGGAACTTTAAAAGGGACAAAATATTACTTAAAACCTCTACTTGGTCCCGGAGAATATGCAAAAATCAAACATAATCAGAAATAAAATTAACTGTTTAAATACGATAGGGTATCTTTATAGTGCTGTGACGTATATAATTCCAAATGTTTGATCGTGCTTGCTACTCAATCATTTGGAAATGTCTTTCTGAAGGATTATAACAAATAGCCGATATAAAAAAAATATTGATCATAATTTTACTATATCGCCAGATATTTCTTTTGAATTTGTAAACATGAAAAAGACTATGAAAAATGTTATAGTAAGTGTTTTTTTCTGAACGAAACCCCTATTTTCTCCTTTATCAAAGTGACATCACCTGAAACAGGGAAAACTTGGATTAAGAATGTCAATGTTCTTGTATTGTTCTGTCCTAAATAGTATGGCATCTGTAAGTACCATTGGAAAATTATTCTTTGATATTAAATGAGTTCATACCCCCTGAATAACATACGGTACCCGCATCCTCGTTATGCCTACAGGAAGTGGTGGTCCACAGGTATGGACAGTCCGTCAAGCTCTCTTCTGTCCCGTAACATTGAACACCAATAATATCGCCGGTTCCCTGCCCAAACCTAGCCAAACCAGGTGCTTTCAGAGCTCCGTCGAACCCCAGCATTTTGCAGACCATCCTTGCTTTCCACAGATTCCAGTAATTATCACAAACGGTCATCCACGATCCACCGTACAAGACCTCCACTCTTCCTTTAGCATTGTTGGAGCTTTTGACGAGACGTACATCTTGGTAGAAGATTGCATTTAATAAAAAAAAGTTGTATTTAATCACATTTTCAAATGATAAACTAAATACTGTATAGAAGCATAATTCTCGTTTAAAGCCATTTAATTCCGTATAAATTTGCCAGAGGACTTAGCAAGTATCAGTACTTGAACATTTGTTCCATGCGATTGATCGGCGTTCCCAAATCGTATAAATAACTTGATATCTCAAAAGGAAATACCAACTTTGAAATGTTCCTGTATCCCGGCAATGAAATTCATATCATTTAAAATAATACATTCTTTGTTTCCCGATTGTATATTTACCAGGTTTCCATGATTACTAGCCACTAAATACTAATATCGTAAAAGTTCGCCAAATTCCAATTGGGCCACTTTCTATTAATATAGACATGGTGTTGAGGGGGTGGAGTTATCGACCTGCTTGTAGGTAATGTATATACAACACGAATAAAGATACGTCGTTTCACGAAAATAATATAAAAATAGAGTATATTTATAAAGCGCATAATAAATTGTGAATTTCTCTATGCGCTTTACAGTTTTGTACAATCAAAACAAATTTGAATATATAAACAACATTAAAACAACAATAAATAACAAAATAGATAGGAGAATGACAAAAAAATATTAATGAGAAAGTAAACCAATTAACGCACCTATAATTACACCTACAAAATTAATTGACATTACATATAACAAATTCAACAAACAGACAGACACTCATCATGCCGAATCAGCCTCCCAACCAGAAACGGACAAAGCAGCTCTAGGAGAAGAGCCTTGAAAACGAATAGGTTTTCAGGGCTCTTCCAAAGCCGTCAATGCTCACAACAACTCGAAGCTGGTCAGGAAGCTGGTTCCACAAGACAGGTGTCAGAGTAAAATGGGGAATTTATTCTTATTTTATTCGTATTCCTATTTTCAAGGTCATCTAGACATTAGAGGGCGTTTGTAATAGAAAATATTTCGCTTGTCTGAATATATGCAAATTAGGGTGTGGTGCCGAGAATGCTAAAGTGTGTACGTGTGGATTTAAATCAGTGCAGTTGACTAGAAGACGGAGGTTGTAGCTGGACGTGTGAGAGGTCTTGTACATGTACCCTTATGTGTGTTGTGGAAGTTGCTACCAGAGCCTTAATATTGTATTCGGCGCAAGCAGTCTTTTTCCTCAGGCGACACCGGTACGAGAGGTATACTCCATGTAGCCCAGAACCTCAATTTTCCTGCCATTGGCAAAACCTTGTCAACAAAACTGTAAGTAGCTTTCTATACATAACCTATGTGTGATAATGAGATTCAGATAATTTAAATATTTACAGTGTGCAAGAAGAACCACGTTAGAGCAAATTAGCTCGTATGTGTATCAAAAGTAATTATTCACGAACACGTGACGAAAAGGCCGTTCATGAACTATCGTTCTCCTGAGTGTCGCTCGATAGGGATAATTATACGTTTATTAATATAAATGCTTTAACACTTCATGCATAAATTCTGAAATTATATGTAAAAGAACATTTTATTTTGTGTTAATGAATTAACGCATAACAACCTAGTAGTAATGTTGAGAAACAAATTATTATTGAAATAGTTGTGCTAGAAATGACTTAATTTCTCTAACGAATTTTTGTTGACATAACGAAATTCTTATAATGATTAATTAATTTTATGGGTCATCATCCTTCCGACACAAGTCTCCAGGGTAGAAACCATGTCGGTATTGGATCTTCTGATATAGCAATTAAATCTTACTTTTTGCCCGGGTCAGTTATATTGGTGACCCTAGTTAATAATGAAAAGAAAGTGTAGTGGAAAGAAACCATGTTGGTTTTGTTATAACCGGATAAAGAAAGTCTGGTGAAGTAATCTTTATTATTCCATCGTTTGGTTTATTCGAAAATGATTAATAGAAATAAGTGTTGAAAACGTATAAATTAAATATGTATTTTGAAGGATATATTGATAATTTCATTTATAGCCGTGTAACGAGGGACAAGAACGTTCTAAACTACAAAACTAGTGGCACGCTGAGCTTCGTCTAATTAGCATTCAAGAATCGCTGAGTCATTACATCCGGGATCTTGAAGACAACGTCACATGACCGATTGCCGTAATGAGTGATTACGGGACATCAACCTTCACAAGTCTCCAAGCATCGAATCGTCGTAGAAACCATGTCGGTATTTGATCTTCTGATATAGCAACAACTATTCACAAAAACCAAACAAAAGGCCTTTCGCGTAATTCGGACAATTGTCCTAATTTCGGACACTTATGATAACTTCAGATAATTACTGAACGTAAAACGGGAAGTTAACTTAAGATGGGACTCCACTCGGTGTTAATGGAGTAATTAATTGACAGCACGTATATTTACATATTTGTGTAACAACAGATTTCTATGAATAAAGATGTGTATTTGACGTCAAAGTTAAATCGTTCAACTGTAATCAAGAGAACACACTGTTGAATTTAGATGCTGATTTAGTTTCATTAAACAGTCTTTAAAACTCATTTATCAGAGTCTTCTTGGCTATTTTGTTGTATCTTTGAAAAATCTTGACAACAGGCGCTGCCGTTGAAAAGACACGAGAACCATATGTTTGGGTTGATGTGGTAGGGACAGTCAGGAGATTCGTTGTTGAGTATAGTATCGTGCTTTTATTCATATATTATCTACTAATCATTATATTATCGATTATTCATCGGTTACTGATCAAGATAAATAGTCAATATCTCGATGAAGTTTATAAAAGTAACATAGTCTATTTTTTAGTACACTTTAATACAAGGCTGCAGTTTTGGACTTATCTTGCATATAATATCATGGAGGCTATAAAAACAGTTTTTCTTTTACATCCCTTTTCCAGGTGATGTCTTTAACTAAGTACTTGAATGTCTTCAGCCCTACGTACTTATATGAATTGAATCTATATGATATAATTATTTATTAAGATTCATAAATTGTTTACAGATCTATTTAAGGTATACAAAACCGGGCATGAAATTATTTAGTGCGCAGTGATAACGGTTTTATCTCTAGCTCCAGCATAACAATTATCCCATCAGGTATCCATCTAATCCCTTCTAGGGAAGAAGCAATGTAGACAGAATATCATTCACAATGGTATCACTGTTACATGCTCTATACTCTGAAAACATTTGAGAGAAAACAAGGGTCCTTTATAGGGACAAAAAAAATTGCCAATTCGCGATCATTAATCTCTTCACCCACAATCGAGTGAGTATTACTGATGTTTACATCGGGAGAACGCCAGGAATGATTTAACGAAGGTGAGCATATATGTTAACATCGCGTGCGCGCGGACACACACACACACACATTCACCCTCCTACCCACGCACACAAAAAATATACACACGCTCATGCACCCTCCCAACACATAAACACACAATACACACGCATACACATACCCACTCACAAATACTACCCTTTTTCATTTATTTGGGGATAATGAGTATACCAAATAGTTTGACCAAAAATTACACTTTCATCCGATTGAGCACCTATAACATAGTTGGTGTATTTCCATGCATTGTTTATTTTGTTTACATGCCGAAATAATAAATTGATTGTGGGACAGAAATTGAAGAAAAAAAATGAAAATCGATAAGTTAAAATAATACATATCTATTTCGTATCGAAGTGGACCGCTCCATTTCCGACCATAACCTCGTAGAGCAGCTGGTGATGATTATACATCGCACCTTTTAAGTGCCGTCTCGAAATGATCAAATTATTCAATTCGATATTATCAGCAATTAACCTATAGGCGTTACAATAAAGTAACAGTCTGACGATAGTAATTTCATTGGACTAACGTAATTTCTAACAGAATGTTCAGCATATTTACATTGTTAAGTGAAAAATAACACTTCGTTGTGTGTATCATAGTGAGTGCATCACTACATCAGTATCCGATCATCCATATTTTCAGAATACATCTATCTTGTCTATCTTTTGTGAGTGTTCTTCTAAAGTTCCATAATTTCTATGTAAACTTCTCAATGATCCTCGTCCATTTAAATTTCATCTCATATTAATGTCCATCCAACATTCGAGTTTGGACGTAATCATTTTCAAAGTTCTTAAGGAGAAGGTTGAGTTCTGGGAAGAGGTGACAAGTATTTTGTGAGCGTTTATATCATTGTATTATGCAAGTGTGGAAGGACATCAGATTAAGAATGTTCCCTGAAAAGCATGGCTCTTCAAATGCCTTAATATTCTTAATATAGCATGTAGCATTATAAAATCGGAACGGAATTTTACGCCACATGTTCGTGTAGTCCCATATACATCTTTCTGTGTACAGTGCTTGTAATTTTACCAAGACTGGGCAAAATTTCTTATCATTTTGAAGATTCCAGAACCTTGCAGTACACACCAATACATATATGCTAGATGATCAACCTTTTTCTGATCGAATTCACAACGTTTCTTTCTCAATGCAATCGCGTGACCAGAACTCAACGTTATATTTAATGTTTGGTATCTAAAAGAAAGTCTAATATCAAGAACTATGTCCCTCATTGATGTGGCTTTCTTTTCAAAGGCACGTTCAGATATGACGTGAAAAAACCGCGACGTTTTTTGTAATGTAGACGCAAAGTGCAATACCATAAGAACTGCAGGTACTTCAATTTTGCATCGGTTTACCGCGCGATATCTGACCAAGTCTTAAGCAGTTGTGATGTTGGTGTAATCAGGAATAATATCGTATTGCATATCTGGCGATGACCTTGCCACTTTGACTTTGTCATCACCAAGTGAGACGCCAGTTACTGCCATTTTAGCATTCGTCTGAACTCTAGCCTGGTGTGTTGAGATTGTAGAATCATGATTAAAGTCAGGATAATTGTCTTTATCTGCAGAAGGCTCTTCATAAACAGTTGTCATGTCCATGTATTCATGCAGCTCAGTAGCTGTACTGCCTTTTGTTACGAAGGCATGTCCTACATCTTTCGCATATGGACAGTTTGTGCGGGATCCTTGAGTTACAGATGGATCCCTGACTATGCCTACATCCGTATCTGAGTTGATATCCATATACTCGTGAGGGTAATTTCCTCGAGTATGTTTCGGTTCTCTGCTGACACTTGCTTTCTTGTAACACCGCTGGACATTAGTTACATTCAAAGAGATTTCGTTTCCTAAACCTGTAACGCCAGACAGAAGATACCCATCAGTGTCCATGTCTGTAACTCCTGGGGGCTCTTGATAAACAGACTTGATGTCCATGTATTCATGATATCCACCTTGTCCGCTGGATTGTAGTGTCCCTTTCAAACTTCCTTTATTGTCAATATCGGGTAAACAAGTTGATATTGCTCTCAAATTCGGGGTCACTTCGGTCTTGGAGGGTGTAACGCTTGGGAGAAGATAGTTATTTACATCTTTGTCGGCGTCTACTGATGTCACACTAGGAAGAAGATAACAGTCAACATCAAAGTCCAAACCGGATGAAGGTTTTTGATAAACAACGTTCATGTCCATGTACTTATGATCTATATCTTGTATATTGGTGTGTGTTGCTCTCGTCATTTTGACGTCATTCTCTGTTACATTGGCAGCCGTCGATACTGTTGTTGATGTAAATTCAGACTTTGAAGCTGTTGAAGTTGGAAGAAGATAACCGTCAATGTCTCTGTGTGTGTCAATTGGAGGCGTTTGATTAATAGTATTCATTCGCGACATCATGCGAAATTCAGACTTTGATCCAGATTTCGTTGCCCTCCTATTTGGAAGAAAGCCATCAAGATATGTGTCTTTGTCTGTTGGGGACTTTTGATTTGCATGCTTCATGTGCATGTCTTTATGAATTGCCTCTTGTTTATCGCTATGCCTTGTTCTTGTCATTCTTTTGTCGTTGCAAGAACCTGATACACATGCAGCTCTCGTAGCTACCATGGGAGTAAATTCAGACCTCAAAGCTGTGGAAGATGTAAGTAGGTAACCATCAAGATCTACGTCTGTGCCAGTCGTGGGTATTTTACCAATAGGCTTCATGTCCATGTATTTATGAATCGCATCTTGTTTATTGCTGTGTCTTGCTCTTGACATTCTTATCTCATTGTCAGAACCTACTTCATCTGCAGTTGTCGTTCCTATTTCCATGTATACTCTTGGTTCCGGAGTTGTAGCAGTTGGTAAAAGATAACCATCAATGTCTTCATCTTTAGAACTAGGAAGTCTTTCACGGATAGTATTCATGTCCATGTATTCATGGGTTGCATTTTGTCCGCTGTCGCCCCTGATGTGCACCTGCTCACCTGTTGTATTTTTATTCACTGTCAAGGCCACCTGCGATTTTTGTTTCCGAGATGATACAACAGCTGACAAGCGTTCTGATAATTTAGGTGGGGAATTAATATCCTGATAGATTGAGTCTAAGTTCTGAAGGTCTAAAGACCTAGAATGCATCAAATCCATGTATACAGTTGTATCAAGATTCTTTTTAGCCATTCTCTTCCGGGATCGACATAGGCAATAAACGAAGGCTGCGATAAGAATAATGCTCGAAACGGGAATACTTGTTACAAGCAATAGGACAAGATTGTGTGGGACTTCATTAGATTGTACATTTTCAGGTTCATCTGGACTGAAATTTCCAAACATGTTTGGAGTATTTGAATACAGAGATGTACTTTTAAAATCCGTCGATAGCCCTTCTAGGGTGGTGCTTGGCAAAGAAGGATCAGTGGTCTCGAATTCAGAAGTACTAGTAGATTCTGAAAGAGAATAAAGAATTGAGAATTTGCTAGTAAAGAACAACGACAACGCTCATCGTTTTCCTAAGTGTCTCAAATATTACCAAGTATTTTCCGTTTAAAATTCTTGTTAAAACAGTCATCGTCATAATAAGCGACAAAGTTATTCATTCCGAGGTCTTGTGTTCATTTGCTATGAAACAGTACAAAAATAAATTAGATTATGATATTGGGACATGAAAAAGTAATTGATTTATGTGACTATAATTAAATCTGTTAATGTCAAGAAAAAAAACTAATTTCTTGAATACAGAATCAACATTAAAATATTTAAAAAACTCATATTTACAATACTAATTAAGTACATTTACGGTTTAGAGCAACTATTATAATTCCTCCTATTATTTGAATTCCTGATAAAGGAATTTTGTTGGAAAAATATGAAAAATCAATAAGCTACAGATTAAATCCATTTTTTTCTAAAATATTTTCTTTACACACTAGCTTAAAACGAAGAGGAAACTTACTTCCTGAGTAACAAATAGTGCCTGCATCTTCACCATGTCCACAGTTGTGAACTCGAATCCCTAAATGAGCACAGTCTGCAAGGTTATCTTCTGTTCCGTCACACCCAACATCATCTAGAAGAATGTCCCCTGATCCTTGACTAAACCTAGCAGATCCCTTGGCTTCCAAGGTTCCATCAAACCCCAGCATTCTACAAACCACCCTCGCGTCTCTCAGATCCCACCAGTCATCACAGATTGTTCCCCAGGATCCTTCATGCAGTACCTCTACTCTGCCTTCAGCATCGTTAGACCCACCGACAAGACGAACTTGAAATGGCTGAGGATGGGCTAAAGAGAAAAGTAGTTTTGTTCTCTCTTATATTTTTCAAATTTTGCGAATCATAAGGAAATCAACCAGATCATTTGCCTGAAGTAATAACGAAAATAAATTAATGGTTAACATGCCAAAGATTCGATGTTTTCCCTATGTACTGTAGGGGTCAAACAATACATTTGTCATTCTTTTCTATCATTTCGTTAGAAAGTAATCGGCAATATTTCCAGAGGGAAACTACGCAATGTGAATTTCACTGGATATCTGCTCTATATTTACATTGCATATACCAGCAGTAGGAGTTTTTGACTTAACTATTCAAAATAAAAATCAATAATATCAAGTCAAAATGTTTTGGAATTAAGGTTCCATTTTGTCTTGATGGATCGACTTAAAACTTTTTATCTGTAGAATATGGACCAGAGAAACATACCTCCGGAATAACAAATGACACCTGCATCCTTTTCATGTCCGCATGAAGTATAATCTCCAATACCTGCATGAGCACAGTCTGCCAGGTTGTCTTCTATTCCCTTACAGTTGACATTCGCTAGAAGAATACGACCAGAGCCCTGACCAAACCTAGCAGATATCGGTGCGTCCAAGGCTCCATCATACCCAAGCATTCTACAAACCACCCTCGCGTCTCTCAGATCCCAGCCGCCATCACAGATAGTTCCCCAGGATCCATCGTACAGTACCTCTACTCTGCCCTTAGCATCGTTAGACCCACCGCCAAGACGAACTTGGAATGGATCTGTGAAGGAGAATCAGGGTGGTTGAAATATATAAAAAGTTTTGCCAACTGACATTTGTATAATGTTTGGTTAAAAGTCATGTGAGGCTGTTTTAATCCCACAATCCTCGATAAAACTGCAAAAGAGTTTCTTAAAAAAAGGGTAGATAATGATCACGAAGATAGTTCCATAGCGTATGTTTACTGTAGTGTGAAGAGAAAAACTCTGCAGCTATGTGTCAACTTTATATCCACTGCGTTGATTTGGAATATAAAAATTAAATAAAACAATCATGGCAAAATATAATATAAGTCAAGCTCTTACTTATTATTTTCAATCTGTCGTTGGTTTATCTTTTTTTTTCTTTGTTAGTTTGCAAGAAAAAGAGAGTTGATCGAAGAAACTCAGATTTGTGCGAATGATACAGTTTTATAACAGAAAATACATCTAAAAAAAAATGGTAGTTTTGTATTTAAAAAATTGTGCACGGGCTTTTTAGAAACGTGACAAAAGTAAATATAAGTTAAGACCGTGAACTAACTTTTTTCTTTCTCTCGTTGTTTTTTTTTTTCTTCAATATAGAAGAGAAAATAAGTTAGTCGAAGAAACTCAGATTTTTGCGTATAAAACCGTTTTATAATGTTTTTTAAAAAAATCCGAAATGGTTGTTGGGTTTACAAAAGATTTGGAACGGAATTTGTACTAAATCTTTTTCAAATGGTTTGACGGCAGTTAACATCATCATTGCTTATAAATCATTAAAGAAACGTTTTTTTTTAAATCTATTAATATCGGTGGGCAATAAGAGAATCTTTAAAACTTCTTTTGTAATGGAATTATTGTTTAAACCCGAAAATTAACATTCGTCTGAAATGGAAACCTACCCCCTGAATAACATATAGCTCCAGCGTCCCTCGCATGACCACAGGAACTAAAGTCTCCTATTCCTTGATGACCACAGTCTGCTAATTGGTCTTCTGTTCCATCACACGCGACCCAATTGAGAAGAATACGCCCAGAGCCCTGACCAAACCTAGCAGATCTCGGTGCGTCCAAGGCTCCATCAAACCCCAGCATTCTACAAACCACCCTCGCGTCCCTCAGATCCCAGTCACCATCACAGATAGTTCCCCAGGATCCATCGTACATGACCTCTACTCTGCCTTTAGCATCGTTAGACCCACCGACAAGACGAACTTGGAATGGATCTGTGGATGAGAACCAGGTGGTTAACGATTTTTTTTCTAGAAATATATGACAAGTTTTGCCAAGTGACATTTGTAGAATGTTTGGTTAAAAGTCATGTGAGGCTTCTTTAATCCCACAATCCTCGATAAAACTGCAAAAGAGTTTTGACAAAAATGTAGATATTGACCACGAAGAGAGTACTACAGCGTAGTTTTACTGTAACGAGAAATACTCTGCAGCCATGTATTAACTGGATTTTAAAACACCCCTTTTCAGGTTGGAACAGTTCTTTATCTTTTTAATTAGATATAGATAATTTCGAGTCGAAGCTGTTTACTTAATATCCACAGCGTTACATATTGATTTGGAATATAAAAAGTGGAATAAAACAGGCATGACAAAGTAAAATTAAGTCAAGCTATTATTTATTATATTCCATCACTCGTTCGTTTATTCTTTTTCTTTTCAATTAACACGAGAGAGAGAGAGTTGATCGAGGAAACTCAGAATTATGCGTATGATACAGTTTTATAACAGCAAATATGTCTTTAAAACAGTGGTAGTTGGGTTAAACGAATTATGCAAGGACTTTTTAGAAACATGACAAAAGTAAATATAAGTTATGATCGTGAATTAACTTTTTCTATCTCTTGTTCGTTGATTTTTGTCAGTTTAGATTAGGAAATAAGTTAATCTAAGAAACTACGTATCAAACAGTTGGATAAAGTTTTTTTTTTTATGAAATGGTTGTTGGGCATAAAAAAAAAGATTCGGCGCGGGATTTGTACTAAATTATTTTCAAAAAGGCTTAACGGCAGTAAACATCATCATTGCTTACAATAAAGAAACGTTTTTTAAAAAAATCCCTTAAAGATACAATGCCCTTTTTGCTGCCAACATCAAATTCAATAGAACTTTGCAGAAATTATGAATATGTCATGTATGTCCTATGTGTGAAATGTAAACATTAGCAGTGTCCTAGTATTCAAGTCATGTAAGGAAACCCGTTTACAGACCCATAATACACCATTAATTGAATGAATGAAATCTTTATTTCTTTCGTAATAACATATATACATAACATAAGCTGTAACAGGTACATGGGCATGTGTTTACAAAAATAACCCAGTACTTGTAATGGCCAAAATTACACTGATTGAATCTTTGTGCAGGACAAAAAGTATACACCTATTCGGTAAAAGGGTCTGAAAATCAGACTATTACTTAGGTGATTGCAATCACTTAAGTCGATTCGACAACTACTAGTCATTATTTTCCCACTAAAAAAAAAACATTTGTAAGCCCTTTCGTTTTGAGGGAAGTTCTAAACTAGTATTGTCTTTCAAATGCCGTTTTAATTAAACTTGTTCATTTTTTTGGCCTGAAAAGAGAAATAGTACCTTTAATCTCAGTGGAGCATAAGAGAGTCTTTAAACTTTTGTTGTATTAGAATTATTGTTTGAACCCAAAAATTAACATTCTTCTGAAATGGAAACATACCCCCTGAATAACATATGGCTCCAGCGTCCCTCGCATGTCCACAGTAACTAAAGTCTCCAACTCCTCGATGACTACAGTCTGCTAGGTTGTGTTCTGTTCCAACACACGCGACCCAATTGAGAAAAATACGACCAGAGCCCTGACCAAACCTAGCAGATCTCGGTGCGTCCAAGGCTCCATCAAACCCCAGCATTCTGCAAACAACCTTCGCGTCTTTCATATCCCAGCTACCATCACATATAGTTCCCCAGGATCCATCGTACAGCACCTCTACTCTACCTTCAGCATCATTTGATCGCCATCGAGATTACTTCGAATAAGATTTTGATGTGCTTTAAGCAAGGCCCGCTCCCCCCTCACCCCCTCCCCCCGGATCCGCGCCTTAAGAAAGGGAAAGTGCTTTGTCTGTTGTTGGTACATTCGAGTACCTACTTTTAATTTAGTTTTCCATGTGTACGGAATATACCATGGGCAGCTTACAGAAAGACAAAGTTTTGCTGTTTCAGCTTTTTTGAACTGTAGATTAGTTGGGAAATGGTTCATGATTCGAACAAATATATCTTTGATAGATCTTTTTACAAGTGACACGGAAGGGGGGGTTACCTGATTCAAAAGTAGTTTATGCTGTCAGACTATATAATGTGATAAATTATGGAAAGATTACTCTTCTACTTTTTATTGAAAAAGACTGATGTAAATCATAACAGATGCACTTTCGTCTCGTGCCTATTAAAATTAAATTCATCATACGCTGTCGCTCATTAAGGTGTAATATTTTTTTATCCCAATTTATGGAATTATTTTAAAAATAATTTAAAAATAACAGATCTAGATAATAGTATACATTCTCAGATTTTATTGAATAATAATTTGCCAATGTGTGTTTTACGTGACTGCTAAAGCATGTGTATGCTACTATGCTTATCAACTAGGGGACCTATGCCCTTAAGTCATAAATGATAGTAATGAGGATTAATGCCCCACAAAAGGGCACTAATATAGCACATCGACACGGTTTTGATCCTGGGGCCTCATAGTTACGAGGCCATTGCTTTTTCACTGAACCATGACTGTACGCAGCGGGGGCTAGGGTAGGGGGCAGTTTCCATAAATTAAAAAAAAACAGAAAATGCAATAAATTTTCAATAATTTATTGCATTTTCCCCCGATTCCCAGCATAAAAAATCTTCTGTGTGCCCATGCCTTGAGCCATGATGCATGGCCGTCCAGAGGATTTTTTTTATGTTTGGGGATCGGGGTAGAATGCAATAAATTATTGAAAATTTATTGCATTTTCTGTGTTTTTTTTTAATTTATGGAAACTGCCCCCTACTCTAGCCCCCGCTGTGTACAGTCATGGTTCAGTGACAAAACAATGGCCTCGTAACTGTGAGGCCCCAGGATCAAAACCGTGTCGATGTGCAATATTAATGTCCTTTTGTGGGGCATTAATCCTCATTACTGTCATTTATGACTTGAGGTCATAGGTCCCCTAGTTAATAAGCATAGTAGCATACACATGCTTTAGCATTCACGCAAAACACACATTGGCAAATTATTATTCAATAAATTCTGAGAATGTATACTATTATATAGATCTATTATTTTTAAATAATTTTTAAAATAATTCCATAAATTGTGGTAAAACTAGTCCACTTTTATGAGCGACAGTGTAATACTAATATTAACATCCACCACCGTCTACTATTCGTCGAAAATGTAATATTAACGAATCATTAATACATTCGAATCCTTCTTTTTTTGGAAAAATAGTTTACAGACAATTGGTTATGTCCTTCTTTTACTTAATCACATTCGACGAATCAAGTGGGGTAAAATAATTAGGTTACCCATCGGGATCGTGTTTATCACCAAACAAGGTACATGACTGAGCGGAATTCTCGTTGAGAGAAGTAAACAGTTTGTAATGTCCAAATTCACTTATACATTTTGTTAAACGAAGATTTTATATGAACACTTGTACGGCTAAAAATATATATGTATTTACAAAATAAATGAATAATCTTCTACATAATTACAGACCAGGACCTAGATTTATTGTGCGTGTGTATATTGTGCTTGGTGACCTTAAATTTTGTATGAGGTTATAATATGTCTCCGACTTGAAACCGGACGAAATACTCCAGTTCAAATGTTCAAATGTTTGCCTTTTGAATGGCATACTCATAGTCATAACAAAATGAAACACAGTGGACACGACGAACTTTTAAAGATAAACATTGCATTTATATTGTAGTATATGAATTACTTCAGTTGGTACATTCCAATTCAGACTGCCTACATATTTCACAATTGCATCAAACGATTGATCTAAAATTTTTATTTTAAAGTTGAATCCGACTAGCTAGAAAACTATTATCGTAGGTAAAGTGTGTTAAGGGTTACAAGATGTATTTGCTTTGACAGAATTATATGCTGTAGCTCTTGACATTTTACCTACAAGTGTCTTTGAAAAATTTAGTCGTAACTGATCTTCTCATTCTATTTAAACAGCATGTGTGCAGAATGACATTGGGTTCTTTTGATTTGTCTTATTCCACTTCCACGAACTGTATTTACAAAAGGCATTACCTACCAGAATTTGGGCCTCACCAAAAAGTTTTGAATAATAATAATAATAATAATAGCCTAATAGTCCATTCCAAATTTTATTAAACCGAAACGGAAATTCTTTTTTCCCAATTGATCGTGAGCCCGGCAGCCACAGAGCAGCGGCAGATTGACGTTGCTCTATCCCTTATTGTTGAACGCCAAACAAGGTAGCAACAACTCCCATCTTTTTACATCTTTTGGTATGACGTGGCCGGGGTTCGAACCCACGACCACCCGGTTGTGAGGCGGACGCTCTACTGACTGAGCCAACACTCCGGTTTTTATTGATCATATTTCTTATTTCATTACATAATCTTTACTTTGTTTTAATTTGAAAAGTGTGTTTTTTAATCTATTATACCATGAAATGAATAGTACATCAGAATAAGGGGCAGGGTCAAAAGTGAAAAGTTGCAAAATGCATTAGTAAGCACCGTTATTGTTATGCACAGCACCTTTATTTCTTTGACATAAGAGGGGTGATTCTTGTAAATGATTGGGGCTGTGTGTTCCCAACTGATTATTCATGAATGCCAGATGTTAAGTAACCTAAAAATGAAATTCATGCTCTTTGGTCAGGGTGTGACATTTGGGGTAACAATTTTTAATGTTTGGGCGTCAACTTTCCGCAGCCGCATGCCCCTAGGGGTAAACAATTTGTTGAAAAGGAATATGAGATCAAACAAGTGGAGGCTGGAGTTCTCCTTAAAAAAGTTGCAGCGTGTTTATTTTCTTCCAGAGATGAACTCATGTGCAATGAAATAAATTGTGTATTTCGAAAGTTTATTTCAATGACAAGGCATTGTCTTTTTAGTGTCTGCATGTTTGTTCCTTTTCATGCATGTCTGTGTCAGTACAGCGTGTACATATATCATCTGAAAACACAGCAGCCCCACACTCTTAACAAAAAGAGGCATGTACAGCCGAACTAGAACAGTGCATTTTGCAACTTGTCAATTTTGACCTTGCCCCTTGTTTTAATGTACTGCACACATGCTATGACTGACAAATCATAACATATGGTCTTAAAGAAGGATAAACATACTGTTTAATGATACTAAACAAAGCGATGATTATGCCATGTCAAGGGAAATATAATCGATCATACTGGCGTATCCACATTTTTTTGAGGGGTTAAAATAAATCATTAAAGCAATTTTTAAAGTATATTATATTAAAGTGTAGCAAAGAACGTTGAATAGGCAATAGTGATAATTTGTCATCATTCAAAAAATAGTCAAAAGAACATTTTGTATATATTGATGAGAAGAAACCTTGTTTTAATGAGGTGGTGTTAATAACACATCTACCTACATTCATTTGTTTTAAGTGTTTCCACTTTAAGATCATGTATATCTAACAATAAAAGACTGAACAAAATGTAAACACGACATAATTCTCTTATTTATCCTTCTTTATACATGCAGATTTGTGGGTGCAAACACCAATTATATATTTTCACCACTTCATAAAATATGATACCGTAATAAATAAATTTAAAGGAGTGTTGAATTTATATCAAGTAAAACATCGAGAAACTTACCTTAAGCACCCTCTACAAACAGTAAAAGCTTTAATCTTGAGAAACTATTAGAAGACATATTCATTTCTATCACATTCATGAGAATAGAAACGACCCCCTTAATTTCTTATACTTGTTTTTAAGTCCGAGGAATTTACTTCTTTAAGTCAGAATCCGAGTACAAAACTTTCCTATTTAAAACAAGACTATAAAGATACTTCAAATTTGAAATCCATAAAACACAATTCTGGTCTAATGGATTAAGTTTTTAAGTCGAATAAGATCCATTTTTGTATGCGCGCTGATGCATGAGATCATCTACGTGCAATCCGATTGACAAGTAGTTTAATTTCATCACAGCTTTATTCGCAGAAGTCAATTTCTTTAAAACTCGTAAACGTTTATTCAGTGAAATAGATCTTTGAACAATTAATGTTTAAAAAGTATTTTTAAGCCTTAAAAAGGATTTACAATTTAATTACTAGAAATCTAGTGATGGAGTTTCCTTATTAGGATATCTACCGAAACGTTGACACATGAGGTCAATTTATTCTAGAGATAATCTAATTCATTTGCATAAAATTAGACAATATGACTGCATGCTATGCTCAGCACTTGAGAGTAAATTTACATCAGTGAGGTCAAAACATTTTCAAAAGAAAGGGTACGATGTCCAAAATTATTTCCAAAAGAAATATTCTACACTAAATTTTGAAAAGATAAAGAAGCACACATTTCAAAAGATGACATTACATGGTTTTCAGAAATAATGAATAATATCACAGATCATTGTCAGATTATAATTCTTACATTTTTAAATAAGATATTCATCGAAATGTTTTCAAACGTTTTCATCATTTTTTTATAAAGGAAATATCAAACACTAATCAAGAACTCCCTCTTTATAGATATATATATGAGGTGGATATAAGGCCCATTATTAGAAAATGGCAAACACCTTCTTTAAATGCATAGAACCATGCAAACATTTCTATTAAAAACATGTTTTAAATTTATTTCCCAATTTTGCGCAATATTCTTTCTGAAGATTAATGTCCCTTCCTCTAATTTCGTCCGTGAATATTCAATGTGACGGCCAAATCATGTGTTGAATCTCTTCCTAATCTGGAATATCATAATCGTTGTTTTCTGATGATCCCTCTGTAAACTCATTACTATCTTCGATACACAGCATGAGGAATTCATGCGTATTATCAGGCTTTTCTTCAACATGCTGCATGATATCGCATGGTAATTCAATCCTATCGTCGCCTGCAGCACTTGGCAGAAGATATCCATCTTTGTCTTCATCTTCAAGCGTTGAGGATCGTTTGGAAATAGTCTTTACGTCCATGTGCTTGTGAATTGAATCGTGTTTCGTACATTCATGTTGCAGTGTAGGAGTCTGTTGATGTGAGCTACTCCTTTCACAAACACTGGTGAGAAATATATCTCTATCGTTTTGAGACAAACAACTCTGTTCTGCATTTTCAACATTCGGTTTATCTTCGGAATTTAAACCAGATTTACTTGGCAAAATATAACCGTCAAGGTCTACATCGCTTCCCTCCAAAAGCTGTTTGTTATTATTCGTCATATCTATATATTCATGGGTGTCAGTTCGTTTAGCAGTTTGTGCGTTATCTAGCGGCTCTTTTTTTCCACTTTCAGTTTTACTTGGGAGGAGATATCCGTCAAGATCTACATCCTTTCCCATTGTAAGTTGTTTGTATACAGTATTCATAACCATATACTTGTGTAGATTATTTTGTCCCTTGATTTGCACAGTATCTACCGGCTCACACGTTTCATCATGGCAGATTGCTCTGGATACTGTCGCTGTATTATCATGTGGTAACGTATCTGTGTCTTTATTTCCAACGCGGAGGCTATAAGCATAAATATGTGCATCCTTGTTCGTTGAAGCTGTCTTGTTCATAGGAGTCATGTCCATATAGTCGTGGGTGTTGTCACTAATTCTTGGCTGTTGTGCCAAAATCTGCTCCTCAACCGTATAAAACCGCTGGTTCTGAGAGGACTCTATGATCGTACTACCTTTACTCAACCTCGTTAAGCGTCGCTCTGGGAGTTTAGGAGGAGCATTTAAATCCTGATATGTAGAGGCTACAAACGTGTCCTGGTTTATTCCTGTGTCGTTAAAATCCATGTAAATATCATTTTCTAAGTTCCGTCTTGCCCTTGACTTGATGGCCCTACGTACACAATATGCAAGTGTTACCCCGATGAAGATGATCGAAAGCAGTATGCAAATCCCGGTAACAATTGTCACTTGTAGATTTTGTAGAGGGCTTTCCGAGGTTGGTGTTGGACCAGATTCATGTGTTGTTATTGTTCTGCTTGTTTCACCGATTTCAGATTGCGTCGTGCGATCTAAATGAGGATCGGAACACGAATATAAAGCAAAGTTTGAATGAAAATGGATTTAAGGAGCTGGACTTCCAAAATCTTCTCCACAACAGGAACGCAATACTGTAAAATTCAGCCCCGAAATTTGTTTTCAACCATTTTTGCAAAACAACACAAAAAAATCCACCGTAGTGGTAAAGTCAGCAACTTTAAAAACCTATCATTTACCTTTGCAACTCGTGGTAAATACTTCACGATACACATGAACACAATTTGTTAATTCGTTGTCGTAAATGTTTCACTTGATACCGAGAACTACATTTATGATGTAGTATACCATACCTTTTTGGATGCAAATAACGCTGGCATCCTCGTTGTGGGCGCAGTTGTTTATACCAATGCCGTCATGATCGCAACGTTCAATGTCAGTTTCTGTCCCGTGGCACTGAACTTCATCGAGAAAGATGCTCCCAGATCCTTTACCAAATCGAGCTCCAAGTGGAGCGTCCAAAGCTCCTTCAAAGCTTAACATTTTGCAAACAACCTCGGCGTCCTTGAGATCCCACGAATCGTCGCAGACAGTCCCCCATGATCCATCGTGTAGAATCTCTACTCTACCTTCAGCGTCATTAGTTCCACCGATCAGACGAACTAGAAAGGTAATAACCGTATATTTTTAACAGATTGAAATACAACAAGATTCCCTCTGAGTAAGCTTTTTTGCAAGCACTTTTAAACGTCAACGTTATTTAGTAGGTAAAGGTGTGCCTACGTTCTTTTATCCTGCCGGAATTCATACAGGTATGTTTCAAAGTTGATAAATACTTTTTTGTACAACTTTACTTTTTCCTTTTTTTTTGTTTCACAATGTTTGAAAAGCAATATATCAAAAAGATGTACATCGTTCTTTTGCAACTTTTGGCGAGAAAGCTAAACTTATTTACATGAAAAACTCTACTGTACTATGGAACAGAATCATACCTCCTGAGAAACAAATCGCACCCGAATCACTGGCATGGGTACAGTTATGAACTCTTATTCCTCTGTGATAACAATCTGCTATGTTCTTTTCTGTTCCGTAACACTGAACATCACTAAGCAGAATATTGCCATTGCCCTGACCAAACCGTGCAGAAACTGTTGCTGCCAAAGCTCCATCAAACCCCAACATTCTGCAAACAACTCTCGCGTCGTTCGTATCCCAGCCATTGTCACAGACAGTTCCCCATGATCCATTGTACATCACCTCTACTCTACCCTCTGAATCATTCGCTCCATCGGTGAGACGAACCTTGAATGGGTCTGTGAAGTTTTACAAATATCAAATGAAATAGCAATTTTAAGTATCAGGAGAGGAAAATGTGTTTGTGGAAAGTAGAAGAAACGTGATCGGTAGGTCTTCTCAGACATCAACTCAAGAGCAGTGTCAATACCCTATTGTATACTCTTTGTTTATTACGTAATGCATCGGCCATTGTTTTACTGTCTATGCGATCATGTCACAAGTGCATGGGTGTACGGGTATACTAATGAACTACAAACAGATAGAAGAAAGATAGATTTGTGTTTAATCATATTCTTTAAAAATCGGAATTTGGAGTTGTGATTATGTTAGACTGCAAGTATCATCCCATACCTCCTCTGAAACAAATGGCTCCGGAATCCTCTTCGTGTTTGCAATCGGAGACGCCAATCCCTCGATGGTAACAGTCTGCCAGGTTATCGTGTGTACTTTCACAGGATATATCATCAAGTAGTATATCTCCTGAACCTTGGCCAAACGCAGCAGAGCCTGGTGCGGTTAAGGCTCCATCAAACCCCAGCATTTTACACACGACCCTTGCGTCTCTTAGATCCCACTCATGATCACAAACGGTTCCCCAAAAACCATCATACAAGACCTCTACTCGTCCTTCAAGGTCGGTAGATCCGTTAACGAGCTTAACTAGAAATGGTGCTGTGGGGGAGGGGGGGGGGGGTTGGAGGAATTAAAAAAAATGTATGTATGCAATCAGTTGATTTCGGACTTCTCTCTGTAAAGGAGCCAACAATAGCTAGTAAATGCTAAATTCCTAAAGATCTTAAAATCATGTTTTCAATTGGCAATAAAGGATTTTTAGACAAAACGATAATTGGTAATAACGTTCCATTACTTAATGTATATGTAAATGCCCCTATTGTCAGCTGTTCCCAAGTCAAACTATACGTTATCATCGTCCCCTGTAGAAGGACATAGGACAAACGGGACTTAAAACTTAAAACACCCCATTGGTCACGTGAAAACAGCAAGACCAACACGAAGAAGACCATGAGGTTGACAATTGTAACAACCGTTGTACAAATTTTAGATTTTCAAAGCCTTCGAGAACTAATATATATATAATCCTATTAACCTACCTCCTGTAAAACAAATGACACCAGCGTCCCTATCATGTTCACAGTTGTTGATTCCAAGCCCTCGATGGTAGCACTCAGCAAGTGCATCTTCTGTGCCCTTGCATCCAACGTCATCAAACAAGATTTCACCGCTTCCGGCACCAAACCTAGCACTACCAGGCGCAGCTAGAGCTCCGTCAAATTCTAGCATTTTACAAACTACTCTTGCGTCTCTTAGATCCCAGTTATCATCACAAATAGTTCCCCAGCTTCCCTTATACAAAACCTTCACTCTGCCTTCTGAATCGGTAGTTCCATTGGTAAGACGAACTTGAAATGGCTCTGTTATGTTTAATGAGTGGTCAGGATGAAAAGCAGAATAGGTTTATCAGATTAAAAGTACATACTCTTACAAGGAAATGTAATCATGAATCCCTCTTTATAAAAATCCAGTACATAGATTGGTTAGGAGCACCTCACATGACCAGAAATATCTAGAGAAGAGCAATCCGCTATTATAACAACAAAATTGAGGTGAGACGTTGGAGTGAGAAAAGTTATAATTCTCGCTTGTGTGCAGAATTCACTTTCGTGCGTTCAACCTCAATTACTGAATTAGGGAAATGCAAGATATACATGCAGGTGTATATGCAAGCGAATAAGTAAGAATTATTTATTCAAATGGCTATTCTATACAAACATTTTTTTAAACAGAACACCTACCTCCCGAATAACAAACAGCGCCTGCATCCCTCGTATGACTACATATGTAACGTCCAATCCCTGCATGAGCACAGTCTGCTAGGTTGTCTTCAGTTCCGTCACAATTGACATACTTTAGCAGACTACGACCAGAGCCCTGACCAAACCGTGCAGATCTCGGTGCGTCCAAGGCTCCATCAAACCCTCCCATTTTGCAAACCACCCTCGCGTCCCTCAAATCCCATAAATCGTCGCAGATAGTTCCCCAGGATCCATTGTGCTTGAGTTCTACTCTGCCCTCAGCATCGTTAGACCCACCGACAAGACGAACTTGAAATGGTTTTGGATGGACTATTAGAGAAGAACGTAATACATGCTTGTTTGAGATGATATCACCAAACATTTCACGATCGATAACAAAATTAAGAGGGCACTTACAAATATTTTACCATTGTTTGCATTTTGTATATCCTATAAGTACTAACGAACAATTATCCCCAATCTCAGTGAGGGCCACAGATGATGAGATTGAAAATCGCATTTTCGGCTTGATATATCCATGTGTGGAATAATGGAAATTATTATGCTTTTGATGTCTTTGCTTCTCATGCAAAACCGTCGTTAAAACGAAATAAAAATACAGTTTTGGGGGAAACTTAATTGAACATTATCATGGATATTCTGGTAGATAAATACTTGCCCCCGTGAAGAAAAGAACGTCTAAATACAAGTTAATTGGTCAGTATGTTTATTTTTATATTATTGCCAGAGTGGGCTTCTTGAAACCAAAAGTTTCTTGGTAATATATCGAAATTTACGGTTTAAGAGGTAAATGGAGATTATGAAAGTCACTAATAAATAACTGAGCTGACGTTCTTGCTCATTCAATAAGCACTCAAGGAAATGTATAGTCGGGTAGATGGACTACCAGCAAGGTTAAAATAGAGAGAAAACATACTTCCAGAGTAGCAAATGACTCCTGAATCCCTTGTATGACTGCATGAGTAACGTTCAATCCCTGCGTGAGCACAGTCAACTAGGTTTTCTTCATTTCCGTCACAAGTGACATACTTTAGTAGAATACGACCAGATCCCTGACCAAACCGTGCAGATCCAGGTGCGTCCAAGGCTCCATCAAAACCTGCCATTCTGCAAACCACCCTCGCGTCCCTCAAATCCCATAAATAGTCACAGATAGTTCCCCAGGATCCATTGTGATTGAGTTCTACTCTGCCCTCAGCATCGTTAGACCCACCGACAAGACGAACTTGAAATGGTTTTGGATGGACTATTAGAGAAGAACGAAATACACGCTTGTTTGAGATGATATCACCACAAATTTCAAACCACGTTCGATAACAAAAATGAGGGCACTTAAAAATAATCTGCAATTCCATTTGTATATCCTATAAATACTACAATACAATTGACCTCAATTTCAGTGAGGGTCGTAGATGATGAGAGGGAAATTCGCATTTTCAGCTTAATATATACATGTGTAGAATAAGGGAAATGATTATGCTTTGTATGTCGTTGCTTCCCATGCAAAACCGTCTTTAAAACAAAATGAATATACTTTTTGGGGAAACTTATTTGAATCTCATCATGTATAATCAGTTAGAACAATACTTGTCCCCATACAAAAAAAAACGTCCAAGTACAAGCAAATTGTCCAGTATGTTAATTTTTCTATTTTATGAAAGAGTTGGCTTCTTCTTGGTTCCAAAATGTTTTTGTTTGTACATCGAAATTCTTTGTTCAAGAGGTTATTGGAGACTTTTAAGTCACTAATAACTAACTCTTCCGGCGCTCGTGCTCATCCAATAAGCACTCAAAAAATCACTGTCGGGTAGTTGGATTACTATAGGTTAAAATGCAGAGAAAACATACTTCCTGAGTAGCAAATGGCTCCTGCATCCCTTGTTTGTCTGCATAGGTAACGTTCAATCCCTGCATGAGCACAGTCTGCTAGGTTGTCTTCAGTTCCATCACACCCGACATAGGAAAGAAGAACACGACCAGAGCCTTGACCAAACTTAGCAGATCTCGGTGCGTCCAAGGCTCCATCAAATCCCAGCATTCTACAAACCACCCTCGCGTCTCTTAGATCCCACCATGAATTACATATAGTTCCCCAGGATCCATCGTACTGTACCTCTACTCTTCCTTCAGCATCATTCGATCCATTGGCAAGACGAATTTGAAATGGATTCGGATGGGCTACAAGACAGCAATTGCGTGATAGTAGCTTCGTTAAGTTATAAGAATATTAACGGTGAATACAAACTTTTTGGCAGCTGAAAAATGAACTAGCTATTTTTCGGTTGCCATTGATTCTTTACTCGACATATACATGTAATTTTCTAAAATATGCTGATGATACTGTGATATCAGGTTACTAAAGGGATAGTTGAGTTCTTGTTTAAGACCGCAAATGCCTTCAAAGTGCATGGAATATTGCTCTTATTTTTATTTATAACATTTCTAGTGCTCTTTTAGAACCTCAAATTGCTATGAAGGTAATTTTAGACCCCAAAATGTGTGAATTTAGATTGAATACAATCATACCAATCCATCTCCACTTTCCAATAAAATACGATGACAGTCAATTAATAAATTAATTCATAATAACAATACACGGGCCGGCTGGTTCTCCTTATTATAACCAACACGAAAAAGCCAACAAAAAGCCAATATTGGCATTGGCTGGAATAAAACGTTTAAGGCGCTAATCTCGTTTTTACAACGGCTGGTTCAAAATTACTGAATATTTGTTTCCCACCACAAATATAAGAAATGATTATATTTATGGATATTTCAGCCGTCTCTGAACCGATTTTGATCAAACAAAGATGATTTTGTAATTTAAGTTGTATATTCTTTCAAATTCGACACTCAGTTTTTCATTATCTCACAAACAAATAATTCTGTAGCGCCCTCTGCAACATAACTCAACTATCCCTTTAACTGATGACGACATTGGGTACAGTCCTGATATAGGCTGTGATCTGAAGAAAATATAAAGTTCGTTTTTTCACGTATAAGAGCCAATAAGTGGAATTTACCTTTCCCTGTACTATTTTATGACACACATTGTTTTTTTTTTACTTCCTTAAAACTTTTGTTATATTTTCTCCTGTTTGGTGATCGTATAATGTTTATTAAAATTTGTCATTGTACACTTCCTTACACTTCTTTGTTATGTATAACTCTGCTGTTTATGGTTAAACCAATTGAACAAAGATTATGTCGTATGACAGAATAATCAATAAATACGAATTCGAATTTAGAATATTTAGAAGGCTGAACAAAATATCACTTCGCAGACTATGCAGTAAAAATTGAAGAAAACAAGGTTTGGGCATACAATCAAGAAATATGATTTAGCTACGTTCAGCCGCTACGACACAGTAAACAAAAGCGTTATTCCTGCTATCGCTAATATCATATATTTAAAAATAATTCCCGGATGTTTAATACGTTCCTTCACCATTTCAAATGCACTGTGGGATAGTTCGGTGACAAAGTCGCTTCCGGTCTAAGTTCCCGCCTGGCTGCGCTGTGTATGCCAGCATTGATTATGTGTGTTTGTCTGTGTGTATTTTATTTTCTAACTGTAATCATAATCATTTATCACGATTTTCAAGCGATTTCAAGAGTGGATCATTACAAACAACGTATACATATAGAAATAAGATATTTGGATGTGTGATGGGCAGGAGCAAGTAGAGGCGTATGAATAATAACGAAAACTCTCTTTGTGTTCTTTGGCAAGTATAAAAACTCGTCTAGAATACTAACTGACGAGACTACAATAAAGGGTTAGTTTGCTTGTTGGACGACCAACGGAAATAATACGTTTATGTGGGGTATTCTAAAGTTAAACCCGCCGAAGTTACGAGAAGGGCTTTCCATTGTTTAATTCAATGTGGTCGTCAATATGATTTGGAGTATCTTTCTCTTGGTTTTCGTTGCTGCTGTCACAAAGACTGAGAAAACCTGGAAATAGCTTTCGGACGCGTACGTACAATGCACATGCATCATACGTCATGCATCATACCGCCCCCGCGCCATCGTACACGAGAAGTATATAAGTCCCGGAAGTGGCTCGAAATTACGTACAATGAGCTACATCCTGGTATGTATTGGCGTTAGCGAGAATTATAAAATCGGTATATGCAAATATGATAAAGTTGTTTTTCATAAACTGCGAACATCTCTTTTAAAATTGAATAAACCATTTCAAATCATAGCTATGTCTATATATATCAGTGTCGAAGTGCATTTGTCGTAAAGCGCCTTAATTAGGCCTGTTTTTAATGTCATTGCCTTGGCTTTTGCCTTGAGGACTTTATAAAACCCTGTTATTTTTTTGTCTAGAAACCCTAAGGCAATTTCAAGGTATTAATTATCTTACTATTTTCTCAAGTAACATTTAAAAAGTAGTTTGGTTGCTTTGTCTAATAACACTTTGCTATGAAAGCAATGCCAACTTTACATGTAGGTGAACATAATAGATCAAGAAAAATGCCCCTCCTACTACAAATCCTAGAAGGACCACACAGTGTCCTTCCTGTGACAGAAGAAGTGTCCTGACTTTTTTGTTGCCCTCGTTTGTCCTCATTCATGTCAATACACATGCCTTTTTTTATAGATAGGTCTACATCTGTGTTTGGTTTCTTCACTGCTGAACAACCCCCCCCCCCCCCACACACACACACACACACACACACACATGCCTAGGTACATGTACAAGTAAAATCTTGCTTGTATGAATGATATTTTATGTAACCTCGGACAAATAGCGTGCAATTAAAATAAACACATTTCATTCCTACGATGTATTATAACACATGCCCTTCTGGAGCTAAAATTGACACGGGCGGCACTTTGAGGGGACACTACAAGAAATGCAAAATAAAGGGCGCGAAAATACATCATTTGCGCCCCCAGTACGCAGGGTAAATTGCATTAGGACATTTTTTCAGACAAAAACAACAATTTTCTAAAGCTCGTTTTCAGTGAACCGTGGAATGAGATAACTTTAGGATGTCGTTATTATTACCCCGCTATATAATGAAACTTATAAAGAGCTCTTTAAAGGGTGCAGATTGAAAGGGAAAAAAAGAACGTCATCGTCATCTCTACGCTCCTTAAAAAAAGCCTTTTAGTTGCCCAGGCCTAATGCTAATATTGCGCCCCCATAATAGGATAATAAACGTATAGTTTAAAATAACACTTCCAAATTTTCTACTTTCCAAATCTTAACTTTGGAATGCCTTTCTAATTTCCTTGACAAGATTAATCCTGGAATTCGAAAATATAATATTAGTACAATGATTATAATTCGAACTCTATACCGTTCGATTTCTTGTAAAATGCGTTAAATTACTTTAAAGGTTTGCCCCTGTCAATTTGAGTTGAAGGGGGGAGGGGGGATGAAGACTTTTTATGTGTGTGCGGACATCCGTCTTTGCACGTAACATTTTCCCCAACTTTATTAATGATTTTACCATGATCTTGGTCTAGCACTTTTAAGCCTTGGCTTGCCAATCAACATAGGCGCGTTCGCTTTAATAGTCGGACAAAATATGCCTGTCGAACCAAAGATCGTGGGTTCGAATCCGACCCAGGCGGATGACTGTTGTTGTTTTGCGTCTAATGTTAATTGGAAAACACTATCCCTCGGATAGGATGCTAAGTGTACAGGAGAGTTAGCACCTTTGTACGTTAAGAACCCATTGCACTATTCGTATAAGAGTAGGGGAAAACACCTGTGTAGTGGTTCACTTGCACACCCCCATTGTACGGGAGGAGATACCAGAGGGTTAAATACAGTGATTCAATTCATTTTTCGACTCCCGCGTCACAGGTGACGCCAAATACTTAATAATGATAATACAAATAATAGCCAATGCCATGGGCCCGTATTCTGAAGTCGTGTCTTACTTAGCCACGTCTAAAGTTAAACAACTGTTTAGTTAGACACGACTTAAATACGAGGTCGTGTCTAATCCTGTCTAACTTAATTTGGTATTCTGAAGTCGTGTCTAAGTCTCGTCTAACTAAACAACTGTTTAAGTCCTGTCTAAGTCGTGTTTAACTAAACAACTGTATAAGTTCTGCGCAAGTCGTGTTTAACTTTTAGTCACGACTTATGCGCATGCCCAGTAGGCGTTAATTATGACGAAAGACCCAATGCGCATGCGTGCGCGCACCGGATAAATAAATTAACGCGCACAGCCAGCTGTGCGCGTGCTGGTACCATGGTGATGTGATCGTGACGTAATGACTAGACTGCATGCATGTAGACCAAGCTCTGTAATTATTAGAATCTCTGTCCAGTAGTGCCGTGTTTGTACCATCGAACTGGATCGACCAAATCAATTGATTCATAATATATATATATATATGCAATATTTGTTCCCGTAACATGAGAGTAATTTTAATAGTTTCATACTATTAATTAAATGTAATGTCAACTGTTATTGTATAATTGTTTTGAATGGGAGCACGCTACAAGAGTCCTATCTCGCACCCCGGGGCAACGTGTCTGACACGGCCGGTTGTAGCAACTACTCCGAAGATCAAGATTACATTAATCTTGATCTAAGGAGACACGAACGAACGAACTGTGTGTACGTACGTAGGTGCACACGTACTGATACACTGGATTGACAAACACACTACTTATCAGTGCCTCAGTGCTCGGAAGAACCAGGAAAGAAACTTCTCCAACAGAATGGTTAGCTTATTATAGATTATGGAATTTCCAACATGTCACCAGTAGATAAGAATGGTTATTATTATCGAGAGAAAAAATTAGGCTACACGAGAAAAAATCCTGCAAAACGTTTTTTAAATTTTAGAGGATGCACGTACCATCGTTCTCCCCCGCAAGTTCGAGGTCAGCAATTAGAGTGTACCTTCGACGTTGAAAAGCAGCAGAATCGCGCCCTTAAACAGGACTTAAACAACCCTCGCAGTTGTCTAAAGTTAAACAGGACTTAGACAGGACTTCGTGTTTAATTTTATTTAAACACGACTTCAGAATACGAAAAAAGTTAGACACGACTTCGTGTCTAAAGTTAGACAGGTCTTAGACAGGACTTTAATAGACAACTGTTGAGTTAAACAAGAGTTAGACACGACTTCAGAATACGGGCCATGGTCTTTAAGCTGTGGGCCTTGACTACAACACTCATATTTATATCATGTTTAAGCAAATGATTCTGGAAGCATTTCATAGAGGTTGATTGAAAATATGGCTTTAAAAACATACCTCCAGAATAACAAATGGCGCCGGCATCGCGACTATGACCACAGTAATCGTGATCTCCAATCCCTCGATGAGAACAGCCTGCAAGGTTATCTTCTGTTCCCTCACACCCGACATAAGCTAGAAAAATACCACCAGATCCCTGACCAAACCTTGCAGATCCCGTTGCGTTCAATGCTCCATCAAACCCCAGCATTCTACAAACCACCCTCGCGTCTCTTAGATCCCACCGATAATCACAGATGGTTCCCCAGGATCCATCGTACATGACCTCTACTCTGCCTTCAGCATCGTTAGACCCACCAACAAGATGAACTTGGAATGGATTTGGATGGGCTACACGTGAATAGGAAAGACATATATACCGCATTTGGGATCGTATTTTGGCTAATGTCTTAATAGTTTTATATATAAATGTAAACTAATTTTGAAAAAATATTATTTGTATCAAGAAATAAATTATCAACTTATTTAGGCTTATAGTACTGAGGTATGCGATAAGATTTAAATATCTATCATGATCCACCAAACACGCATTATTTACTAAAAATAATCTATGCTGAAACATGAATACTAAAGAAAATACGTCAGGCTATATAATTACGAAATGTAGTGTGGTTGAATGTGACTGTCATACAATAAAAGTAAGTTCGACTATAAGTTTTTTTCGGGGAGAGGGGAGGGGGCTAAATTTCAATTTTGTTTGTCTTTGAAATATTGAGTTTTGGGTCACTTATCTCGAGTTGTCCATGTTTATCTAATAATCATGCAATTAACAAAAGGTCAGTTACAAATACTTGATTATGCGAGAGAGGGAAACATACTTCCTGAGTAGCAAATGGCTCCTGCATCCCTTGTATGACTGCATGAGTAAAGTCCAATCCCTGAATGAGCACAGTCTGCTAGGTTGTCTTCAGTTCCGTCACAATTGACATACTTTAGTAAAATACGACCAGAGCCCTGACCAAACCATGCAGATCCCGGTGCGTCCAAGGCTCCATCAAACCCCAGCATTCTGCAAACCACCCTCGCGTCTCTCAGATCCCACCAATTATCACAGATAGTTCTCCAGGACCCACTGTTGAGGACTTCAACTCTTCCTTCAGCGTCATTTGATCCACCGACAAGACGAGCATGGAATGGATTTGGATGATCTACACGTGAATAGGAAAGACATATTATATACCTCATTGGCATGTTATTTTGGCAAAATTCATGATTACTATTGATTATAATGTGTTATTATTGTAATGAAATTTGAAGAAAGATTATTTCTGGTTAGAAATGCTATAATCAACACATCTCGTCAACATAATACCGAAGTATGCGATAGTTTTCAATAAGTTATCATGATCCACCAAACACGTCACGCGGTTTTAGCTTAAAATAATTTGTGCTGAAACAAAACTACTAAAGAAGAAAGGTCTGGTTTTGGAAGATAAAAAAGTCAGTGTCAAAAAAGAAAATACATTTTCTTTTTTTTTTCTTTTTTTTTTTTTTTGGGGGGGGGAGGGGACTGAATCTCAGGAATTTCGTTCAAATTATCGATTTAGATGTAAAATTGGCATTTAAATCACTTAGCTATGTGGGTGTTTTTTTTTAATGTTCATCTAATAAGCATGCCATTGCGAGGGGTATATTTGTAAATACTTCGCTAAGCGATAAAGAGAGAGAGAGAAGCATACTTCCTGAGTAGCAGATGGCTCCTGCATCCTTTATAAGACTGCAGGAGTAACGTTCAATCCCTGCATGAGCACAGTCTGCTAGGTTGTCTTCAGTTCCGTCACAGTTAACATACTGAATTAACAATTACTGAAATAGGAAAATGCAAAATATACCTTCAGGTGTACATGCAAGCGAATAAGTAAGAATTATTTACTCAAATGGCTAACCTATAAAAACTTATTTAACGAAACAACACCTACCTCCCGAATAACAAACAGCGCCTGCGTCCTCTGCATGACTACATTTGTAACGTCCAACCCATGCATGAGCACAGTCAGCTAGGTTGTCTTCTGTTCCATCACACTCGACATAAACTAAGAGACTACGACCACCGCCCTGACCAAACCTAGCAGATCCCGGTGCGTCCAAGGCTCCATCAAACCCAAGCATTCTGCAAACCACCCTCGCGTCTCTCAGATCCCAGTTATCATCACAGACAGTTCCCCATGAGCCGTCGTACAGTACCTCTACTCTGCCTTCAGCATCGTTAGATCCACTGACAAGACGAACTTCAAATGGTTGAGGGTGGGCTAAGGAGAAAAGTAATATTCTTTTTTAAATCTCGTACATTTTACAGAACGTCAGTTTTGTATGTATCATACAGTTTAATAAGACCAACGAAATCTCGAAGTGGTGATTTGTGAATCTAAAAAAAATGTGCACATGGTTTATACAAAATAAGATATGCTTTTAAAACAACTTGACCGAAAATTAACATTATTGCTTACAAAATATTCAAGAAAAATAAGAAATGTCCCCAAGAGATTGTTCAGACTTGGCGCGGCAAATCACAGGAGAAATGCCACCATACAAAGGACACACTTTACCTTAGATATATATATAAATGAATGAACGATAATTAACTTTCAGTAAAAGACATTTTAAGAATAAAAGAAAGATAAAGTAAAATAACGAAAGACTTTTTAAAAGAGTAAAGGTTGATATGGTGCTGGCACCGATCAGACAAACCTCAAAGGGATTCGAGTGGACTACATTAAAAAAAAAAAAAAATGTATGAACTAAAGCAACCTAAATAGACATGCAATATTTTGTGCACGGGTTCTTAAATCGATAAGACTGCATATTATTTCACATCCAAGGAGTGCCTGGAAAAGTTGTTAAGGTCAAACTTTATACATTTATAGTTGATTGAATTCTCAGGTAATGATGGAAACAAGTATATCAATTACTAAATAAGCTCAAAAGAATATTGTTTCCGCTTTCATGCGATTCTAATAGTATGGCATATAGAATTACGACTGATCCTTTCATCATGCCAAAAAGACTTCGTACCTCCTGAGTAACACACGGCACTCGCATCCCTGTGATGCCCACAGGAAGAGTCAGGCCACAAATCGAAACAGTCGGCCAGGCTGTCTTCTGTTCCCCAGCAGTTGACATGCAGAATATCACCAGAACCCTGACCAAACCTAGCCTCTCGTGTCGCGTCCAGGGCACCGTCGAATCCCAGCATTCTGCAAACCATCCTTGCTTCGAACAGATACCAGTAACGATCACAAACAGTCTTCCATGATCCACCGTAAAAGACCTCCACTCTTCCTTAAGTATTGTTTGATCCATTTATAAGACATACGTCTATATAGAAAAATGCATTTAATAGCATATCATCTCGAGTGATTCAGTGGGTTACGCAGAAAGAGCCGAAGAATCAATTTTGTTTTAATAAAACAGATCTATTGCCCCTTGTTTTATTTGGAAATTCAATAACTCCAAATCACACCGTATTTTATTTATTTATTTATTAGTCTTTTTTTAGTAGGTTGGCTCCATCAGTAGTTAAATACTGTTTTCCGTGGAGGGCATACAACATAAATACAACATATTGGTGTAAACAATCCAAATCGAAACAAAATTAATTCAGTTACAACATTTTCGAACAAAAGAAAACAAAAACAACACAATGGACCAGTTCAATGATTTAAATTATTATAACCCCAAAACAAAAGAGTAAATGAAGAATTTGATGGCGCATTTCTTAAAACTGACTCCTGTATTGATCTTGAAACTGTGATAACTCACGGGGGCGTCGCTAGACTTTATCTTGGGGAGGGGGGTTGAACCGATTTTCAGACTGCCGACAGGCTAGGAGTCTCTGTGAGAGTGTGTTTCTTTTATATGTGAATTAAATCTTCATGGATAAAGCAGGAAATAATAAATAGGTTGGTACAGTTTTTGAAAAGTCGGACAAAGCATGGAAAAGTTTCGCTTTGAAGTTCAGGTTTCATATCAATATTGGGAATGTAATTGAACGTGACTAGACACTAGGCCTTTACGCACTTGCGAGATCCTAGTCTGAGTTATGGTGCATGTAGGTATTGAATTCATCTACTGTTTGATAAATAATTTGATAAATGTGTACGAAGAAGCCAATGTGAAGACTTGGCGAAAGGCTATGTATCATTGAGAAATATCAAATTCAAGACCTAATATTTGAAAAATGCATATTTCCTAATTCTTTTTATGGTGGAACAGCTATAAATTTACAAAGTTTGTATACACAATGTTTCCTGGACGAAACATGTAACAGAAAACGAGGGTCTTTAGAATATGTATATACCCACTAAATGCGAAAGTGCACCAAGTAAGACATACTGACTGCATTCATGGGGCATTCAGAAATTATGATCATTAGGGATCCCTGCTTTCAAAACAAATTGAAATACATTTTTCCCGATTTCTTGGTAATTGTTGTTGTTACGCTTCTCTGACATTTCTATTTCTGTTAGAAACTGTGAATCGTTTGTTCTCTTTTAAAGGGGCATGTTCCCCGTATTCCAGAGGGCGCTCTAAATACGTACGCGCTGGAGGACGGCGCTATAGCTGCCTATTGACACCAACATAATACGGCTATTACGCAGATGGCATGTTCCGATAACTACACTGGCGGGAACGTGCCCCTTTAACGTTTCCACTGTACTTGAAGAAAAAAAATGCTACATACTATGACTGGTATTCTTTGCTTATATAGACTTGGCCATTTCTAATAAGCTCTCGAATTTCCTACCTTATGCGCAACGTATGGGCAATATTGTAAGCCGGACCATTTCGTCTACATCTCTAGCTACAATCGGCATGATCAGGGCCCCGTTGCATAAAAATTACCATTGATAGTAACTTTGCCATCAATGGCATCTACCATGGTAACAGGGCTCAACAGCCAATCAAAATCAAGATTTCCATGGTAGTAACCATTGATGGCATAGTTACCATCAATGCTAACTTTAGTGCAACGGGGCCCAGGAATCCTTTAGACATTTGGTAAAGAGCCGTTCAATTTGGTAGATGATGTGATTTCGTACCACATATAGAAAATAGAACAGCACCCTCGCAGAGCTAGCCTGACTGGTAACCAAGGGCTGCAAGTAGCTACGTTCATTCAGCTGCAGCGTAATGAAAAACCAAGGCAAGAAGATCTATTAGGGTTATGGTGATGCTGGGCACTCTATCTGCAGACGAATCTGAGTCGCTATAGCTGTTTCCAGTGTTCAGGTTTTCAGGTTTTACTGTCATCTACCCTATTATTCAAGACTTCCGCATCGTAATACAGTGAGTTACATGCCAACATACTTCTCAGGTGCTCCACTCTTTTAGCCCAAACATGTGCTGCCAAAGATTTGTTCGTCTTTTTTAAAGTAATCCAGCTGTCTTTTACAGAACGTAACTATCGTCGATTATGTTTCAATGTAAACAAATAACGTTGCTCTTTTATGGTTAAAACATCATGGGGATCCAATAGATTCGATGTTACCTTTTTGACTATGTAGTAAGTGACAGGGGATATCCCTCCCATGCCCAAACGTGTTGGTTGATGATGTAGTGCTGGTTTGCACGTTTATCTACAGTGTTATTTGTACATTGTAGGGGTAAACTACTTTTTCCTTTTTCTGCTATCTCTCTGTATATAGTTTATGAATTATACATAAATATATACACACAATCATTGCGGATCCAATAAATTCGCTGTAACCTTTTGACTATGTAATAAGTGACAGGGAATATCCCTCCCATGCCCAGCCGTGTTGGTTGATGATGTAGTGCTGGTTTGCACGTTTATCTACAGTGTTATCTGTACATTGTAGGGGTAAACTACTTTTTCCTTTTTCTGCTTTCTCTCTGTCTATAGTTTATGAATTATACAAAAAAATATACACACATAATGATAACGGCGTGAGGTTGTTGGCGCTTTTCGACGCTGTAAACCGTTTTACTTCCGCCTCTTGAAACCCATGCTTGTGAGAAAAGGCTCGGACCAGCCATATAGCTGTGTCCCAAAGGGTTCATATTTGGAGAAATGCTGATTTGGCAGGGGAAAAAAACGATGTTTGTGTATGTATGTGAAAGGGTCTTTAGAGACGTGTATCAATTATATTAGACATGATTATTTACGTCTGTGGCCGACCTTTATCGTCATCATCCGAAAGACATGAATCAGTTTCGAACCTGGGGTACGCCTGAATTAATTAGAAGGTGAAGACAGAGCTATAGCTGACCCGAGTGAACGTATCGCTAGACCAACTCACATTTCCCATGTCATTCACAGTACGGTGAGGTATCCACGATACATCTTATGTTATAAAAATATGAATTAAAAAGCAGTGACTTGTCAAAGTTTGGTATTTATTTGAAGTTCGTTATCCCATCGACCATACGTTGGATACTTCTGAATGAGTTATGTCCGTCACCCATTATTCCATAGTGCATATCCGCACACTCTATCATGTCTGGTTTCTGAATGATTTTTTTTTTTTTAATTCCCCACATTCTTCTCGATTTCTGAATGAAATTTCTTCCATGTATTCACTAGTGCAGAAACTGACTTATTCAATTCAAATAATCTCCCCCAACGCTATCTCAACCTACTTGTTGCAAGTCGAAGATTACGTGAATTTCGCATGCTGAATTTGTACACCTGGCAAGGTGTACAAGGCTGGTATTTCTTAAATTAAAACCGGGCAGATTCTAGACTGATTATTCATTGGCTATCCTCCTCTTGAAATATACCCGGGAGTCAGCATGTGTGATTGGGTTTTAACTGGCGTGTATCGATTAGGCGATTAAAAAAAAATGTTTAGCGTCCCAGCCCGCCTCCTTTTTTTTGTTTAATCTTTTTTTTTTTGATTTTTTTTTTTTGATTTCTTTTTTTTTTGTTTAAAGAAAAAAAACATGAAAACACTGCTAAAATGGTCTATTTCTGATTTTAAAAAAAAAAAAAAAAAATTGTCGGCGTTTATCATGAAATATAACCCGACTGTCAGGGAAAATGTACCGAGCGGCCATTTTGAGCGGCCATTTTGGAAGAAGAAAAAAAAAGACAAAAAGGGCCTCCTCCTTCCTATTTTTCAAAAAACAGGACGCTAAACATGTTTTTTTTTTTGGGGGGGGGGCCTAAGATGTGATTATCTAAACCTGTGTCCACACACAACAAATTCATCGTGTAACTATTCCGTAACGGTATAGTTATACCGTTTCGGGTTAGTTATACGATGAAATTGTATGTGTGTACGCTTACTAACGATACGTCGTATAAAGAATCGTATAACAAAACGCGTTTCGAACTAGAACTCGATAAAGAATCACGGAATGTGTTTTGTGTGGACGTATGGTCGAACTAGTAAGGTGATGGGACTAACTATCACTTCCGAGGCGATCTGGATGTAGCTATCTTTCCGAAGCGAAGCTGAGGAAAAATAGCGTATACATTCAGATCGCCGAGAAAGTGATAGTTTGCCATCGCCTGAAACCCCAAAAGTGATTATTTGCTATAAATTCCTCATCGGAACATTTCACTTCTTCCGTCATTTTAGAGCAACAAATCATCATTTAACAGCTAGCAAACGGTAAACGATGCATACAGTGCATGTAGTACTTACGTGCGTACGTATACGCAACGTATACAAGTAATTGCGTTGCACTGTAGATAGTACTACTATCTACACAGTGCAGCGAAATCGATAGCGAAGATCGTAATTAGTATGATTTTGTCGATGTTATATTGTGACCTCTTGGTCAAATGAGTATATAATCGAGTCATAAAGTATCTAAACAGCACTACACGCACTAGGGCGTACCCATTTTCTGAGCCGCGTACATTTGACGTGAAAGGTAGAACGGCTCGATGAAAAATAAAGCATGAAATCGGAATGACACTGTATTTTATATAACAAAGTGTAATAAAGCTTTATATAAGACATATTAACTTAAAGGGGTATAATAAACTTCTTTTTTTTACCGCAAGGGAGTTTTACTTTCCCTCAGATGCTATGGGAGGAATCCTCCCCCATTTCTAAACAGAAATTGAAATAACAAAACAAATATAGACATGATGCACAGATGTCGGTACTTTCAATGAAACTCAACGGAAACCGCATTACTTTCTATTGGTTGGCGAATTGAAGAATGGTCTACCCTCGATCTTTAGTAAACATTTGAAAGTTTAAAACAAAATTACTGGATGAGACTTTATGC